GAGGCATCTGTGGCTGAACTTATCCGGTATTAAAGAAAAGGATAGGTCCTTCCTGCTGGATGCGCCGCTTTCGGCTTCTGGCCTGTTCGGCGACGCCGTTAATTCGGTTGTCGACAGGTTTCAGGAGTCGAGAAAACAATCTGCGGCGTTCCAGCAGTACCTCCCCCGGAAAGCGAAGGCCAAATCTAGTAGGGGGGGGCAAAGCAATCAGCCCCAGCCATCAGCCAGCTCCTCCCACAGGGCAGAGCAGAAGGAGAGCGTTTCCTCTAGAGCCCCCCCTCCGGGGTCTGGCAACAGAGGAAACGCTCCCAAAAACCGAAGTCCTCCAGCCAGAGGGGCGACCTGAGGGACGTCATTCAGGCTAAGAGGACTTCGGAAAAGAGGTCCTAGCCAAGGCAGGACTTCAGAGGGCTGCCCCCTCCGCAGTGAGACAACCGAGGTTGTTCTCACAACGGGGCCCTCTAGGAAAAGATGCAGGTCCGCCGTTAACAGCGCTTCGGGCCGCATCAATTTCCAGCGAAAAGACACCAGAGGCCAGCCTCGAGAGGCTGGTACCCTTAGCAGATTTTGTAGAGGGATGGTATCATCTTCCCAACATATCTCCATGGGTCCTGCAGATAATACGAGTTGGGTACAGACTGCAGTTCGCGCACCGCCCCCCAAGTTCTCTGGGGTGGTGCTCACTGCGGTGGTCCCAGAGCAGGCTCAGGTGTTGGAACAAGAAGTACAGACTCTGCTGTCGAAAGGAGCCATAGAACGTGTTCTTCCGGTAGACAGGGAGTCCGGGTTTTACAGCCGGTACTTTATAGTTCCAAAGAAGGATGGGGGGTTAAGGCCAATTTTGGATCTCAGGGTGTTGAACCGGTCTCTGAGAAGGTTCAAATTCAGAATGTTGACCATTCCAACAATCGTGAGTCAAATCAGATCCGAGGACTGGTTTGTCACGATAGATCTGAAAGACGCCTATTTTCACATCTCCATCCTTCCTTGTCACAGGAGGTACCTGAGGTTCGCTTTCGGGGGCGAAGCATACCAATATCGGGTTCTTCCGTTCGGCCTAGCACTCTCTCCCCGCACATTTACCAAGTGTATGGACGTGGCCCTTGCTCCACTGAGACTTCAGGGGATTCGCGTATTGAATTATCTCGACGACTGGCTTATTTTGGCCCAGTCTCGGGAGATGGCAGTTCGGCATCGAGATGTCGTTCTTGGCCATATTCAAAAATTGGGGTTAAGACTCAATTTGAAGAAGAGTGTGCTAGAACCGTCCCAGGGCACGACCTTTTTGGGAGTCGTGTGGAACTCGATTACAATGCAGGCACGTATGTCTCCCGCACGTATCGAGTCAATTCTGGCGATGGTGTCCAGGGTGAGGCTAGGTCAGGCCGTCACTGTGAAACACTTTCAAAGGATGCTGGGCCTCATGGCAGCGGCATCCAACATTATTCCTCTGGGCCTCCTTCACATGAGGCCCCTCCAGTGGTGGTTGAAGACCAAGGGGTTCTCACCCAAAGGAAATCCGTTCCGTATGATCAGAGTAACGCGCAAGTGCCTTCAGTCTCTGCAAATATGGAAGAAGCCTTGGTTCCTATCCCAAGGGCCAGTGTTGGGGGTGTCATGTCGCCGGGAAACCGTTTCGACAGACGCCTCCCTTACGGGCTGGGGCGCGGTCATGGACGGCCGCTTTACCAGGGGTCTGTGGCAGGACCATCATCGCACTTGGCATATAAATTGCCTGGAGATGATGGCGGTATTCAAGGCTTTGAGGAGCTTCCTCCCAGACATCGAGGGTCGCCACGTCCTTATACGGACAGACAATACGTCAGTGGTGGCCTATCTGAACCGACAGGGGGGACTCAGATCGCGCCCTCTGTGCAAACTGGCGCATCAGATTATCCTTTGGTCCCAGGGAAAGATATTGTCAATAAGGGCAATGTATATCCCAGGGGTTCAGAATCGGGGAGCAGACATCCTGTCGAGGCAGGGGCTGAGGCCCGGGGAATGGAGACTTCATCCGGATGTGGTGAAGTCGATATGGGAGAGGTTCGGACCGATGGAAGTGGATCTGTTTGCGTCTCGAGAGACGTCCCACTGTCCACTTTGGTTCTCCCTCTCACATCCAGCCCCACTGGGGTTGGATGCCATGGTACAGGCTTGGCCGAGGCTTCGCCTGTATGCTTTCCCCCCGATCGCTCTGCTCCCAGGGGTCCTGGAGAGGGTCCGTCAAGAGGGCATCAGTCTACTTCTGGTTGCCCCGAGATGGCCGACACGAGTATGGTTCTCGGATATAATATCACTCCTCATAGCTCCGCCATGGCCGATTCCTCTGAGGAGGGATCTATTGTCTCAGGCGGAGGGCACAATCTTCCACCCTCGCCCAGAGTTGTGGAAGCTGTGGGTCTGGCCTCTGAGGGGGTTCAGTACCTAAATGCTGGCTTATCAGCTGAGGTGGTTGAAACCATACTTAGCTCTAGGGCCCCATCTACCAGGAGATTATATGGCCTCAAGTGGAAGGTGTTTCACACTTGGTGTGGAGAACGAAGGTTGGATCCAGTAAACTGCCCAGTGGCTTCAGTTCTGGAATTCCTTCAGGATCGTTTCTCTGCGGGTCTCTCCCCGTCCACTCTTAAGGTGTACGTGGCTGCCGTTTCGGCTTTCCACGCGCCAGTAGATGGTGGACCTCTGGGGAGGCACCAGTTGGTCATTAGGTTTCTCCGTGGTGCTTGGAGGATGAGGCCGGCGATCAGGTCCAGGGTGCCTGCCTGGGATCTGGCAATAGTTCTGGAAGGGTTGTCCCTCGCTCCCTTCGAACCTTTAGAGTCGGCTTCGCCTAAGGACTTAACGTTGAAAATGGTCTTTCTCTTAGCGATTACCTCTCTTAAGAGGGTGGGAGATCTCCAGGCCCTGGCGGTAACGCCAGCTTGCTTGGAGTTTGCCCCTGGCAAAGTAAAGGCCTTTTTGCACCCGAGTCCGGGCTACGTGCCTAAAGTTCCTTCGAGTACGGCTCGCTCTGTAGTCCTTCAGGCATTCCATCCTCCACCTCATGTGTCGGCGGGAGAAGAGAGGCTTCACTTGCTCTGCCCCGTCAGAGCTTTGAGTGTATACTTGGAAAAGTCTGCTTCTTGGAGAAGATCTGACCAGTTGTTAGTATGCTTTGGGTCACCTAAGAGGGGGCTCCCGGCGACCAAACAAACTATAAGTAACTGGATTGTCCAGTCTATTACTGAGGCTTACAAGGTGCGTGGGGTTCCTTCACCTTTGGCCTTAAGGGCTCACTCGACTAGAGGCATGGCTTCCTCTAGGGCCCTTCTGTCGGGAGTACCTCTGCAGGAGATTTGTGAGGCAGCCGGCTGGGCTACCACGCATACTTTCATCAGGTTTTACAGTCTCAGCCTTCCCAGTACGCCCGGTGCACACGTACTCGGCCCTTGCTGAGTGCCTAATCAGTTTCACTCTGGGGCGGGTCTGTTCGGTGCGTGGCCTAGTGGGTACTCGTTCCCCAAAGAGTCGATTTTATCGACGCAGTGTTGAGTTCCCTCGATAGGGAACGTCTCGGGTTATGACTATAACCCTTGTTCCCTGAGAAGGGAACGAGACACTGCGTCGTGTTGCCACGCCCCCTTTTCAGACCCTTGAGCGTCTTGCTTCATCGCGAGGCTAGTGTGTGTTGTGACAGCGTCACTTTTATACTTCCGGGTATGCCGTCACATGTTACGTCACGACGCAACACCAATCAGGATTGGATTAGTTTCATTCATACTTCAGAGGCGCACGCTTAGGGAGCGTCCCCAAAGAGTCGATTTTATCGACGCAGTGTCTCGTTCCCTTCTCAGGGAACAAGGGTTATAGTCATAACCCGAGACGATTTTTAAGACTTAATTAAAGTTGACTAAAAAGGGTTAGTTAAAATCACTGCTGGATTTTACATGAAGTAGTTATGTAATATACTCACTACTTAAATGTATAATTAGTGTAACATAGATACCTCAAAATAAAGTGTAACCGAATTGTCCAATTTGATTTCATGGTGACTTAGAAAGAGCCTTAACAATACATTATTAAAATATAGTCAAATCAAATACAGCACATGTGTTCATAGAACCGCATAATACATTAGTAACGGGGTTACTGTTGTGCTGAAAAAAATGGTAATCAAATGATAACATTAAAACAAACTGGCTTTATTCAAGTCAAAAATATGATTTAGCATCCCTGAATCAATCTAAATGCATTAATTTATACAAACAAAATGAAAATGTTTGGGTTAAATCAAGTGGAAAAACATATTTTTAAGTGCAACAGTGTAAAACTAAAACCATAAAATCAATATAAATAAACAAACTTATTTTATTTCAGTTACTCATTTTCATTTAGTTTAAAGTAGCACAAAAAACTATATAGAAATATATATTTATATATTGTTGTGATGTCAAGGACTCCAAAATGAAACATTTTTAAACTTGAGAAAATATTAATACAGCTACAGTATATATTTTCATGCATGAAATGTACATACATTAAAAAATGAACTGGCCTTTATTTTGCATTGTATAAAAAACATTACAATTACAAATCATTAAAATATTATGTGATCAAATTTAATTTGTGTTCAGTCAACAGAGCATCGTTACTCAATATTAGAGCAGCCTTAGACACACAAACTTGGAAGATAAACATTTTTAATAGTAATTCAAATGTATTTAAATAATGTTTTAATATTTTAATACAAATAATTCCAAACCAGCTTTATGAAGGTGGACAAAAATAAATTAATAATAATAATATTAAATATAATAAAATAATAATAAAACAAATATCAAAATTAAATATTAAATTAAAGCAATATATATATATAATACAAAATAATACTAATGAGAAGAAGAAGAAATAAAATATTATTAATAATATTTTATAAAATATATCATTGAGTGCCGGATCGAGTGTTTTCTCAGTGTGGTTGTGTAACGATGTCTGTGTGTGTTCCCGTGTGTGTTGGTCAGATGCTGTATCCGCTTCTGCCGGGCTTTCTGGACAGCAATGCGTTCTCGGAGAGCGGGACGCTGCACGTTCCCGAAGACGTCCGGCGAGTCCTGCACATCTGCACACACACACTGCGTTTACTGCGAGTCTTCCAGGTGCATCCACTGATCCTACAGCAACTCTTCGCCTACATCTTCTTCTTCATCAACGCTCTGCTGTTCAACCTGCTGATGGAGAGAGGTGAGACTCCTTCACTCATCATTCAGAGCCGTCTGCAACTGTGTGTGTGTGTGTGTGTGTGTGTGAACCATGAGTGCTCCGACTGATCTGAGAAACGTTTTCAGTCTGAATATTTCAGCAGATATTGGCCCTATTTTAATGATGTTAGCGTGTAAAGCACTTTTGGAAAAGTTTAGGTTGGGTGAGTCCACTTCTGCTAGTTTAACGACGGGACAAATGGTCGGCGCTCCCGGCGCTGGTCTAAAAGTTTTTCTCTATTCTCTTAATGAGTCATGGATGTGTTTATGGTGTAACGTGTAACGAGTCTCATCTCCCATTCCCTTTAAACGCCAGTTGCACTTGAGTCGTGGCGGATTCGCTATTTACATTGATGATTATGATGATAATTGTGATGATTATGACTTACAGTTTATGAAAACCTTTTCACAATATTCTAATTTTGAATTTGGGGTTTTCATATCTGTAATCCATAATCATCAAAACTGAAATATCTCACTTTGCATGTAATGAGTCTATATAATATATTAGTTTCACTAAGTTGAATTCCTGAAATAAATGAACTTTTGCACCATATTCTCATTTTTCGAGTTTCACCTGCATGTTATAGTCATTTATATTGCGTTAGATGCATTAGTTGGGTAGAGGAATATATAATTATTTGTGTGTACATTTAGGCATTTTTTATACAGTGTTAATGAGTGATAGCCGGTTACAGAGTCTCACGGTCAGAATTTTCTCATTTAATTCTTTAATAATTATAAATAAAATCATTCTTACCAATAGCTATGATCTTGCATAATTCATATTTTTGTATACTGTAAATATGGGCTTATAAATCTGCATACGGTTGGGTAACACATTTCCAAGTAAATACAATACTTTTTTAGGGTTTACTTTATCTTATTTATTGATACTGTTATGTTTCAATAAGTAATGAATAATGTTTGAATAAATAAGCTAAGCCCATCGGCCCTTCTCAACTTTTCGATGTAATAATCCGGTCGTCGAATGAAGCTAATTGAATAGCCCTGGGCATTTGACTGCATTATATCTTATATATATCAAGTCACCTTCATTTATATGGCGCATTTATGTCAGCGGCCAATCCAGACTAACTTTATCTGGACAGTAAGTTTACTCTAGATCTGCTGTAAAGCCTGAACACTCTCTGTTACGGTAATCTCAGCTGCGGTGAAACTCTATACTGTTGTTGCGCTGTGTGTGTGACTCGGCTCGTGTGTGTGTGAAGGGTCCGGCGGGACGTTTTTCCACTGGTCGCGCGGGGTCCAGATCAGGGCTAACCTGGACCTGCTGATGGACTGGGCTCACAGTGCCGGACTCGGGGATCTGGCTCACCGTTTCCTTCTCAAGATCTCCTCCGCTGTCAATCTACTGGCCACGCCGAAGGAGAACCTCTTACAGGTGCCCGTTCTCTTCACATACATTATATTCATATTTAATAACCTTCATCCTTCCCCCTGGGTCAAAATTACCCAAATATATATATATTAGGGCTGTCAAACGATTAATCGCATTCAAAATAAAAGTTTGTGTGTACATAATATATGTGGGTGCACTGTGTATAATTATTATATATATATATAAATACACAGACATGCTTGTGTATATTTAAGAAAAATTTTCATGTATACTGTATATAGATTTACATATAATTTATATTATACACAAATATAAATATTTTATATATAAATATTTTTTTTTTCTTAAATATACTTGCATGTGTATTTATAGATATATCCAAAATAATTATACACAGTGCACCCACATATATTATGTAAACACAAACTTTTATGTTGGATGCGATTAATCACGATTAATCGTTTGACAGCTCTCTCTCTCTCTCTCTCTCTCTCTCTCTATATATATATATATATATATATTGTTCATAAAGCTTGTTTTATTTCATTTTGATCATGTGTTTTGGAAATTTTTTTGTTTATTTTTTAAATTTTATTTACCTTTATATTACTAGATTTGATCAATAAATAATAAATAAATAGTAATTTAAGCACATTCCTCACATTCTTTCAAATTTAATTCAAAATTTCATGCCTAAACCTTTTAATTCCGCTCTAAATATCTTACATTGTGTGTCTCGTGTGGAAAATAACTCATATAATGATGACATTTCATGACTCTTGATGGGCTTATAGAGGAGCTGTTCCGGTCCTAAAGTCATTTCCCTTCAGAATGCATTCAGATGCACATTTTGGTAAAGTTTTAGCAGTGTTAGTTTGAATTTTAAGCACTTTTAGGTTTTTCTATGTGAACTGAATTCCATTCATTCCTATGTTACTTTTTTTTAATTTCCTCATATCCATTAAAATCTTTTTGTGTGTGTGTGTGTGTATTCGGTGTTCAAGTGTGACAAAAGTCCTGGGGTTTTGGACCCCTCTGATGAACACTCAATTTTTGCATTAAAATATATATATATATTTCCCTGTTCAAACTCCGAGGGAAGGATGAAGGTTTCCCTAAAACCTTGAATATTGCACTATGAGCGTGCCTGAGAGGAAGGAAGCTTGTTTGCATTCCCGTCTTATTACAGATGCATTCCTCCTTCATCACAATCTCGCATTAGTATGGTCCTCTGAAATAATTAACAGGAAGCATTACTCATTAAAGATAAAGCTTTGTGAGCACAAACGATTCTTTCATGGCATTAGATAAAGAAACTGGATTAGACACGTCTGCATCCGACTCGTCACCGATGATCTCGCCAAATACACACTATAATGATAAATTGATTAAATATCTATTTAAATAAAAATAAATTAATATATTAAACAAATAAATAAAATAATATAAAACAAATACATTTGATTAAACTAAAAACAAATTAAATAAAATTACATTGAAACATAAAATATAATAAATTAATAAATTATATTAAAATCAATAAATACAACTTTATTTAAAAAATAAATACTGTACATAAAATAAATGAATACATTAAATAAAATGAATTTGATTAAACTCAAAATATAAATGAAATAAAAATAAGATTAAACTTATATGTATACATTTTAATAAAATAAAATCAAAATAATAAATTAATACAATATACTAAAATAATTTGATTAAAATAAATATAATTTTATTTCAATTACACTGTAAAAATGAATATGCTTTATCAAATCAACAAAATTGTGGCAAACAGATTACAAGCAATATTATTTATTAAATTGAACAAATTAGAATTGAGTAATAGTTAATCAAATTAACATTCTAATTAATTCTAATTTGTACAATTTAATTAATAATATTGCTTGTAATATGTTGCCACAATTTTATTGATTAGATAAAGCATATTCATTTTTACAGTGTGATTAATACACTATATTTAAATTGATTAAAGTAAATAAATAAATTAAACTTAAATAAAATAAGAATGAATATGAAACTAAGTAACTACTAAAATTAAATAAATTGATTAAAATAAAAAGAGCAATGTGAAAAACATTTTCTCTGGCTTATGTGAGCGTTGTATCAGTCCGTTGTATCATTCTTCACTCATTATGGAAACGTTACTTTTGAATGTCATTCCGAAACAAGTTACATTTACAAAAAAAAAACATTAGACAATGTGTTGATAATAATGTTTTATGCTAATGTTACAAGATTGAAACATTATTTGTTGTCATGAGGGTGGAGAACACACACACACACACACTGATCTTTATGCACAGTTACATCATAACGGCTTCACCTGAGGGCCTGTATCCTATGTCATTAACGTGTGTGTAATGTGTGTTTGTGTGTCTGTAGATGTGCTGGAAGACTCTGCGGATGGAGTTCAGGAGTCTGAACGCGGCTCAGCTTGATCACATGATGAGAGAGTACGAGCCTCGACACTCGTGTGCCGATACGTGGACTCCTTCCAGTGACGAGACTCTCACGAGCGGTGACACACACACACACACATGCACACACTCACTCACACTCACTATTAATTATAAAATATTAAATGTAATGTTTGGTGTGTTTGTAGCCGATATCCTGGAGAGTTTCGACAATCATCCGCCTCTCGTTCTTCCGGCCGACGGTTTCACACTCGAGCTCAAGAGGCCAATCAGCGACAGCCGTCTGATCGAACAACTACATCACTTCCTGCGGGTCATCGGGACAATCACAGACCCAGAACCGCCTCAGGTACGCCTTCACTGCTCGGATTAATAACAAAATATTAATATTAGGGCTGTCAAACGATTAATCTCATCCAAAATAAAAGTTTGTGTGTACATAATATATGGGTGCACTGTGCATAATTATTTTATAAATATAAATACACACACATGCTTGTATATATTTAAGAAATATTTTTATGTGTATAGATTTATATATAATTTATATGATATGTAAATATAAATATTTTACATATAAATAATATTTCTTTCCTACATATACATGCATGTGTGTGTGTGTATTTTTATATATACAAAATAATTATACACAGTGCACCCACATATATTATGTACACACAAACTTTTATTTTGGATGCGATTAATCGCGATTAATCGTTTGACAGCCCTAATTTATATTGATTGTATTTCAGTACCGTAATTCGGTTCTCATTTAGGGCACTGTTATTTTAGTGTAATTGAGATTTTTTTAATATATAATATTTTTAAAATAAGTTTTTTTTTGTAATTTTTGTGTGTGGTTTTAAAATTTGTATTAGTATTTATTAGTATGTCTATATATTTATATATTTAATATGTCTATATATTTCATATTATTTTATTTCAGTTTTAAGTTAAATGATAAATTATATATATATATATATATGTGTGTGTATGTGTGTGTGTGTGTAATATTTTATTTTATAAAAATAATTATAACTTATAGTAAATGAAAATGAGAAATTTTGAGAAACAACTAGCTGAAATAAAAAGTTTTTTAAATTTAATTTTATAAAATTATTATACTATATTAAGTTGATCTTACTGTAAGTAACAAAAATGTTTTTAAGAATCCTCAGAACCGCCTCAAGCACGCGCCTCCATCATCTTTTAGAGTTAGTTTTTTACACACACACACACATAAATATATATATATATAGGTTTATTTGTCATTTTCATGGTGTACATAAAAACGAAATTGTGTTTCACACATACACTATTTAGTATTTCAGTGCACAATTTAAATATAATTATAAGAATACTAGAATACATTAAAAAGATAAAAATATTTACTAAAATTAATAGAATAATAATAATAATAGTAAATAAATATAGTTCAAATCATGTTCTCTGGTTAAGAAGTCTAATAGCTGTGGGAAAGAAACTGTTTAAAAGTTCGTTTATTTCAGTAATTCAACTTAAAAGCTGAATCTAATATATTATATAGACTCATTACATGCAAAGTGAGATATTTCAAGCCTTTATTTGTTATAATGTTGATGATTATGGATTACAGATATGAAAACCTTTTCACAATATGTATTTGTGGTTTTAATATCTGTAAGCCATAATCATCACAATTATAACAAATAAAGGCTTGAAATATCTCACTTTGCACATAATGAGTGTATAGAGTATAGTTTGAGGTGTGTGTGACTGCTAAGGTGTGTGTTCTCCTCCAGCTGGTGTCTGCGGTGCCGACGGAGGCCAAGCTCATCAAGCTGGAAGTCCATCCGAAAGCTCGTCTGGAGGTCGGTCAGGCGGAGTGTGTGTTTCCTCATGCGATCGACTCGGGATCTCGGGACGCTCTTTTAACCTCGAAGCTGCAGAATCTGGATCTTCAGGATAAAGCTGAGACCTACACCGCTCTATCGGCGGACCCGTCCTGTTTACTGACGCCACCGGACACACCGGACACACACGAGCGTGAGAGATAAAACCAGTCACATATCCACTGATCTGAGAACTGAGTTCAGCTCATGTTTATAAACTAGAGCCAATAAACTGATAATGTTGAATACATCCTGGTTTGACTGTATCCATAAATGCACAAAAGTGTGTGTGTGTGTGTTTGTAGATGCGAGTGAAGTGTGTGAGAATGGAGAGGAAGAGGATGATGTGTTTGTGCTGGAGCTGCAGAGATCAGCGTGTGGTTTGGGTCTGATGCTGGTCGACGGACAGGTAAGCTGACATCATTATTGTGTTAATAATCCTGAATCAGAATCAGTTCCTCTTTGGCATCTCTTCTCTGATGATGTGGGCGGGGCTTTAACCTGTCACTCACATGAGATCAGCCAATAGCAAACCACAACCAGCCAATCACACAGACACAATCAAGCCCCGCTTGATTCTATTTTGATTTCATGGCGATTTCAAGGTATTTTTTTTCTAATATGCAAAAAACAATGTATTTAAATGAGATTCATTTAGGGACTTTTCTCAGCATATATTGAAATATGAAGTTAATTGTGATTCATTAATAATAATTAATTGGAATATCATGCAGTTACTTCAATAACAGCACATCAAATACTTTGTCCTTTCTATAACAAACGACATATTATTACAGTAATAGAATATTATAGTTTATTACAGCTCAATAGCATCACCGTGTGGTTACAGATGGAACATTTATAGTTCTCTGATTGTTTACACAGCGCACAAAAAGACATTTCTTCCTTTTCCAGCTCAAATATCTAAACATTCATAGATACATTTGATTTACTAGAGAAACAAAATGACTGAAGATATTTGACTGAAGCACTGAGTTACAAATATCTGCAAATGGAGTCGAAAAATAACCTTAATTCAAAGGGAAAACTAGATCTTTTTTTTTTTTGCAAGTATTTGTTCTTGTTTTAAGCTCAAACTCACTTCATCATGACACATTTTATCTTCATATCTTCAATCATTCTGCTTCAGTCAGTGTTGATTTACGAATGTTGAGATATAAAACAAGATAAAAAATATTAAGCAAAAAAACAAACATTTTTAACTTAAGAAACAAACACAGTTTGTTGGCATAAAGGTGTTGGTGTGTTTTCATACACTGTAAAAAAAATATTTTCCTGATTTCTAATCACATTTTTACTTTTGTCAAAGCAACTTAAATAATTTATGTAGTTCATATAACATAGTATTTTGAGTTTCTGATGATTAACTCAATCTCCTTCTTTTTATTAACTCAACTTTTCCATTTCAATGCACTCAAAATTAAGGCAACATCATTTTTTAAGTTAAACCAACAATATTTTTTTCCAGTGTACAGAATCATGTGGGAGCCCACAGAATAAAACATTTAAAAAGATAATTGCGACTTTTTACCGCACAATTCGCAATTGCAAGAAATAAACTCGAAATTCAGACTTTTTTTCCGTGATTGCATGTTTATTTCTCGCAATTGTGACTTTATGTCATGCAATTCTGACTTTATAACTCCCGATTGTGTGATATAAACGTGCAATTCTCTGAAAAAAAGTCCGAATTTTGAGTTTATTTCTTGCACTTGCGAATTATGGGATTTAAGTCGCAATTACCTTTTTTATTTTTTATTCTGTGGCGGAAACAAGCTCAAAAATATGTATTTGTTTATTTAAGAATGATTTGTTTTACGCAGGAAACCCCGTTTCCCGTCAGTGGGATTTACATCCGATCGGTTCTTCCCGACTCTCCGGCCGCTTTATCCCGCAGACTGAGAGAAGGCGATCGGATACTCGCGGTGAACGGACTGAGTCTGGCGGGACTCGACTATCAGACGTGAGCAGGGTTACAGCACACTCAGATCAATATGTTGTGTTATTAAAGAACAGATCTGTACTTTAAGCGAACATCATTTCTTCTTCCAGTTCCCTGGAGCTCATTCAGAAGTCAGGAGACACACCTCGGCTACTGGTTGCCAGATCTCACAGCGCTACATAAGAAACGAGGACAAAACTTTCTGCGTAATCCTAAATAGAGGATCTGTTGTGCGCTTTTGTTTTCAGGTTCTCCTGCTTGAATGTTGATTATTCTCCATTGTTGCGGCTCCTCTAACGCTCTGTTTACTTCCTGTCTCTATGAAGCCCCTCCTCCTGAAAAGCACACTGTGCTCTGATTGGACGGCTGGAGCAGTGTGTGATTGGTCGAGTGCTGAGTGTGTTTGGGAAATGCCCCGCCCCTAATTACCATAATCGCCAGTCTAACACACTACTAACCAACTCAACCAGGCCCCGCCCCTTTATTCTACGCATAAATTATTATAATGAGGAATATTGAGACGTGTTCCCGTGCGTTTCAGGAGTTCAGAAACACTGACACTGATATAGAGAAAGAGAAGAACTCCTGCTGGAGGGACTTTGTGAACAAAACCAAGTGACATATTTATATGTACATGTCCCTGTTTATTATCATTTCAATTGTGTAATCTTTGCATTTTAATTGAATTTTTGTTATTAAAAATATATATGTGATTGATTAGAATAATGAGTGTATATGTTACAGAATGTGCCTTCAGAGCTGACTGCATTTTAATTTATTGCATGATGTATGAAATAAATGGTTGGCTGCTTAGTTTTAGAGTAACTAAGATGTTTTATTATGTGTCTCGTGCCAAATTCATACGGCTCTTTATTGCATGCATAAAAAAAGAACATATATATAAAACATAAAACATACATTTTTAGCCTTTTTTAACAGTAGACACAAACAAGTATATGCACACACAAGTCTGGTATATTTTGCTCTCCTCACTTACAGAAATGAACTGATCACAATAGTAAAACAATATCAAATGTCCGAATAATGTTTGGTTTGCCTGTAGAATTGCAGTAAACTTTGCACACTATCAGGAAATCAGGAGCATGTTGAGTTTATGAACTTATTGCGAAAGAGATGTGTTGATCCAGGAATTCAGGAACAACGTCACGCGGGATGCGTGAGTTCTCGCGGTATTACAGGATGTACATCAGCTCTCCGCTGGAACTTGTGGTTTATTATGTTCGTTTGCTCCAGAAAATGACAGAGGCCGAACTGTACACGGTTCATAAAGGTGTGTACGTGCCGACGCATTTACACCCTCCTGAAAGCCTGAAATACTGTGAGGAGTTTACTTTCCGTCCAGATGACATCCTCATCGTCACTTATCCCAAATCCGGTGAGTTTGCAGAGTTTTACCTTTTTATTTTTATTTATTTCTTTTTTTTTTTGCATTAATTTGCATTTGAACTCGTTCATCAAAATGAATGAATCTTTTTCCGAGTCAATTCGTTAATTTCGTTCGTTGAAACAACCAAATTACATTTTGATGAACGAGTTCGAACAGGAGAGTCACAGAACAGAGCAAGGCGAGCATTTGAGCTAATAAAACTTAAACTTTGTTATTTATTTATTAAATGAGTGATCGTTTCGCTTGATAAGACTCTTATTCATCGTCTGGAGTCGTTTAAAGCCCTTTGAACAGTTTGTAGTTTGCACTGAAACTGTCTTTTGGACCTTGAACCGTTTGGACCCCATTGACGTCCATTATATGGAGAAAATCCTGGAATGTTTTCATCAAAAACCTTAATTTCTTTTCGACTGAAGAAAGAAAGACATGGACATCTTGGATGAGTAAATTATCAGCAAAAGATTTTTTTTAAAGTGAACTACTCCTTTAAAAGCTGGATTTTGACCACAGGGGGACTTGACATGACATACAAGTTTGAATGTAAATGACATTTAAAGTACTAGTCCAAAATGCCCGTATTTAGCGATATCTTTTGCATTTCTAATCCAAACAATGTCAAACTTGGCACTGCACTTACTCGTGCCCATAGTAAGACACTTGTCAAGTTTGAGGTCCAACAGTTCGAGAGATATTAACAGACAGACATTCCTGTAATTTATAGATAGATCGATATTGCAGTTTGTCATAAATGTTGTGTGCATTATGCAGTATTCTTTAACTCTATATTTCAAAGACATGAAACTAAAGACATACCTAAGTGTATTCTTTTGAAGCATGTTATTCCTGTACTTCTTTTCAGAAGTATTTGCTTGCAAAAAAATTAGCTATACTTGCATGTAAGAATGAATGATGACTAAACACAAGAACACATCTAGTTTTAAATGCATGTGTGAAATGTAGGTTGCTAGTGATGTGTATACCATGTGTCAATGTGTGTGAGTGAACTCAGTCATGTCAGTGACCCGTGGTTCGCTCGATGTTCTCAGGCACCACATGGATGCAGGAGGTCGTGCCCTTGATAGTGAGCGAGGGCGACCTGACGCCGGCGCTGACGGTGCCGAACTGGGACCGAGTGCCGTGGCTGGAGGAACACCGGGCGATGCTGCTCAGTTTACACCAGAGACCGTCTCCTCGCATCTTCGCCACTCACTTCCATCACGCAATGATGAACGAGTCTTACTTCAAGATAAAGCCCAGGGTAACACCAACGTCCAGGTGCACTTCATAACTCATAAATCATGTGAATCGTCGTCTTCTGCATGCTTTGCTCTGTGCTTCAGGTCCTGTACGTCATGAGGAACCCCAAAGACGTGTTCACGTCCTCGTATCACTACTATGGGATGGCCTCATACCTGGTGAAGCCGGGAACCCAAGACCAGTTCATGGACAAGTTCCTCCATGGAGACAGTAGGACTTCAGCTCTCTTTAGCCTCGATATATGAGACTATGGACATCTTGAACTGTAAAAAGGGGTCTAGATTTGATGTTTTGTCCTCGTGGAATTTGCAGTCTATCTTTATTGCTTGATTTCTTTTCTCCACAGTCATGTTTGGTTCCTGGTTTGATCATGTGAAAGGTTGGCTTAATGCGGATGACCAGGAGACCATACTGTACGTTTTCTATGAGGAGATGATCGCTGTAAGTTGCTTCTTCATGTCACGGGTTGGTTTAAAACAGGAGACAACGATCTTTTATTTATATCCCCCAGTAGTCTATAATTTTATCCCTTAAAATCAGCTTTGATCATCAAAATTATGCATTAAAATGTTTTTTCCTTGATTTTTTCCCCCCTTGCTTTAAATTGGCTTGAATGTAACTCGACACCCTCGCCTCATTTAGTATGCGCGGTCCTATGAATATGCAGATGAGCCCCGCCTCCACTCACTCACTCACTCCACTGGTTGTCGATCACACGTTGATCTGATTGGTTACAAGGTGGTTTGTGACGTCAGAAACACCAGTGTGTTTTTGAGACTGTCTTTAGTTCACTACAGTTTTAAGGAGGAAATACTCAGCAATGCTGTCCACTCATCAACGCACACACGTGTGTGTGTGTGTGTGTGTGTGTTAAAAGCAGATTAAAATTGACACATAAACAACATTAAACGAAATCATAACACTCTGGAACACGAGGAACTAATAGCAAGAAACAGGTGAACCACGTAATCAGTAACCATAGCAACCAAACAGAAGCTGATCAGAAACCGACGAAAATACTTCGCTACGAAACGTGGGCGCCGTCATCTTTAGAATATTGTCTGAACTTCTGTTTTCGCGGTCGCTCTGTATATTTCTATGGCATCGCTGTCGAGGAAGTGGATTTACTTATTGTTCACAAAAGTTATCATGAGCATTGGAAAGCAGATGTCTTAACCCTCTGGGGTTGTTCGTTTCAGAGTCACACTCGGGGTGTTCGGGTCCAAATGGACCCAAAGGGCGGGATTCATATTTTTTTTTTTTTAAAAATCATGATTTTTTTTTTTTTTTTACTAGTTTTTTTATAATATTTTTTCTTTTCTTTTTTGGTGTTTTGAGAAAATTTCAAAAATACATTTTTTTTATAATTAGTATTAATGCAATAATTTTGACAAAATTTCCCCCCATTGAACGTAATAGAAAAAATATTTTAAAATATATATATATATATTTTTTTTTTTTAAAGCTGTATTTCATTTTAGAGTCAAGCCTAGGCCTCATAAAAGCAATTTTTGAAATGAGATGGATGCCATCTGCTGGACAAACTGAGCATTTTAAAAACGCAAAACACATGTATCTGAATTTTTTGGTGTGTTTGTGTATAAAAGTGTGTTTGTGTGTGTGTGTGTTTTGCACTCTTGATGTTTTATAGATTCACCCCTTCACTGTTGTGTGCTTTTTTCAAGATTGTGGCTGATTTGTAGATTCTACGCACAAAAAACTCAGTATTTTCACATTTTTGCCAATTTCCCATTCATTTTCCATGCCAAACACCCCAAGTGTGACTATTTTTTTTTTTACAACCAATTAGACTATTCATATCCGGTTCAAATACCAAATACCAACAAAGTCACCAAATTTCGGACCATCCCGAGGAAGCTGTGATTTAATAAAAAAAAATATTTAAATTCTTCGGGTCCATTAGGGCCGAACAACCCCAGAGGGTTAACAAATGTCGACGGGGATTTTTTTTTACGAGCAGTTCATTCATTCCTATGCAAGATCGCTGTCAAAATACAGACCGGAAGTCAACGCTGAAAAGGGGCGGGGCTACATAACGTCTACATAGCATATGAAAAACCGTACGCCAAAGTAGAGTGTCTATCGTATGCACACTTTAGGATCTCGCTCGTCCCGGCACTTTTTGTTTCTCTGTGAATCCGGAGACATTTCTCTATTGTCACACACTGTTTTTCACTTACTATGAATATTGTAGGGAAGTATGCGATGTGGGATTCAGTCTAAAGGAGACTTAAAAAGTCCTCAGAGAGAAAGATATTCACAAAAGAATGAATTGAACGATGACCCAATCGTGTAGAGGTGAAGTTTATCTCGATAAACACGGCACTTCACAGCAGGATTGAATACGCAGGTTGAGTTTATGGCTTTATTTTTATTACACCTGCCAGAGTTCATGGTTCTCTGTAATCGTGAGAGAACAGTCAGGTCAAGCCGGTTTGGGACGAGGAACTCCAGAGAGAAACACCTTTAATCTTATTATTCATTATTCCCAGTGGAAAACACTGACGACTTGAGAACACACTAAAGATCGAAGCCTCCAACACTATCCCACGACCAATTCGTACGAATTCGACGAATGATTAAAAAGTGGCTAATTCGTAACAATTCATACAACCTCACTCGTACGAATTAATACGATTTTGTTAAAGCCTCGGTAGGCAGTTTCTGTAATCAAATTCTTTTCATATTAATGTAAAAATGTGAAGGCAAATAAAACAGATTTCAGTCAAAGCTGTTAACAGTTGTAGGATTAGGAATCAGTATAAACTCGTCCGTGGTTTAAAGGCGGCTCAGTTTATTATGTTATCAGCTGTTGTAAAATGTCCAAGTTGTTCAAGGTCCTTTTCATTACGTCTCTCTGACGTAATCTGGTGTCCTTCAACCTCACTGAACTCGGTCGAAATATCCACGGTCAGGGTTCTGTCCGCTTTTCCATATCTCAAAAAATCGTGCAAAAGTTGAAGGTGAAACTAATATATTATATAGACTCATTACATGCAAAGTTCAAGCCTTTATTTGTTATAATTGTGTTTAAGAAAATCTTGTCAAAATATTCTAATTTGAACTTGGGGTTTCTTGTAATTATAACAAATAAAGGCCTGAAATATCTCACTTTGCATGTAATGAGTCTATATAATATATTAGTTTCACCTTTTAAGTTGAATTACTGAACTTTTACATGATATTCAAATTTTTTCAGTTTCACCCTTACAACGAACAAACAAGGAGGCAGTATTATTGCTTATTATTCACGTTTGGAGTGTATTTTCATTGTTTTTGGTATACGGTAAAATACTGATATCCTTGTGAAAATGCATCATGATTTCCAATTGTGATCATTTAAATCTTCCGTCAGGATTTGAAAGGATCCGTGGAGAAAATCGCTCAGTTTCTTGGGAAATCTCTGAGTCCGGACGTGACGGAGAAGATCGCCGAACACTGCGTTTTCAAGAACATGAAGCAAAACAAAATGTCCAACCTTTCTTTGGTTCCAGAGGAATTCTTGAACCAGAAGAAGTCAGAATTCCTGAGGAAAGGTAACAGATCATTTCTTCTTAGGGATTGGGGAAAAAACTGACAGTATACTCACTCATGCTTCAAAAGTTCCCAAAGCAACAAAAATCGTCATTTTTGAGTGAATTATCCAAAGCATTTCACTTGAATGTCATTTGACTGTAAGAGTTACTGTAATCTTGTCTTGTTTTATTGATCAGGAATCGCAGGCGACTGGAAGAATCATTTCAACGAGGCTCAAGAGCAGCGATTTGATGCTGTGTACAACGACAAAATGAAAGACGTGAAATTCAAGTTTCCGTGGGACTGAACAAATGCATCGGTTTAATCTCACCTGCTTGACAGGCCTTTCAGACATTTTTCAGATCATTGTTTTTTAAATAAAAGACAATTAAAAATTAACAATAATTATTGTTATTTGTTTGACATTTCCAGTTTATTTGATTTTTGTGATTAAAAATATGCGTTTTAATTTATTGCATAATGTATGAAATAAATTCATAAATTCATTTCTCAATCATCACTGTATTGCATTGCAATATATAAACCTAAGAATTTAAATATCAACTTGTTAAGACATGATTGGTAGATATTGGTATTTATATGTATTTTATGTCTGTATCTGTTGTAAAAATTTAATTGACTCGCGTCCTCGTGATCATTCTCCTGAGTCGGACTTTGCGTTGGCTTCTTGGAAACGCCTAATGCCAGCACTTGTTTCTAGTGACAAGATCTGCTGTCTGTTGTTGTTTACTATGTCGCTTTCTTTGCATGAAAATGACGTCGATCGCTTCTTTCCAGCATACCACGCCTATCAAGTAAGGGTACTGTTGGCGGTGGAAACGCAAGCCTGATCATGGTGGACCCGACCCGACCCGTACTGTACCGTACCGTACCGTACCCCTCAGTAGAAACGAGCCATAAGTGTAATCCCAATCCTACATAATGCATCTGTCTGCGTATTCAGTACATTCGACCATATTTTCAAAAAGTTCCTGCCGGTGAAATCAAACGCAGTGGCACTGATCTGTGATTGGTCTGTTAGCGCATTAGCCCAACCCCCTATGGGCGGGTTTGAAAGGGTGGGATCTAGTGTTTGTAGTCTTTGCAGAAATCCCCCTCTTACACTTCCTCCTACAATGACGTGAAATGACGATTTTTGCTTCAGTGTAGGAGGAAGTGAAAAAGGTAAATAGCGGATTTCTCTCGTCTCGGGGGGAAAATGAGAGAGTGTTGCACGACCATAACTGGGTTTCTAACAATGGAAAGCTTAATGCAAATGCGTGGAGTGTCCCATTAAGTAATAACATTTTTATTTCTGCAAGTGATGACATAATTGTTGATATCAAGAATCAACATTACTAGTGGAAATGGTTTTGGGTTGGTGGAAGTAGCGAGGACTCAAGTGCAGGACAGGGTTTTTATTAAAGGACAACTCCGGCGCAAAATGAACCTTTAGTCTAATTACACATTGTTACCTAGTCAACCGTTATCTGAGATTTGTTTTCATGATTGCCGAATGTAAATAGTTTTATCTCTAAAAACAGTTTAGCCTATAACGCTAGTATAATGCTAGTATATGGGCATAGAGTAATGACAAATAAAAATCGCTTGTCATTAACACTAAAAAGGCTCAAAATAGCCCCACAGTAACACGACAGCATAAAAAGAGTCCCTACATTCAAACCGAAGCATTGAGAACTTTGTCAGTGTCCATACAGTTTAATAAGCAGATGTTTTATACACACAGTAAATTTCGCGAATTCAGGAAGAAGCCATCTTGGAAAAATAGTCTCTACCAGTCGATCTACGAACGCCGATCCAAGTGCGCTGGTGAGATGTGAATAAGGTGATAAGGTGAGCGCGAACAGTAGGCTACGTGTACATATTGAAGACAAGTAAACGGTTTGTGTTTCTTCTGGAAACAACGGACCATTTGAGATTCTGCACAGTTCAGCGCACTTGGATCGGCGTTCGTAGATCGACTGGTAGAGACTATTTTTTAAAGATGGCTTCTTCCTGTATTCGCGAAATTTACTGTGTGTATAAAACATCTTCTTATTAAACTGTGTGGACACTGACAAAGTTCTCAATGCTTCGGTTTGAATGTAGGGACCCTTGTTATGCTGTCGTTTTGGTGTGGGGCTATTTTGAGCATTGTTAGTGGTAATAACAAGCGATTTTTATTTGTCATTACTCTATGCCCTATATACTAGCATTGAACTAGCGTTATAGGCTAAACTGTTTTTAGAGATAAAACTATTTACATTCGGCAATCATGAAAACAAATCTCAGATAACGGTTGACTAGGTAGCAATGTGTAATTAGACCAAAGGTTCATTTTGCGCCGGAGTTGTCCTTTAAGTGCTTTATCCATGTGTTCAAAGTACCAAACATGACAAAAACACAAGCACATGCTCAGTAGAGCAAATCACCAAAATGGCAAGCCGTTTTAGCTTTTATTCATTTCCAGGATATGAATTCTTGATATCAAGAATTCAATTGTTGATATCAAAGATTACATTTTTTGATATCAAGAATTTAATTGTTGATATCAACAATTAAATTATTGATATAAACAATTACATTCTTGATATCAATAATTACATTTTTGATATAAAAAATGTAATTCTTGATATCAACAATTGTATTTTCACTAGTGAAATGTCACCATATGCTGCCATTCAAAACCAATTGTTGATATCAAGAATTGATTTCTTACTAGTTGAAATTCCAATTTCACATATCAGAAATACAATTATTACTAGTAAAAACCTTTATTTTTGATATCAAGAATTCAATTGTTGAAATGTCTTGATATCCACAATTGAATTGCTACTAGTAACAATGTTCATTTTTGATATCAATAATTCAATATTTACTAGTGACAATGTTAATTGCTGACATCATGAATGTGATTGTTACTAGTAAGAAAGCCATTGTTGATATCTGAAATAATATTGATATCAGAAATACATTTTCAGATATCAAAAATGGTAATTTTTACTAGTAACAATTGAATTGTTGATATCAAGAATAGACATTTCAACTAGTGACAATTTAATTATTGATATCAGGAATTCACATTTTTACTAGTAACAATGTAATTATTGATATCAAAAATTATATTTCTACTAGTTAAAAAACAATTCTTGATATCAACAATTCATTTTGAATGGCAGCCTATGGTGACATTTCACTAGTGAAAATACAATTACAGATATCAGCAATTAAATTATTGATATCAACAATTGTTGATATCAAGAATAATTCTTGATATCAACAATCAAATTGTTGATATCAAGAATGTAATTGTAATTCATATCCTAGAAATGAATAAAAGCTAAAATCACAAGCCATGTGCTAACAGCAGCCAAAGAAAACACTCGTAAGCCACATGATCACCCAAAACCATTATTGTTTTCCTGCTGTTATATTGACCTCTTTCCATGGTTTAAAAACACTAATTGGTCGATATTATGTATACTTTCTAGCTGTAATGTTACCTTACCCTTGCCTGTTGCAATGTGAAAATGAGATAAATAATGGACACAAATGAAAAACATAAATTTGTTTATTTGATTTCATTCATTTATTTATTTATTGTTGCCAAATGTACAGATCTTTTTATAGTTTCCTCGTTAGCAAACGTTAGCCTAGCTAGCTTGCCAAGCTATTTTCATAAATAACGTTAATCTGTAAGATCGTTTGTACCTTCATCTGTGACTGGAGGCCACTGCAGTCACAGATCAAACCAACAAGTCATTCTGCCTGGCTGTAGCTGTCATCTTGAAACAGGGGAGCCCCCCCACTTTAATGCATCAGCGTCAATGTAGTAGACACAGGTCTAACGCAAATAAAAGCACCATAAATCATCATAAATGCGATTTTTCTTGTTTTTTTGGTTTGTTCCAACGGTCAGACATGTATTCATCATTGATTCCAGAAAGAAAAATTTTTTTTTTTTTTTTTTTTTTAAAAAACATTCTTCCTAGTTCAGATTTCATCCGTGAACATCATACGCTGCACAAAAGTCCGCCACCATCAATGAATTCGAAGTAAAGGCAGAGATAGCAGCGTTACCTAGCTACTTCCTATGACAAGACCCCTGTTCCAAGATGGCGGCGGTTTTGACGCATGCTTAGAACCGCCAGGTGAGGTCTAGTGTATATGTCTATGTGCCTGTGTAACAGCTCAGTAATGGCGTCGCCACAAGATGGCAGCCTACACAGAACGCTCGTCGGATTCGTCTATTGTTACTGGTTAAAATCCAATTTCTGATATCAAGAATGACATTTTTAACTATTTTTTTTAATTATATTTCTGCAAGTGTTGGTGTCAAGAAAATATCAAGAAATCATATTATTAGTGGAAATGTAATAATATTAATCCCTAATGTCAAACATCGCCATTGATCGATGGGTATCATCATATCATCGGATTTCTGGTATCAGGATTATTAAGTGAAAATAAAAGAAAAAGCGGCTTGCCATACTGCATCTGCTGGTCGCGTGAGTTCTCGCGGTATTACAGGATCTGACTACATCAGCTCTCCGCTGGAACTTGTGGTTTATTATGTTCGTTTGCTCCAGAAAATGACAGAGGCCGAACTGTACACGGTTCATAAAGGTGTGTACGTGCCGACGCATTTACACCCTCCTGAAAGCCTGAAATACTGTGAGGAGTTCACTTTCCGTCCAGATGACATCCTCATCGTCACTTATCCCAAATCCGGTGAGTTTGCAGAGTTTTACTTTTTTATTATTGCATTAACATTATATAATTATCATTCTGTAAAGCTTCACTCGGCAGATAGTAGCCCACTGTGAACTTAGTAGTTCGTTAAACGTCCAACAATTCACCATGAAAACTGTTGAAACCTGTTGTGTACTTTTTATATAAATAAAATATTGACAATATTGAAAATATTGACTCATTTAGCCTACTGTATGTTAAAAACTGTAGCAAAATATCTTGCAGAATTTACAACTTGGTTATTCGTTTAAGTTGCTGCAGAAAGACAATCGATTTCCTTCATGCTGTCTAGGCAGCTCACGTCCCCACACACACACACACACACACACACTGTTATTTCAGGACAAAACCTGCTTTGGACTGGAATGTTTGTTATGTAGAAACATGGCTGTGCATGTTAATAATTATTACAAGGCTGGATCTGAAAACACATAATATACTTCCCTGCTGTATAGTAGGTGACAAAATAATATGTTCGAATTAACTGATGGACACTTTACTATCCCATGAGGCCACGGGAAAGGGTTTATGAACTACCAGGTCACTTGATAATGACAACATGTGATTTAAACAAAGTGATAATTTTAAGAGTGTGTCACTGTGTGTGAGTGAACTCAGTCATGTGAGTGACCCGTGGTTCGCTCGATGTTCTCAGGCACCACATGGATGCAGGAGGTCGTGCCCTTGATAGTGAGCGAGGGCGACCTGACGCCGGTGCTGACGGTGCCGAACTGGGACCGAGTGCCGTGGCTGGAGGAACACCGGGCGATGCTGCTCAGTTTACACCAGAGACCGTCTCCTCGCATCTTCGCCACTCACTTCCATCACGCAATGATGAACGAGTCTTACTTCAAGATAAAGCCCAGGGTAACACCAACGTCCAGGTGCACTTCATAACTCATAAATCATGTGAATCGTCGTCTTCTGCATGCTTTGCTCTGTGCTTCAGGTCCTGTACGTCATGAGGAACCCCAAAGACGTGTTCACGTCCTCGTATCACTACTATGGGATGGCCTCATACCTGGTGAAGCCGGGAACCCAAGACCAGTTCATGGACAAGTTCCTCCATGGAGACAGTAGGACTTCAGTCAATCAATCAATCACTTTATTTATAAAGCACAATTAAACACAACTTCCGTTGACCAATGAGCTGCACAGATTAAAAATACAAAACCGAAGCTAGATAAAAGACAAGGACAAACCGCAGACAGATCAAATAAAAAAGTCTTTAACCTCACTTAAAAGTGGACAGTACTAATTTCAGGAGGGAGATTGTTCAGTATGGCTCTCCTCATGTTGTTCAACCCCGTAAGACTTTCGTTCATCTTCAGAACACTAATTAACCCTTGTGCATCCGTATGGACATTTTTGTCCTTTTCAGTTTTTTTTAATTTTTTTTATCACTTTGCCTGTTTTAAAGCTAACTGCAAAAAAATTGGCACAGGTGTGTATTTTTATTGGAATTTTAATATTTCACCGTCATTTTCTTTAAAAAATATTTTTTGCATTAGGTACAAAAAATACTCCCTCTCAGCGCCTTTTGGACAAAAATGTCCCCATTAAAACTGCCATTTTTAATCTCCGGTTCAGTTAACTATAAAATTATGCAATCTTTGTTCAGAGGCTTTCATTCTGATGGCAAGGCTTCAAAATTTTATTTTTTACAATTTTTTTATCAGATGGTGCCATTTTTTTTTTCATGGATGTAAGAGTGTGGTTAGTATGTGTGTTATAAAAAAATATGTGTGTGTTTGTAAGACTGAGACAGAAAAACTGCAAATTCAAATCCAATCACTGTGAGCTCCAGTGGGGTTTTGCTGCCACCCAATGGGGAAAATATGTTACTACGCCCAAACAAACTGTTACCCAAAGCTCATTTTTTGAGATATCATCCTCAAATTTGTAACACAACCTTTTTAAAATTATGGCTTTGATTTTATTGCAGTTTTGAGTTTAACCTGATTTATAAAATATATATTTTATGTAAAATATTTTTTATAAATAATTTTCATAAACTTATACCTATATAACTTTTTTTTGGATTTACTTATTATTATTTTTTTACTTCAGAAATAATCTGCAAAGGGTCTTCTTTAAAATGATACCAAACTCAAGTCTGTGCTCCGAAGCGTCACATTTTTATGACAGTTTTTTGAGATGGACATTTTTGTCCTCTTTTTTACCTATGTGTAACTTTTTTAAGTAGGGCTGTCAAACGATTAATCGCGATTAATCGCATCCAAAATAAAAGTTTGTGTTTACATGATATATGTGGGTGCACTGTGTATAATTATTATATATATATATAAATACACACACAGGCTTGTATATATTTAAGAAATATTTTCATGTATATATTTAGATATAATTTATATTATATATAAATACTATTTTTTTTTTTCTTAAATATACATGCAAGTATGTGTATAGATACAAAATAATTATACACAGTATATTATGTAAACATAAACTTTTATTTTGGATACGATTAATCATTTCACAGCCCTAATTCAGAGATCATTTTTGTTAATTAATGTCAGCAAAACATTCTTTTTAAAAAAATGTTTGTTTGCTGGGATTTTTATCACTAGAGCAAACAAACCGAAGGTCCAAATACTGAAGTACAAATCGATTCTCCTGCCTATAGATCCCAATAAACTATGGTAATATAGTTTTCTCTTTGTCCTGCAATGAAATGAATTACAGGTTTGGTGTGATTCAAGCGTGATTTCTTTTCTCCACAGTCATGTTTGGTTCCTGGTTTGATCATGTGAAAGGTTGGCTTAATGCGGGTGACCAGGAATCCGTACTGTACGTTTTCTATGAGGAGATGATCGCTGTAAGTTTGGGTGAATATGGAGCTTGAGTTTATGACTGCTGTCGTTACCACAGATGATATAAGCTTGTCTTTATCCAAATCTTCCGTCAGGATTTGAAAGGATCCGTGGAGAAAATCGCTCAGTTTCTTGGGAAATCTCTGAGTCCGGACGTGACGGAGAAGATCGCCGAACACTGCGTTTTCAAGAACATGAAGCAAAACAAAATGTCCAACTTTTCTTTGGTTCCAGAGGAATTCATGAACCAGAAGAAGTCAGAATTCCTGAGGAAAGGTAGCAGATCATTTCTTCTTAGTGATTGGGGAAAAAACTGACAAATACTCACTCTTCCATGCTTCAAAAGTTGCAAACGCACCAACAATAGTGTTATAAAAATAATTTCACTTGAATATCATTTGACTGTAAGAGTTACTGTAATCTTGTCTTGTTTTATTGATCAGGAATCGCAGGCGACTGGAAGAATCTGTTCAACGAGGCTCAAGAGCAGCGATTTGATGCTGTGTACAACGACAAAATGAAAGACGTGAAATTCAAGTTTCCGTGGGACTGAACATATTGTGCTTTTAATAACCCTGATGAATCCTTTGGTGCTCGTTTATAATATTCCTGGTCCGCAGATGTGTGTGATTATTACATAAATCCACCTTGACTGTCTTTTTGTCCACATTATTTTAAAATAGATCACAAAAGTGGTTCTGCTCTAGATATCTCTGTAATACATTACTTTATCAAAATTAATATTAACATTCCTCCTTTGATTAAAAGTATAGTTTCTTTATCAATGAGTGACAATGATTTAGCTGTGTTAATTATGCTTTCTTACTATTTTAATGTGATTTGGTAATGCTTTACAATATGTTACAAAGAAATATAAATTTTACAGCATTTATTAACCTTTCATGTTAGTAAAAATGTTCAGATTATTTACTATGTAAACAGATATAATACTGGATCATGTTTTATGAGATTAATAAACAATACTAAATAACTTTTAAAGGCACTCTATATTACTCTTTCTTGTTCATAATGTATATAATGAGTGAGTGCATCATGAACTCATCTTGAGTTACGACGGTACGCTTATAATTAGTGTTTTTATTCGGACTATTTTACACCACCCGCTGCGGAGGAGCACAGTACCTGCGTGACTTGTCATAGACACAAACAGAGAAGTAGCTCCGGCAACAATGTTCTTCCGCGAGACGCATGCAGTTCTGTTTATAGACCTTTCTCACAACTTCCGTATTTGTGACCGGAAATACGCAATTGTCGTGGTAATCTTCTTCCGCTCCATTCATAACAGATAGCGCCGAAGGCAACTAGTGAGAGTTGTTGCATCTTTTTTGTTTTTCCCAAAAGCAGCCATACCTGTCGTTTTCATTCCTTCCCTCGTCAGTTCCCTGTCGATGAAGTTCGGCGGAAATGGATTCAGGCAATCTGGCGGGATGTTATTGATCCTGTGATCTTCTGTACTTCTCATGTCACCATTCACTAATAAGCCGTCATTGTTTGTTTATTTTTTATGTTTCATGATTTGCGTATTTTTGAAGTAACGTTAGTTCATGTTCAACTTTATTAAGATATTTGTATCCAGCGGAATAAGCACATAAAATATACACCACAATATAAAACAAAATAAATAAGAACACACAACTTGGGCTACATATAAATTTCAAATATTAATCCCATTCTGAGTATTTAACAATCTGAGTGTACAAGGAATAAATTAATATTTGTATAATTTTTCTTCATCTTTGATCGTTCTATAGCAACAGCAGTGCAAAAAGTTCAGGATAACTGTTGAATAAAACTGACAGACTTCTTTCTGGTATTCACATCAAAATGTAGTTTATTGTAAATAATACTCCCTAAATATGAATAACTTTCCACACACTCCACCTTCTTACCTTTAATGAACGTATATTGGGAAGAATGAGCTTCAGTTCTAAAATCAATATCATATCTTTGGTCTTAGATAAATCAGCTGCAGACAAGCATCACCACAGCATTTTACAAAGTCATCAACAACTGGACCATGACAAGTTTACATTTTTTCGAAGTTTTGAAGACTCTCTGATCAATTTTCTCCTCCCAGAGTAGGTTTTTCTGATGTGTTAACACTACAGTTGACGGGAACTCCGTTTCCACAACGATTACGTATTTCCGGTTTTTGTGAAAAAGGTCTATTAACCGTTTTATAGAAATCTTGGAAGATTCAAATTGGATTTTTAGATTGAGTTGTATGCAGTTTTATTTTTAATGCCCGAAATTTTAATAAATATATAATGTGTTATGTATAATCAGCTTTCAAATTCCTGAGGTAATCGTGAGTGAAAACATGAGCGATATGCTTCCACATCACTAGAGGGCAGCGGTGCTCCTCTAAAACTCCCAACGGCACGGAACCGAAGAAGAAGAAGCTTAGAAATAGAAACATATCGCGCATCTGAGGGAAATGGGAATAAATTCGGAGTCAAACTCATTCATATGTTTGGAGTTCAAATATACATTTCAAAACAACTGGTCCTACCATTATTTACAGTAATTAGATGATATATATTACATTTACATATTAGAACGGGCGCAACTTTTCTTGAGGTATTTATTTTAGCCGCAAAACTATCTTCAAACAGCGTAACTTACCTAAATAGTATTTTCCCCTTTTGGATAAATCCAGTTTTATGTGACTTAACAGATTATTATTAATTTGCTGCGCTTTTCCTTCTGACTAAAAAAAGTAAAAGACACAAGTCAATGAATCAGGATTATGATTTACAACGTATGGAAGTTCAATGTTTTGAAAGTCTTGTTTATGTATCAAATAATAAATTCTCATCTTTAAATCGGAGATGTCACACAGTTTTTCTGAAGAAAATTTAAGGTTGAACTGAAATGATTTTTGTCTGATATCTGATGTTAGATGAGTGGAGGCCGTCAGAGAGAGCAGGGGCCCCCGGTGAGGTCAAGGGCCCCGGAGGAACAGACGCCCCCCACGTCAGGAGCCCATCAAAGTACTGTTCACCTCTCTCTGGTCCAGCATTATATACAATTTATATTTTTAGCACTTTTTATAGTTTGTGTCAGGATAAAGATACTACACAGACACACACTCACATCACTCACTCATACAAACAGACATTCACTCACACACACACACACACACACACACACACACACATGCTTACATATACATTTTAATGAATTAGTTTGTGGCAGGATAAAATCTGATGGGAAAGATATTACATGTCTTGCTCAGCTGTACCGTACATCTTCTTCTTCCTCTTCTTCAGGCCCGTCGCTGCAAACCCTGATAGAGGAGGTCGTGAGCCTCCTCCAGAGTTACCCAGAAGGCATTGAGGTGTCCCGGCTCACCGCCCTCTACAGACGGGTCTACGGTAAGAGGTTCGGGCCCTTGACCAGCTACGGGCTCTCAGGCCTCCAGGAGCTGTTCCTGCAGATCGGGGACCGGGTGTGTGTGGAGAGGACACACACTACAAACATCATCAGAGCCGTGACCCCGGGGCTCGGAGGTCAAGGTATGAACCTTTACCCAAGACAGATTCTAAAATAAGTGTACTCAGAGTAGCATAGTGGCCAGGTTGATTAACTATCATTTTTTAATGAATGTTTTTTTGTAAACAAATAATTTAAAGTGGTTTTTGAATCCAACACTGAAGAGAGTTAAACTGCAGTTCCTCCACTGGCCACTAGAGACTCAATCCCATAGACCCGCATGTTAAAATGGCCAACTTTACAGCAGAATAAAACACGTTTACAGTCTGGTGCAAAACGTGGGTTTGGTCTGTATCGCTAATTCTGCTCTTCATGACGACTGTGAGAGGGTGATTTTTTTTAATAACTCATCCGTTTACATTATATTAAGTCTTAAAGGGTTAGTTCACCCAAAAATGAAAATTAAGTCATTAATTACTCACCCCCATGCTGTACCAACCCCGTAAGACCTTCGTTCATCTTCGGAACACAAATAAAGATATTTTTGATTGAATCTGAGAGCTGTATCACTCTTCCATAGACAGCCTGAGGGACTGCCTCTTGACGGCCCAGAAAGTCATTAAAAGAAAAGGTTTAAATATTCCATGTGCCTACAGTGGCTCAACTATAACTTTATCAAGCGACGAGACTACTTTTTGTGCGAAAAAAAACGTAAATAACGACTTTATTCGACTTTCCATTACTTCCTTATGGGCGCATGCGCGAGAACTGAGACGAGACCGTTCTTCTTCGACTACTTTTTGTTACCGGCTGCTCACCGCTTAGGAGTTTTACCGCCCCCTACCGTATAAGATGACGTACTGATATAGCCGGAGGCGCAAAACGTTCTGTTTACAAGCAGTACGTCATCTTATACGGTAGGGGGCGCTAATACTCCTAAGCGGTGAGCAGCCGGTAACAAAAAGTAGTCGAAGAAGAACGGTCTCGTCTCAGTTCTCGCGCATGCGCCCATAAGGAAGTAATGGAAAGTCGAATAAAGTCGTTATTTACGTTTTTTTTTTCGCACAAAAAGTAGTCTCGTCGCTTGATAAAGTTATAGTTGAGCCACTGTAGGCACATGGAATATTTAAACCTTTTCTTTTAATGACTTTCTGGGCCGTCAAGAGGCAGTCCCTCAGGCTGTCTATGGAGGACTGATCTAGCTCTCAGATTCAATCAAAAATATCTTTATTTGTGTTCCGAAGATGAACGAAGGTCTTACGGGGTTGGTACAGCATGGGGGTGAGTAATTAATGACTTAATTTTCATTTTTGGGTGAACTAACCCTTTAAAGTTCTGCATTAAGGGCGTGGTCACTTGAGTGACAGGTGCATTGTCGCTGATGTCACTACTAGCCGTTTGTCTGCTAGCGTTAGCGTCACGTCACCTCAGCTAATATGCATCCTATGCAATGTCGTTTGCAGGGTTCGATCAAGGTGCTTAAAGTTCTTGAATTTGGCTTTTTGAAATGAAAGTCCTGGAAAACCCTTGAAAACAGACATATTTACAAAGAGGTACTTGAAAAGTGCTTGACTAAATATAATATATTTGAAATTTGATAAAAAAAAACTAAAAAAAACAAATCTTTTCACGCAAAATTAACACTGCAGCCTGTCTGTTAAATCGATATGAAACACGCCAACAATATAAAATAAAATATGAAGAGTTCAGATGCTAAAGCCTCTAAATGTCATTTGAAATTTTCTTCTAAAATGACCATTTTTATCAAACTTGTATATTTAAGTTCAGTAATTTCACTTGAACTGATTCAAATGGCACTTAGAGGCTTTTGCATCTGAACTCTTCATATTATTTATTGAACAATAATATCCATTACAAACTTTGTATTAAATATATTATTAAATGTGTTGTGAGTTGTGTTTTTGATACCTTATATCCTTGAAAATCCTTGAAAAATACGAAAGATTTTGTTTGAAAATTGCAATGTCTGATTAATCCTTCAAAATAAAATGCCGTTTGAAATTTTCTTCTAGAATGATCATTTTTATCAAGCTTGTATATTTAAGTTCAGTAATTTCACTTAAATGGCAATGAAGATTACCTATTACTTGTCATTTAAGTGTCAATTAATAACTTAAATATACAAGCTTGATAAAATGATCATTCTAGAAGAAAATTTCAAATGGCACTTAGAGGCTTTTGCATCTGAACTCTTCATATATATATATATATATATATATATATTTACATTGAGTCAACCTCAAGGAACATATAAAAATAATTAAAAAAAGAATATCCTCATGGCCTCTTTTAATTGAACATCTAATTCTAATGTCGAATTTTCTATCATTAAATATGTATTTATATAATAAATCTCAATGTATTTGATCAGCTTTTGTTATTGGTCTTGCAAAAGTTGCATCATTAAAACATTAAAACTAAATGCCAAATAAATCATTACAATGCGATCTATACGGCATGTATCAGTATTTCCTGCATGCTGAGCAAACGAGGGATCTTTGTAAATAAGCATATTTTATTTTCCTCACTGCCCCTTTATTTGCCCAGCCATTTGAGTATCGTGTTTCAGGGAAATGCAGAAGCGTATGTCATCACAGGCTCCAGCAAGGAGAGTCACATGACTTCCTTCACAACAGAGAGCCTTAGATCAGCTGAGGGCAGGAAAACGAAACCTACGGGTGAAGCTCATGCCGTCATTAATCATTCCTCACAAGCCCTCTACACGCTCACACTGTGTTGTTATGATCGCAGTCGAGTCGTTTAACGCATTTCTCAAGCATGTTCAGTCTGTCAGGTAGGATCTTTAACTAGATGGTTGCCTTGTTTTCTAGAAACGAGAACATGACTCAAGCCTTTTGTTTCAGTTTTGTTTCTCATGATGCAGTGCATATTTATGATGGGAGAGTCTAGTATAAGGCAGAACACAGTACGTTAGTCACTCAGTTGTTCAGACAGAGCTGCACATTCAATGGGTAAGACTATGCTATGCTAACACATGCGTATAAGACATTATTGTAAAGTGTTACCAGGTTTATTTGATCTTACTTTAGAATAAATTGTGTTATAATGAGTATGTATGTAATTCACTTGTGAAATGGCTTGTGAACCCATTGTTATTGCTGAATAACTTGGCAAATGTAACTGATTTATATACAGCATTTATATACAAATTATTATTATACACAGCATTAATTATTATGTGTAGGGTTAGAATTAATTATTATGTGTATTAATTATTAATTATTAATACAGCATTAATTAATTATTAATTATTTATACAGCATTAATTGTTGTTTCCCCCAGTAGTCAATAATTTTATTCCTTAAAACTCATCTTTGATCACCAAAATGACATATTTAAAAGTTTACATGCCTTAAAATATCTTGAATGTAACTCGACACCCTCGGCTCATTTAGTATGCGCGGTTCTATTAATATGCAAATGAGCTCCGCCTCCACTCACTCACTCAGAGAGCCACTGGTTGTCGATCACACGTTGATCTGATTGGTTACAAGGTGGTTTGTGACGTCAGAAACACCAGCGATTTCAAAGTGTGTTTTTGAGACTGTCTTTGGTTCGCTGCAGTTTTAAAGAGGAAATACTCAGCAATGCTGTCCACTTATCAACTTAAAGCATATTAAAAGCACCACATAGACACATAAACAACATTAAAAGCTTGATTATTTAGCTTATGAGACAAAAAACAGTTTTACTGAATTATATAAAGGCTTACTTGTGAGTTTTGTCCATTTCAAGTTCAAAAGTGATTCTCGAACGAACACCGCAGTGTGAAGTAAATTGAAGGTGGAGTTTGAGAATAAAATCCTCAAAGGAATGTTCGTTGCAGTTGAATTTTGATGTAAAATTTTAAGTCCATATTTGATAAAATGTGTAGACCTTAAAAATATTATTTTATGTTAAAGGAGTAGTTCACTTTTTTTTTTTTTTTACTTTTGCTGATAATTTACTCGCCCCCATGTCATCCAAGATGTCCACATCTTTCTTTCTTCAGTGGAGAAGAAATTAAGGTTTTTGATGAAAACATTCCAGGATTTTCTCCATATAATGGACTTCAATGGGGTCCAAACGGTTCAAGGTCCAAAAGACAGTTTCAGTGCAAACTACAAACTGTTCAAAGGGCTTTAAACGAGTTAACGGATGCAGATTCATGTTTTCGTTACACAGGGAAACATCAACACTATATTTTTTAATGTGTTTTGCGCCCTTTCCGGAGCTGTGCGTATCTACTACCAGATTAAACCTAGTCTCGGATTAAACTAGTAGGATTTTCAGTGGCCGAATCGCCTGTTATACCTTATAATATAAAGTACTATCAGGAAAGCCATCTTCAAATATATCTTACACTATACTGAAACTGCTGTCCTATATTTTACAGGTGAAGACTTTGAAAAGAGATGCAAAGAGGTCGTGGAGTTGGTGAAACGCCACCAGGAAGGGATTCCTCTTATAAAATTAGCAGTGTTTTATAATAGGGCGTATGGGAGACCTCTGAGAAAGAAAGAGTTAGGCTTCTCCTCAATTGCAGATTTCATTGACTCTCTCAGCCAAGAGCTGTACGTGGAAAAGGGTCAGATCTTCTACAGGAGGGCCATGGCTGAAGCTTCAGCACCTACAGGTAAATTGTCAACTTGTATGACTCAAAAAAATACAATAAAATTAAGGGTTCTGTCATTCACTCTCATATGTTTTTTTAATAGTTTTCTCAGCACCCGTTCACATCGATGGGGTTTGTGAAGACGTTGTGGAGCTGGTTAAGGAAAATCCACAAGGCATTTCTCTTAAGTCGTTATCTACATTCTTCAATCAGAAGTATCGGCGAAACCTCAAAGTCTTAGACTATGGTTTTAGCTCAATCCCCGACTTCGTTGATTCTCTGAGCGACGAGCTCTTGGTGGAGAAAAACAGAGTCTTCCATAGGAGTCACAGAAGTGTCCCGACACCAACAGTGGACATCAACCCAACACCTGCGAATGCATCCAGCAAAGCAAATGTATTGGGAGATTACTTTGCTCAAAGAGGTAGTGAAATAAGAGGATCTGATAGATAAAGTTAACGAGGTTATAAGAAAGTATCCCGCTGCAAACAATTCCATTAGTGAACTGGAGAACGGCTACTCCCTCTTATTTGGGTCAACATTGCCGTTAAAAACGTACTCCTCTTGTCCAGCGGTAGACAATAAACAAACAGGAGCAAAGTGCCTTGACAGTAAGAGTATATACAGTTATATAAGGGGCTTTCACACCGGAGGAGCCAATTGGAGGAACTAATTTGCTCCAACTCCAGAGTCGGTCTAAACCAGCGCTATAAGAACTATCCTTGACATCGCTGATTGGCCGAACGCACCAGCACCCACTATTTTTTTTACAAACATACAGATTATAGCCTATATATTTACACCGAAACTAACATAAAACATAAAAAAAGATGGCCGCCAACGGGTTTCGATTTTGAGATGCGCAAAATTTCCGTTTTTTTATTTTTATTTTTAATTTGTTAATTTTTACATTTTAAATTTTTAAAATGTTTAAATTTTAAAATGTTTAATTTTTTTAATGTTTTAGTTTTAATTTTTTTTTATTTTAATTTTTTTAAATTTTAAATTTTTAAATTTTTTTAATTTTAAATTTTTTTAATTTTTTAATTTTTATTTTTTTTAATTATTTAATTTTTACAATTTTAAATTGTTAAAATTTAAAATTTTTAATTTTTTTTTAATGTTTTAAATTTTTAAGTTTTTACATTTGTAATTTTGTAATTTCAAAATTTGACGCACAAATTAACACAAAGTGGTCAAGCATCAAACTATACGCGAATTTTACACTCTATTCGCGTCCGGTGTGAACGTAGCATTAGGGGAACCATTAGTTCTCTGGGACTAGAACTATCCAGTGCGAAAGCCCCTTTTATAGACTATAAATAAACGTTTTCTTGTTCTTAAGTCTTTAAAAACACGTCTTTATTTTTGTAGAACCACAACAGAAGATTGACGAGGACCCAAAGAAGGTTCAGTCCAAACCCGTGGTGGATGACCAAGTGGTCCGGCCCAAGGCAAGTTTAACCCCCCTTGGTAATCTGTCATTTGGCGACTTCCCAGTTCTTGGTTCCAAGATTCCCAAAGCTGAGGAGAAGAAGCTGAAGGAGGGACGAGGGCTCGTCTTCTACGAGTCCTTCTACAGCCAAGTGAGGGAGGTTCATGGTGCGCACATGCGGGCCGCAGACGCCTTGCTGGAAGACGAAAACAACGTTCGGAGACGGAGGAAAGCCATGAGCGCAAGCGAAGTGAACAGTTTGGCGGAGGACGTCATGAGAGCCCTTTCAGCCGTAGGAGAGCATGTGACCATCGAGAGGGTTTGTGTCTTGGGAAATAATCCAGACCTATTTTGTTCACTTGCCCAATGTCGAAACCATGACTACATTTTTGTTTTTTCACAGGTAATATGCAGAGTTTGCTCGCTTCTACAAGTGTCTACTTTGAAAGATTTGAAGGTGGACGCTCGTTGGCATCTGCCTGCTGTGCAGGACCTTCAGCGCACCATCAAGGAGATCAATTTGTACATTGAGGTATGAGGTCATGTGATGAGTCTTTTCTCTGGTGTCTTGAGTTCACAGGGTTCCTACGCAGTTTGGAAAAGTATGGAATTTGATTTGAGTAATTTCCAGGTCTGGAAAAGTATGGAAAAAATTAATCAGAGTATGGAAAAATATTGATGTTTCCAGACTATTGTGCCTATTTCGTTTTCTAAATATAAAATTAATCATTTCTAAATGTATATAATATGCAATCGTCTTTTTCATGGCGTTTGGATTAGGCTGCCAGCGAGCGCTGCCTAAAGATCGTTTTTACACTTGATCTGCCGGAGTCTAGGTCTGCAGTGATTGGTTGTTACGTTGTTAGGCAGCAGTTGCCATCACAGCGCCCCTACCTCAAACAGAGTTTGACTAAACAACTAAACATGACTTTAGGCTCTATTTTCTAATTTTCTGGTTAATTGTACATGAACATCCTTTCTGTTTTTGTAGGGGTTTACAGTTATTTAAATAAAAAAAAAATTAAATTTCAAAAATGAACAAATATTTAGCATTGCAGTTTTAATAAAATGCTGTGCTTTGAACCTGACTGGGTTTGGTGTTAATTGACTTGTACGTGTATACAAATTTAACACGATCGCATACACATTTTGACTTGTCGGTGCTGATAGCATTGTGGGTAAGTGCGTCACCATGTAGCGCCATTGTGCGTCAGGATCATCAATCTCAATCTCCTATTCTAATTAAAGGCAAAAGCGCCAATAATACATCTTTAGAATGTAACATACTTGTTAGCAGTTGAATTTTAAAACAATTTATCAGAACAAGTTAAAGACAACCACTATTCAACCAGAAAGAAGTCATATAACCATTCCAATAACTCCGAAGCTGTTCAGTTCTGCTAAAAAACCTGAATAGTTCCCTTTAAATATGGTCGGAAAAATCTGTAGTGAGGTCTGGAAAAGTATGGAATTTTGAAATGGAAATTGTGTAGGAACACTGATGTGTTTCTTTCCCCGTCAGTCAGTGGAGGCGGTGTCTTCTGTGTGCACACTTTACGAACTGGGACAGGCTCTGGCCAATCTGAAGAACAAGAAGCGCTTTGAAGAGCTCAATCTGGGCCCTCTCTGCAAGATCCCTCTCATCCACCGAATGTTCAAAATAGATCCAAATACTAAAGATGATGATGTACATCAGATTGCAACTGTGGACATTCTCAGGGTGAGTTAGTTTGGCACTGGCCGCGTACTTGACCATCCTGCAACATACTCGAAATGAGGAGTACGTCTGTGGTGATGTAACGCTGTGGTTTTGCGCTTGCTTTAGAGTCTCCGAATGTTTCGGAGAAAATCCAAGACGCCTAGAATTGACCTTGCTGATTTCCTGAAGCACCTTGCAGACCATTATAGCTGCGAGTCGCCTTATGAGCTCGGCATCAGAATCCAGAGTCTTGGGTTGCCCATTTCGGTAAGATTCTCTATTGTTGTTGCCATATTTTTTTTGGTCTGTCCACCCCTCTTTTGGAAATGTCTGATTCGTTGTTGAGGGTTCAGTCTGCAAATAGGGATGCACGATATTAGAGCCAGGCCGATACCGATACAAATATTTGTTGGTTTTAAAATCCGATATATCGGCCGATATTATTTTTATTTCAGAAACGCGCAACAAAATAATAACAGATTTATTTATGAGTTTTCATTAAAATAATATGATAATGCATTTAAAAAAGAAACTTGTTCCTATTGTCACAACAGAATGGAGGAACATCAAAATATATTAAAGTTCTGATAAATAAAATAATAATTAGTCCCTACATTTCCTTATAGTTATAAGCTACATTATAATTACAATGTCAGCTTGCTTAACCCTTTACCTGCACTTTTTGACGACACTCATGACATGGTTGAAGCGTGATTCGTCCGTTTTTATTTTATTTTTAAATATTAATTTATCGGCCGTTTATAACTGCCGATACCGATATTTTAGAAAATGCCTAATATCGGCCGATAATATCGGTCTGGCTCTACGCGATATATCGGCCACCATAACGGTATCAGCCGATATATGTTCGTTTTTAATGTAATCCTTATCGTCCCGTTAAGAAAATTTGGCTGATATATTAAAGCTGATAAATAATATATCATTTTCTTGACGCTTCAGATGCGCACTGCTCAACATGATGGGTTTGAATTGCTTGAAATATGATTGAATGCACAAAAGTTCAACATGTGCAGCACAAATCTATCATATCGGCTACATAACATTATAATGAGAACATCATGATGAGACTTCTGTTTTTGTAATCAGGCCCTCAAAAATTATATAAAAATTTGGATTTAGATTTATCGGCCAACATATCATTATATAATCGGTTATCGGCTTTCAAATATGAATAATTATCGGTTATATATCGGAAACATAAAGGCTTCCGTCCTCAATGTAACTGCATGGAAAAGTCTTCAATATTTCTCCTTTTGTGTATTGTGAAATATAGAACATAAAATGGATTATATTGTGTGTTTGGGACATGGATTTTAATGGTGACACTTTAGTTTTTGTAATCAGTTTCTCAAAATTATATAGATTTTTTTTATCGGCTGGTCATCGGCTTTCAAGCATAAAGAATTATCGGTATCGGCCAAAATGTTCATATCTAATCCATTGAAAATACATCCTTCAAGAATTTTCCAAAACTCTAAAATTCACATCATTCTTAATCCAATGGTGGCATTTGAAAAGACTTTGGACTTATTTGCTCATGCTGTGTTCTTAGACGTTGGGCAAGGCATCGTCTTTTGAGCATTTACTCATGGACAAGGCCAAAGAAGCCATTCAGAGGGAGATTCAGGAGGAGGTGGATGCCAAAATGTTTAAGATCAAGAAGAGCCTGCTGGATCCCGCCCAAGGACCTGTGATCCACTCCCAGATGGGAAACTCTGAGCTTAGGAGAAAATACGCAAATATGACCGCCGCCGAAGCAGTCATGGAAGTCTTCATCAACTCTGAAGGCGTCTTCAGTAAAGCTATGATGAAGGTGAGCAACTTGATGCTTTTCTTGGACTTGATGCTCCAGTCCAAATATCTAAATATTCTTAAGTCAAGGTGCATTTACTAGATATGTACGATATTATGTCCTGTTTTCCGGGGGAATTAATCAAAATCAATTTGAGTGAGTTGATGCTTTAAAAAAAAGCTAAATTATCTGCTCAAGAAAAAATTATCTTAATTCAAACAGAAACAAGACTATTTTTTACCCCATTGGCAGATCATTTAGCAAGTTTTAAGCAAAAATATTTATTTATTTCCCCAGAAAACAAGACTTAATATCTTACTGTATGTCATTTTACTACTTAACTAAATGCATCCCGATTTAAAATTTTTAGATTTTTGGACTGGAAAGCATTTTTTGCCGTGTAAGGGCAAGTATCCTTAGCCTTATTCAGAACAAGCTCACGTATTATTATAAAAAGTTGATTGCAAGCTGGTTTTTCTTGTGGTTTGGATGTTTGATGTCTGCTGACCGCACTGGAAACGCCCGAGTTGCTGTTCTTCATGGGTGTCTTCTTGCTAAGTTAATTATTTAGCAGTGCTTGCTTTGGCAATCACCTCTATTACTTTTGTGCATACTACTAAATTTTTTTTTCCAAAACTCCTAACTACCGAATTCGAGTTAAAGGAGTAGTTCACTTCAGAATTAAAGGAGTAGTTCACTTTTAAAAAAAAAATTTGCTGATAATTTACTCGCCCCCATGTCATCCAAGATGTCCATGTCTTTCTTTCTTCAGTCGAAAAAAAAATTAAGGTTTTTCATGAAAACATTCCAGGATTTTCTCCATATAATGGACTTCAATGGGGTCCAAACGGTACAAGGTCCAAAAGACAGTTTCAGTGCAAACTACAAACTGTTCAAAGGGCTTTAAACGACACCAGACGATGAATAAGGGTCTTATCAAGGAGCCTTCGAGTCATGACTCAAAAAAAGATTTGTTCATTTTTGATAAACGAGTTCGAACAGGAGAGTCACGAACGTGCATCACAGAACAGAGCAAGGCGAGCATTTGAGCTTATAAAACTTAAACTTTGTTATTTATTTATTAAATGAGCGATCGTTTCGCTTGATAAGACCCTTATTCATCGTCTGGAATTGTTTAAAGCCCTTTGAACAGTTTGTAGTTTGCACTGAAACTGTCTTTTGGACCTTGAACCGTTTGGACCCCATTGAAGTCCATTATATGGAGAAAATCCTGGAATGTTTTCATCAAAAACCTTCATTTCTTTTCGACTGAAGAAAGAAAGACATGGACATCTTGGATGACACGGGGGCGAGTAAATTATCAGCAATGTTTAGTCTGACATTTTTTTGGTCCACGACAAGATTTTAGGAGTCAAAATCGCGTAATCGGACACAGACTAAGAAATCGTGTATCGATGTAACCTTGCTCTCACTTGAAATGTGTCCCTACCAGTGTTGTGCAAGTTACTTCCAAACTGTAATACATTAGGTATTACTTGTTACTGTTATTTAAAAGTAATTCATTACCTTACAATATTACTGTCTCAGAATTGTAATGCGTTACATTACTCATGTATTACTTTTGAGTTACTTTCACCAAAATAACTAAGTAGAACTTAACTTTTGGGCTGTAACGATATGCAATATGAAACCGAAATCACGATTCGCCACACGACTCAGATCCACGAACCTACAGAATCGCGACACACCTCTTCCAACTCCAGCGTTATTCTCCTTACCGTCCATATCCAATGCTGCCTTATCTTTAAATTAGGCTATTAGTATTATTTGAAGTTAACATTATAAAATACGTAGACCTACACTACAAAACTAGTTGAGGATAAATTATTTAAAATTGGGTAAGTCCAGCATTATGGACATGACATTTGCAGTCAAAACTTGAAATAAAAATTCTCAGAAAATACATGTATTGAAACGTATATATAGGCTACTTCCTTAAAGGACTCCAGACATTAGACAAATATCAGTCTATGTTTTATTTTTAATATTAGGGAAAAGACACACATTCATGCGTGACAAAAAAATAGGAGGCAAAATCAATTTTTTGTAATTCTGTTAATTACACTGCGTAAATCGGATGAGGAAGGGTTGGCTCTCCAGTCTCCATAGAACTTAAAATATTTATTTTATTTTAGTTTTCGTGTTCGCATTTATGAGGAAAAAACAATGTTACAGACGCGACCGCTCTGAACTGGCACTAAAAGACTGCTTTAAAACTTTCACATAGTCTGTTGCCTTTAAGAAGTAAAAGCAGACAATACACTGTAATACAACTGTAATACAAGCCTCACTGAACATGTAACGAGTAAAATATTACTGAAAATTGATTAGTAATGCCTTACACTACTGTGTTACAGCAAAAAGTAATATGTTACTGTAATGTATTACTTTTGTAATGCGTTACTCCCAACACTGGTCCCTACATTAAATCCTTGAATTTGAGGGTATTGGACCTGGAAAGTCCTTCAAAGCTCCTTGAGTTTGAAGTTAACCGAGGTGTGGGAACCCTGTAATTGAATCCGACGGAGGACATTTTCAACGAACGTGTCATGCAAGCGTCTGATTGTGCTTGTTTTTGTGTGTGTCCTCAGAATATCCAGGCATTCCTGTTGTGTGTGAACAATGACCGGCTAGCTAGAGCCCTATTCCAGCTTGCTATATGCTGTGGCTCCCTGGACGCGCCTCAGGATCTGGTGGCCAAAGAAAAACCTCAGAGAAAAGCCGAGGCAAAGAAAGCTACGGAAGAGAGAGCAACAGAGATGCTCCCCACTGAAGGTGTCCTTATTAGTTATAGTGTTTTCATTTTTAGTTTTATTTAATGAATATGTCCTCTCAGTAACACAATAAACACACAACAGAAATGAGAAAGCATCTGCACTCAAAGATGAGTTTTAAGGGATGCAATATTGACTACAGAGGGACTTAAATAAATAAAATAGTTAGTTTTGTTAAAAAAAAGGATGAATTGTTACCAATTAATTCAGCTGACAGTCTAACATTTCGTTACGAAACATTGCATTGATTTGTTGCATCTTTCTTTCTGTTATAATTAATGTTCTACTCTTACTAGCATGACGATGGAGAGTGTGTATAATCAGTATCAGTATTTGTTGAATCAAATCTCATGCTTCATTAATTGATATGCTTTCCTGCCTAACGATGTGGTCCTGTGTTGCATAGCTGACGTGAAGAGCTATTTCCAGGATCGCGTGGCTAGCTTCAGTAGCACACCTAGCCTAGCTCAGCTGCGCACGCTGGAGAAGAAGATCGCAGAACACTTCGGGTGTAAGGACTTCAGTCAGCTGCAGCAGGGAACCTACCTGGACTTCCTCATCAAGAACAAAAAGGTGTGTGTTTCTGCTTCACCTCGTCTTTAAGTCCAGTCTCCTTCATCTATACAATATAGAGTTTCACAGCAGCTTTACTGTGACAACAGGAGATTACAGTAACAGAGAGTGTTCAGGCTTCCCAGCAGATCTAGAATAAAGGTATTGTCCAAATAAAGTTAGTTTTGATTGATTCATTTCTGTCGCAACGATCATTAGTGATTATTATTATTATTATTTTTCCCTTGCAAATTGTTTTATGCATTTTATCTGCATGTAAGATGTCCTTAAGTGTCACGTAGCGCACCTATAAATAAAAAGTATTATTTTTTGTTGTTAAAGGAGTAGTTCACTTTTTAAAAAAACTTTTGCTGATAATTAACTCGCCCCCGTGTCATCCAAGATGTCCATGTCTTTCTTTCTTCAGTCGAAAAGAAATTAAGGTTTTTGATGAAAACATTCCAGGATTTTCTCCATATAATGGACTTCAATGGGGTCCAAACAGTTCAAGGTCCAAAAGACAGTTTCAGTGCAAACTACAAACTGTTCGAAGGGCTTTAAACGACACCAGATGAATAAGGCTCTTATCTAGGACCCTTCAAGTCATGACTCGAAAATAGATTCATTCATTTTGATGAACGAGTTCGAACAGGAGAGTCACGAACGCGCATCACAGAACAGACCAAGGCGAGCATTTGAGCTTATAAAACTTAATCTTTGTTATTTATTTATTAAATGAGCGATCGTTTCGCTTGATAAGACCCTTATTCATCGTCTGGAGTCGTTTAAAGCCCTTTGAACAGTTTGTAGTTTGCACTGAAACTGTCTTTTGGACCTTGAACCGTTTGGACCCCATTGAAGTCCATTATATGGAGAAAATCCTGGAATGTTTTCATCAAAAACCTTCATTTCTTTTCCACTGAAGAAAGAAAGACATGGACATCTTGGATAGGACATCCCTATTTAAATGAATTGACCCTGTTAACTGGTTTTTGTCCTGTCAGTTTAAATAAAATAAACGAGAAAGAGAAAATCACTTTTATGAATTATATTTAACCTATACTGTAAAAACTGTATATTTTAAATTTGATTATTCAATTACTGAACACAGTTAGACACACCGTGATGGCGACAGCTTGTAAAGTGTGAGATCCAGAGCAGAATGGTGTGTGAGGTTTGTGACGGTGTGTGTTGCTGTTCCTGCAGATCCTCCAGGAGGCAGCAGGGGGCGCCGTCACCATCGACAGCCAAGACCCCGGAGTCAACGGATTCAGGCCTTGCAGACAAGATGTGTTTGAGTTCATCAAGCAGTGCGGGGAGGGCGACGCCAGCAGAGTGAGTGTCGTGTCAGAAGAGCTTATGAATTTTGAATTTGGGGTTTTCATATCTGTAATCCATAATCATCAACATTATAACAAATAAAGGCTTGAAATATCTCACTTTGCATGTAATGAGTCTATATAATATATTAGTTTCACCTTTTAAGTTGAATTACTGAACTTTTGCACCATATTCTAATTTTTTATTCATGTTAAAACAACATATATTTCGCATAGGGATGCAAGATAATTTGTCCCGAACACCAGATTATATGTCTATTTTAACACGTCTTCGGATCAGCTGCCGTTCATCGAGGCGGCCCTGAGGAGCCACTACGGGATCCGGGACAGTCGGGAGCTCGGGCACGGCCCCCTGGGTTGTCTTGTGAACTACACGCAGCGGCAGAAAGGTCTGAGCGGGGACGCCGTCGCCAGCGTTGTGCGCTACGAGTGCCCGCTGATGCCCGCCGGTTCAGGGTGAGCTGAGCGGCTACGCTAGCGCTGCACGGTTCATCACAATGAACCCGCACGCCATTTGGCAGAGGTGTTTAGACGGATATATATGTGTGTGTGTGCGTGTGTGAGTGAGACTCATCAGCCGTACTTCACCATTTGAGTGATTACATTAATAATTTAAACATTTTTTGTATTACAAGTTTTCTCAAATTTTGTTTAAATATGCAAATGAGGTGCTATCTAATTAAATATGCACTAGTTTGCAAACTTTTCTAGAACAAAAATCTGAACACTGGATGAAGTCAGGTTCAAAATTCTTATTTCATTTGTTGTGATATTTAGATTTCTCTATTTATCACTCTCACATTTTCGCCATTTGTAAAAACCTTCAGAATATACATAAGAATAAAACTGAAGTGTTTGGTGTGTGTAAGTGGAGATTTCAGGCTCAGTGTAGGAGGAAAAACTAATTTAGAGTAAACGGCCCCCGTGTCATCCAAGATGTCCATGTCTTTCTTTCTTCAGTCGAAAAGAAATGAAGGTTTTTAATAAAAACATTCCAGGATTTTCTCCATATAATGGACTTCAATGGGGTCCAAATGGTTCAAGGTCCAAAAGACAGTTTCAGTGCAAACTACAAACTGTTCAAACGGCTTTAAACGATTCCAGACGATGAATAAGGCTCTTATCAAGCGAAACGATCGCTCATTTAATAAATAAATAACAAAGTTTAAGTTTTATAAGCTTAAATGCTCGCCTTGCTCTGTTCTGTGATGCACGTTCGTGACTCTCCTCTTCATCAAAATGAACAAATCTTTTTCCGAGTCATTTGGTTCATTCAACGAACGAATTGACTCGGAAAAAGATTTGTTCATTTTGATGAATGAGTTCAAATAGGAGAGTTACGAACTTTTTTAAGTCACGATTTTTTTAAATAAGCGCTCGTTTCGCTTGATAAGACCCTTATTCATCGTCTGGAATCGTTTAAAGCCCTTTGAACAGTTTGTGGTTTGCACTGAAACTGTCTTTTGGACCTTGAACCGTTTGGACCCCATTGAAGTCCATTATATGGAGAAAATGCTGGAATGTTTTAATCAAAAACCTTAATTTCTTTTCAACTATAGAAAGAAAGACATGGACATCTTGGATGATGTCCAAGAAAGTTTTTTAAAAAGTGAACTACTCCTTTAAAGATATGCACTATAAGTGAAATGTAGAGATGCAAATGCTCTAAAAGAGACAGTTAAAGTGTGTTTAGGGTGTTTTCTGTCCACTAGTTTGAAAAAAACAATTTATGAAAAGCTGAAGTTGACAGATGCATGAAAAAACACTATAGTGTCTCGACCCTGTTGGCTGCAGGCCTCATCGAGTGTGTGTGTGTGTTCTCAGGGAGTGTGTGTCAGATACGGTGGGTCTGCTGGGCGAGGTGAGCCGCGATCAGGCGTGTGTGTGTCTGCTGTCGGCTCCTCTTCTGCAGGATCTGCAGGAGTGGACTCAGTGGGAGCTGGTGTTTCGGCCCGACCTCGGCCCCATCAAGGACTTCATCGACAAGCACTGTGGTGGGTCAACACAAGCCGGCCTCCTTCGTTTATTTTGATCGTTCATGTGTGACCCTGGAGCACAAAACCAGTCACAAGGGTCAATTTCTTTAACCCTCAGGTGCTCTTCGTTTCGGAGTCACACTTGTTATCGTCCGGACACCTAAAAATTAAATTTCCTCCATCCTAGTAAAACCAATGCAATTTATTTTTGTTCTATAATATTTATTCTTTGTAATTTAGTATTTTGAGACAATTTTATTGAATTTATTAATATTTATGCAATATTTATGGTCTATTTTTGCCATGGAAAAATATATATTTTTCTACATATATGTATATTATTATATATTATTTATATATTTATTTATATATTATTGTATATTATTATTATATTATATATATATATATATATATTATTTTTTTCAAAAAATTATTAATGCAGTATTTTTGTTTAATATAGAGTCTTGGCCTTCAGAAAAAAAATATTTTTTGAAGAAAATTAGCACCATCTGGTTACAGTATAGAGAAAAAGTGTAGAATCATGGTGTAACCACTAGATGGCATGTACAGCTCTCTATGGAGAAGCATGTGAATTCCCCAGCTGTTTATGAACACATTTTTTTTTTTTTGGTGGTTTTGAATATATAGTTGAAACAATCTCAAAAACGATTTTTTATAAAAAAAAAATGTAAAAAAAAAAAAAAAAAAAAAATATATATATATATATATATATATAAATGTGTGAATTTTTGTGTTTTTGTCAATTTTCCATTCATTTCCTATGGATCGGTCATTTTTGACCAAAGACCACAACTGTGACTATTTTTTTAAGACCACTTAGCATGCCCGGATCATGACCTCAATTTTTTTGTGTGTTCACATACATAATGCCATAAAAGTCACCAGGTTTCATAACATTGCGATGAAGCTGTGATTTTTAATAATTCAAAACATACTTTTTGTAATCAAAATTTATTGGTGTGTATGTGTATAAAAGTGTGTTTGTATGTGTGTGTGTGTTGGTGGGTGTGTCTGTTTTGCACTCTAGATGTTGTAGAGTGTCACCCCTTTCCTGCGGTGTACTTTTTTTTAGAATTGTGGCCGATTTATAGATTGCACGTACAAATATTCAGAGAATTTTTTTTTTGTCAATTTCCCATTCATTTCCTATGGGGGTCATTTTTGACCGAAGACCACAAGTGTGACTATTTTTTTACGACCACTTAGCATGCTCGGATCATGACCTCAATTTTTTTGTGTGTTCACATACATAATGCCATAAAAGTCACCAAGTTTCATAACATTGCGATGAAGCTGTGATTTTTAGAAATTCAAAACAGAACATTTTTCGGTCAGAAATGACCAAAGAGCACCTGAGAAAAGCTGAATAAATAAACGTGGTTTGTTAAATCTGGAATCTGATGGTGCAAAAAAATTAAACATGAGAAAATCACCTTTAAAGATCACGATTGTGCAGCATTCACTCACAAAAATAAATGTTTCACATATTTACAGTAGGAAATTTACTAAATATCTTTATGGAACATGATCTTTACTTAATATACTAATGATTTATGGCATAAAAGAAAAATCTATAATTTTGACCTAGACAGTGTATTATTTTATATACACAAACACACCCATGTGATAGAGTATACAGTAGCACAAAAACATGCTTATCTAATAATTCAAATCCCAGTAAATATCATGATGTCATTATTATTGGGGATAATGTCTTGTCTTTGATTGGTTCGTCATTTGTCATCAGGTAAAACGAAGCTGCTGGCTCTCGAGGTGTCTCCCGGTGTCCTGCTGAGAGTCACCACCGATACCAGTGACAAGCACTTCTCCGAGTCGGCTCAGGCTCTGGACCCGGTCGGCACCGCTGGGCACCTGGTCTCCATTGTGGTGTCTGATGGGATACCGAACACGCCCACGGCGCTCTTAGCCAATCACATGGAGAGTGCGCTGAACGTAGCAGTTGCACAGGAAGGTAGGAGCTGCTGTTCTCTCGTGACACCCCTTGCCACAATATATATTATTGTCACTATCCATACATACATATTGTTGCATTTCACAATTCGATTTGATTTCGATTCACAAGCTTGCGACTCGATTTCGATTACGATTCGATTCAGTATTGATTATTTTGGATATCAGGAACAATACATGGCAATTTTTTTTTAATGTAGGGCTGTCAAACGATTAATCGCATCCAAAATAGAAGTTTGGTCTTTACACAATATATGTGGGTGCACTGTGTATAATTATTTTGTATATATATATATATATATATATATATATATATAAATACACACACATGCATGTATATTTAAGAAAAAAATATTATTTTTATATCAAATATTTATATATAATATAAATTATATATAAATCTATATACAGTATATACATGAAAATATTTCTTAAATATATACAAGCATGTGTGTGTAGTTATATATATATATATATATATATATATAAAATAATTATACACCCACATATATTATGTAAACACAAACTTTTATTTTGGATGCCGTTAATCGCGATAAATCATTTGAGAGCCCAATTTCAGGGAAAACAAATCTCTTAACTAATGCTGAGTCAGTTGTAGCATACTAGTCTTCATTAATATTGAAGGTAAAAAATAACTGACCTGTAGCTTTACAAACACTTAAATTACACTTTAACATTATATGAAATATAAACATTTAAATGGTGGCTGTCATAAAAACTTGCCAGATTTATTCAAACATGCATTACATATTGAAGAACATTAAAATTATAATGAATATGTAAATGGTGCATATATTTAGCAAAATTCTCCACTCTACAGTTAATTTTTATAGCTGACTAACCGGCTAAGTTTTTGGTCACATGGTTTTTCTGAGGTAAATGTGACGTTATATTACATTGTTTACAAGCTGTTTTACTGACATCTCGGTCTTTCCACGGTTGAAACGCTGATTGAGCGTTTCCATGTGACATGATCCGGCTTTCGATAGTTGTACTCGACCTTTTAACACACTTTCAGAAGCTCGTTCATGTTTATTTGGCGCTGTAGCTGGTATTATTAAGGCAGAAGAGAAGATCATGTGATCTCACGCCACAGTGCCAAAACGCTATTCGTAAGAAAATGGATGTAATTCGAAATCTGAGACTTTATTTCATAACAGTAGTCACAAAGCACAAATATTATTGCGATTTATTGGATGTGATGTGCGCTACAATGCTCCATTCATTCATCAAATGAAAACAGGATGACTAATCGATTCTTGAGATTTAAGAATCAATATCGGTTCGTAAAAATGAGAATCGATTAATATGGAGAGATGGATATTTTTTACCCAGCCCTACGATATATATTGTGACACCCCTATTCTGCACTGGTGTGTTTATCTTGTCTGTAACACGCTATCTCTGCTAATGTTGGACTCCTGTGATGTTTGTAAACAGGACTAGCGCCCGGGGAAGAGGAGTACTCGTGCGGCGGCGTGGCCCGCTTTGTGCTCGAATGCATCGCAAGGATTCCCACGAGGATCTGCAAGGAACTCCTGCAGCAGGTGAACAGCCAAACTACTGTCCTCAGGCAAACTCTGGAACAAAACCAGTGTCACTGTGCATTACAACAAAAAATATTGCTTTTTAGGACATATATCTAAACAGATACATTAAGATATTAACTTGAGAATTAAAGGTTAAGTTATAAAGTGTTGTTTTATGAAAACATCATCAAAATGAAGTCAGTTTGTGCTTGAAACAAACACAAATATCTGTCAATGTGGACTGAAAAATAGTTATTTGTGACAGAATTTTGTAATCACAAACTCGTTTTGATAAGATATGTGTTTTGTTTTCTGAAAAATTTATTAATTAAGTGCCTTAATGCTTTAAATTAAGTCTGTTTTTGTCCAAATTGTAAGATAATTGAGTATCAGTTAAAGCCAACATGCATTATGCATTATAAAGGTATTCATAATGCATGTTATAATTAAAGGAGTAGTTCACTTTTAAAAAAACTTTTGCTGATAATTTACTCGCCCCCGTGTCATCCAAGATGTCCATGTCTTTCTTTCTTCAGTCGAAAAGAAATTAAGATTTTTGATGAAAACGTTCCAGGATTTTCTCCATATAATGGACTTCAATGGGGTCCAAACGGTTCAAGGTCCAAAAGACAGTTTCAGTGCAAACTACAAACTGTTCAAACGGCTTTAAACGACTCCAGACGATGAATAAGGGTCTTATCTAGGAGCCTTCGAGTCATGACTCGAAAAAAGATTTGTTCATTTTGATGAGCGAGTTCGAACAGGAGAGTCATCGCATCACAGAACAGAGCAAGGCGAGCATTTGAGCTTATAAAACTTAAACTTTATTATTTATTTATTAAATGAGTGATCGTTTCACTTGATAAGACCCTTATTCATCGTCTGGTGTCGTTTAAAGCCCTTTGAAGCTGCACTGAAACTGTCTTTTGGACCTTGAACCATTTGGTCCCCATTGAAGTCCATTATATGGAGAAAATCCTGGAATGTTTTCATCAAAAACCTTAATTTCTTTTCGACTGAAGAAAGAAAGACATGGACATCTTGGATGACATGGGGGCGAGTAAATTATCAGCAAAAGTTTTTTTAAAAGTGAACTACTCCTTTAAGGCTGCATGCCTTTTGTGCTTGAAGGGACGCATACACACGACATTGTCAAAAGGCCAGAGTATCCTCGTAAACACAGTTGCTAATGAACGTAATCAATTGAGAACGCAAACGGATGTGTGCCGTTATATTGGATCCATGCATTAGTTCTTAAAGTGACAGCAGCCTAATAAACCTCATCAAACTATAAAAGACAAGGAATTAATCTTCGTTAAAGCTACAAAAGGGATTTTCTCTATTTAATTTATACAGTTAAGACTGTTATTTTACATTTGATTATTCAATTTCTCAACCTGAATGCTGACAGACTTACTTAGAAAAATGTATATTAAAAATTCAGCTGTATTTATCTGTATTTCTGTTTTCTGTGCAGATCCACTCCTCTACATAATCATCCTAGAAAGATTAAAATATTTAAAAATAGAGCTGGTGAAATGATTTTCATATCATCCAATATCGCAATGTCACGCAGCAAAGTACCCTTTCATAAGTGATTGCAACCAGAGTTAAAATGCATTATAATATTTTCAAATTCCTTGTTGCTTCTGAAATGAGTTGCTTGTCATGTGTTTTAAAGCATTATAGTCTCTATGGGTGAATTGATAAGTATTATAATGCTTTATAACTATGGGTATTTTTATTCATAGGATCATATAATGCATAATAAGGCATGATTTTGAAAAAATTCTTTTATAATGCATTATATGTGAAGATGTTACTGATATATATTTTTAAATGTTTACATTTAAAACGTATTAGTAAATGTTGAAATTAATTCTAACTAAGATTAATCAATGCTGAATAAGAATCGTTCCTTCTTAGCTCATGCTCACTAATGAACCTTGTTGTAAAGTGCTAGGCGAAGATCATTTTCCCATCATCCCTCGGGTGTCAGGCGAGACGTCTCGTGTGTGGGAACCAGAGGCTCTCGGGGCGGGAAAAAGTCCTGTATCTAGGTTGTTGTCATGACAACCGTTGCCGAGTGTCTTTCTTCGGGGGTCTCCTGTCACATCATTAGTCTCGAACGCCTTTCTTCATTCCCATAATGACACGAGAGCGCCTGCTGGGTATTTGCTTTATGATTGGCCTTAGGCTGGCATTTGGCAGATAATGTTTGTGCTGCTTGGCTATAAATGACCTAACATTGCAAATTCACTATAGTATGTTTTAAATCTCCCTGTAGTCAATAATTTTATCCCTTAAAACTCATCTTTGATCATCAAAATGACATATGTAGACGTTTTTTCATCCCTTAAAATGTCTTGAATGTAACCCGACGCCCTTGCCTCATTTAGTATGTGTGGTTCTATGAATATGCAAATGAGCCCCGCCTCCACTCACTAAGAGTTCCACTGGTTGACGATCACACGTTCTGATTGGTTACTAGTTCGTTTGTGACGTCAGAAACACCAGCGATGGTAAAGCGTATTAAAAACAACATTAAACGCTTGATTTTTATTGATTAAATGAAACCTTATTGTAAAGTGTTACCAAATATTCTTTAAAAGTAATTATCATTGGGAACACTTTATTTTACAGTGTAATTGTTATATGTAGTTACTGAAGTAATTATAACTAACATGGAATTACAACTAAACCAAACCAAACCCCATTCCTAACCCTATAATATGTAGATTTATTTTTATATATATTTTAGCTATATTTTTATGTATATATTTATTAAGCTTTGTCAATGTTCATATCTGTGTTCACGTTGCAATTACTAATGAAGTGTTTCTTATAAGAAAAAACTCACTTTTTTAGGTGTTCTTTTGTACATTTTGTATTTCTATCTGTGTATTTTTTCTTCCTCGTTATTTTATTGTGTAAAGTGCCTCGAGAAGCTGCTTTAAAGGCGCAATATAAAATAAAGTTTATTGTTTATTTCACTTCAAAAATGCTTTTCTTACTGAGTATTTGTGTCTTGTTTCCAGTCCAAATATCAAACATTTCTTAGATCAAGATGCATTTACTAAAGTAATGAAATTACACAAGATATTATGTCTTGTTTTCTAGGGAAATAAATAAAAATTAAGTGAGTTTTTGCTTAAAACAAGGGAGAGTAATTTTTTGTTTTAATTAACATTATTTTTCGGACCCCATTGGCAGATAATTTAGCTTTTATAAGACTTAATATCGTATGTCATTTCACTCATTTAGTTAATGCATCTTGATTTAAGAGTTTTTAGATATTTGCACTGGAAACAAGACAGAAATACTAAATAAGAACGGCATTTTTTGCAGCGTGTGTGTTTATGATTTGGGGTGTGCAGGTGTTTCTGGAGCCGCTCTCTAAAGTGCTCGGTCAGGCCAAATCTAAAGCGCTCCTGCTGGACGCCGCCCGGTCCAACACGCGTCACCTGACCAAACTGCATCAGATGGGGCTTCTCCTGGGCATCACCGAGTGGAGAGGAGACTTCAGCAGCAAACTGGTGTGTCCAGCTCGGCCCGAAGCGCTCGCACGCCTCAAGAAGGTCTGAGTTCACTTCTGCTTTCCTTAATCAGAACCTGGTTTCAAACTGGATTCTGTAGACGCCAAAATTGTTTCACTGTTTTAACTTTTGGTGACTTTACAATTGCGCACTTTTAAATGTTAACTATGACTATATGACTGCGATTTACAGGTGAAACTCGAAATTAGAATATCATATATCATATAAAATGTATTTCAGTACCTAAAATTAACAGGTAAAACGAAGATATTTAGTATATATAATTATATACATTACATATGCATGATTATACTTTTCAGAGGGCTGACATTTCTGTATTTTTCTGCATTTAAAATTCAAATTCAAATTTTCTGAGATTTTGAATTTGGGGTTTTCATAAGCTATTGGACAATATCATCAAAATGCTTGATATTCTTATTTTTCAAGTTTCACCTGTAATTAAAATAATAAATGCGCTTTTAAATGCATTTTACTTAACTACTTTTTATTTTACAATGGAACCATATATATATTAGCAATTTAATAATTAATTATGAATAATAATAATAATAATAAAATGTAGTAGTAGTGTTTTTATTACTATTATTTATATCCATTCTGATATGTATAAACAACATTTTGGACAAATTGTGCAGTGCTGCAAAAAGCACAGCAAACCTGGATTGTTTTAAAACGCATTTTAAGTCGCAATTGCAATTTTTTATCACAAAAATCATGCATCTCTAATTTAAAGTCATACATGTTAAGGCCCTTTCACACCGGATGCGTAACGGAAAAGCGAAACGAAAAAGCGAATAGTTCGCGTGAGAATATTTCGCGTCAAAACCATTCACATCAGCCGCGACGCGAATTTGCGACGTTCAGAACTTCAACATTCCAAAACATTCGCGCCGATGAAAGCAGACCTGATTTTCATCAGAAAACGTAGGCTACTCTATACTTATTATTATAGCCTATAGGTGAATAAATATAGATTTTATATTAGATGTCTTTTTGAAGTGATGTTAACATGATGCTTTAATAGGCTTTATCAAAAAAAAATCCCAATCTCTAAATAGCACATTTCAAATAAGCACATAAGTCCATTAGGAAAGATAAAGATGAATGCGTTCTTACCGGATTCGATCAGTGCATTTTGAATTTATATTGTTTGTCTGATCTGGCAGCTTCGATTGGACCTTCTTTTTAATTATGTGCATGTCAGTAACTCGCAGTAACTACTGGCAGGTGGAGCTCACTTTCACCAGTTCACTTTAGGTCCACACAGTTGCCTGGTTCCTTGTCCACGCAGCATTCATCAGAGCAAACACTCTCTCCACGAAGAGTTTGTTTGTTTGTGATGGCTCCATTAACGTCTGTGCTGTGCATTTTCTATGTTTTCTTATTACATTTTTTTAAATTGTAGAATTGTTATTAAAAGGACGATTAAATAAAAGGATGCAGACAAAAAAAATGCGGTACAGTGCTATGACTTGCGGGACGTGGCACATAGCTTCTTCATCACTATCATTGTCATCCAGTGAAGACAAGCTTTTTATTTTATTTAAAAGCAGAAAAGAAGGTTTGGGGCACCCACTACCGGAGCTAGAATCATATGGCAGAAGGTGAGCTGTCCCATTCATCAGGGGCTACGTTTACATGCAATCAAATAAACACTTTTAGTAAACGTATTAAAGGCTCAAATGGACTGAAAAGCCTTGTAAACACCCGGTTGGGCTCGATACGAACGAACGAGCACAACGTCCCACCAGTCCTTGTTTCAGATATTCATTCACAGACTCGACACACAAGCAATCAGAAGGTCCGTCCGTCATTGCTGCGGTCACGTCACCTTTGTTTCCCTGTATATGATTGGCTGAAGCCTTTTCTTTCGCCTCAAAAATCGACATCGAAGCGAAAAAAATAAAAGTCGTTTTTTCGCCGCAGCAGATTCGCGTTCGGTGTGGAAGCACTCATTACACAAACAGCTGATCAAAAAATAAAACCATCGCGCGAATTATTCGCGCGTCAAAATCGCGTTCAGTGTGAAAGGGCCTTTAAGCTGCAGACAATGCAAAAGCAATTCAACACAACTATATAAGTACAACCATGTATAATGATGTAACTACAGGTGAAACTGGAAAAATGAGAATATGGTGCAAAAGTTCATTTATGTCAGTAATTCAACTTAAAAGCTGAAACTAATATATTATATAGACTTTATTTGTTATAATGTTGATAATTATGGATTACAGATATGAAAACCTTTTCACAATATTCTAATTTTGAATTTGGGGTGTTCATATCTGTAAGCCATAATCATCAACATTATAACAAATAAAGGCTTGAAATATCTCACTTTGCATGTAATGAGTCTATATAATATATTAGTTTCAGCTTTTAAGTTGAATTACTGACATAAATGAACTTTTGCACCATATTCTCATTTTTCCATTTTCACCTGTATATATGTTTCGCTGTGATGCTGTTTCTGAATAGCGTTACAGTAAGTGAATGAGAAAATGTTGAGATTTGGGGTTAATTGATCAAATCTCTGCAGTTTGTGGTGGAGGACTCGATGAGCGATGTGTCTTCAGTGCTGAGTCTGAGCGAGATGGAGAACGACGAGCGAGCGCCCAGCTCTTCCCCCAGCAGCCCGAGAGCAGCGCCACCGCAGGGTGAGACTCACGTGTGTGTGTGTGTGTGTGTGTGTGTGTGGTGCTTTAGACACGGTCACATGATGAGTTACAGGAGCTTCATCAGAAACTCAGAGCGTCTGGTATTTAAGTCTTAGGGTCAGCGAGAGGGATTTTACTGCAAACCGTAGACATTAAATAAAAGAACAATACAGAATAGGTATACGCGTGTAGGATCATGTTCGCTTGCAAATGAAAGATAGATGATAAAAAAAGGATAAATGTGTAGAAGAATATGATTTAAATTAATGAATGAATAATAAAAATGTGTAGAAAAATGTCTTAAAAATTAAACAAAACAAACAATATACAAATAAATGTATAGGAAAAAATGGCTTAAAATTTAAATAAAAGATCAATAAAAAACGTGTGTAGAAAATAGGATTTAAAATGATATAAAAATAACAATAAAATTGATAAAATGTAGAAAAATATGAAGTAAAAATTAAATATAATAATAAGCATCAAGTGATAAATATGTGTAGAAAAATATGGCTTAAATTTTAGACATAATAATAATAATAAAAAGTGATCAAATGTAGAAGAATGTGGCGTAAAAAATTAAATAAAATAACAATAAAAAGTGATACAATTTAGAAAAATATAGAGTAAAAGTGAATTATAATAATATAATTATAATTATAATTATAATAATAAGTGATAAATATGTGTAGAAAAATATGGCTTAAATATTACATAAAATAACAATAAAACAGTGATAAAATATGTAGAAAATATGGCTTAAATATTACATAAAATAACAATAAAAAAGTGATCAAATGTAGAAAAATATGGCTTAAATATTACATAAAATAACAATAAAATATGTAGAAAATATGGCTTAAATATTGCATAAAATAACAATAAAAAGTGCTAAACGTGTGTAAAAAATAGGGTTTAAAATGAAATAAAATGACATTAAAAAGTGATAAAATGTAGGAAAAAATGGTTTAAAATTAAATAAAATAATATTTTTTTCTTTTAAATGTAGGAAGTGTTTTAAATTAAATAAAAGAACAATATAAAAGCTGTTAAAAATTTATATCAACATATGCTTTAAAATTAAATAAAAAACAACAAAAAAGTATGTACAATTTTTTTAAATGGAATAAAATAATGAAAAAAAAATGTAACCAATGTGTAAAAAAATATGGTTTAAAATTAAATAAAAGAATAAAAATGTGGCCCCTTTTAAAGCAGTTTTCTTCTCCTGAAATGACTTGATTCAGACAGTGAAGATGAGGATGATGATGATGATGATGAGCAGATGTACGAGCTGGTGTCTGAGGGCAATGCAGAGACGGACGGCAGTGAGGAAGAGGAGGAGGAGGGCAGAGAAAACTCCACGACTGATGATGAAGCAGAGGAAGAAGAGGACGAAGAGCTCGACCAACACAGAGCCATCATAGAGGACATCAGGTGCGTCCCTGATGAAAAAAGCTTTGCTTTTCATTTATTACTGAAAGTTCTCCGATACCACATCACAAACTGATGAAGTTCAAGCATTATCACGCACAAGTGAACAGTCAGTAATAAAAGAAGAACAAATACACAAATTACACGCAGAGATGAACACTAAATAACACATTCAGGGACAGAAATTGATAAACAAATTACATATAGGCTCATCTCAGTTATTAAAGCTGTATTTTGTTGTTTTATGAACATTAACGACACAGACGACAGCAGGAATATTAGTACCGTCACTTTAAGACCGAATACACTGACAAACATCCGGTTTCTCTCTCGACTGTTCATGGCAGACCCGAGAGAGCGCTCGCAGAGACGGGGATTGGTGTGTGCGTTCAAGAGAAAGAAGAATCAATTCGGTGTTCGAGAAATCTGAATCTGAAACACACACCCCTCTCTCTCTAACGCTGTGTGTGCTGGTGTTGCAGGAAGGCTGAGTTCGGCATCGGCGTGGAGCTGAACGAGGAGGGCCAGACCCTGATGAGGAAGCAGCAGGCGAGACTGGGCCGCAGTCTGGAGCGCCTCTCCACCGAGCTCTACAGCAAAGACACACACTTCGTCCTGGAGCTCATTCAGGTCTGGACCTGCAGGGGTCATTTCGCTCAACTTCCTCACATTTCGTAGAAACATTATTTTTTCACAGACGAAAACGAGACGAGAACTAAATAAAAACAGTTTGGAATGACAAAAACTATTTCGCCAACGATTAAAAACGAGTCGGAAATGTTCATTAGGGAGGATTTTGGGAAGAGATCCAGTCTGAACGCATGAGCAGTGTCAGTGGTGTGAGTCTGACCCTCTGATGGTCCTCGTCACTTCTGACCGAATAATTTTGTGTTTTGAATTATTAAAAATCACAGCTTCATCGGAAGGTTATGATACTTGGTGACTTTTTTGGCATTTGGTATGTGAATACAAAAAAAATTGAGGTCATGATCCGAGCATGCTATTAAAAAAAATAGTCACACTTGTGGTCTTCAGTCAGATATGACCGACCCATAGGGAATGAATAGGAAATTTACAAAAAAACTAAAATTCTCTGAATTTTTGTTTGTACAATCTACAAATCGGCCACGATTCTTTAAAGAAGTCTACCGCAGGAAAGGGGTGACACTCTACAACATCAAGAGTGCAAAAAATTTACACCCACACACATACAAACACACTTTTATACACATACACACCCATAAATTCAGACTACAAAAGAATCTGTTTTAAATTTTTTTAAAAATCACAGCTTCATCTGAATGTTACGAAACTTGGTGACATTTCTGGCATTAGGCATGTGAACACACAAAAAAATTGAGTTCGTGAAAAGTGGTCGTAAAAAATTAGTCACGATTTTGGTCTTTGGTCAAAAATGACCCCCATAGGAAATGAATGGGAAATTGAAAAAAACATAAGAATTCACCATTTTTTAATGAATTAATTTTTGTTTTTTTACGATTTTTTTAATAAGAAATAGTTTTTGAGACTGTTTCAATTATATATTCAAATCCTCCAAAAAAAAAGTGTTCATAAACAGCTGGGGAATTCACATGCTTCTCCATAGAGAGCTGTACATGCCATCTAGTGGTCACACCATGATTCTACACTTTTTCTCTATACTGTAACCAGATGGTGCTAATTTTCTTCAAAACATATTTTTTTTCTGAAGGCCTAGACTCTATATTAAACAAAAATCCTCCATTAATAATAAAAAAAAAAAAAAAAAATATATATATATATATATATATATATATATTTCCATTGAACAAATAGACCATAAATATTGCATAAATATTAATAAATTCAATCAAATTGTCTCAAAATACTAAATTAAAAAGAATAAATATTATAGAACAAAAATAAATTGCATTGGTTTTACTGGGATGGAGGAAGTTTCATTTTTAGGCCTCTGGTCTCTTCTGACCGGGAAGGCTCAGGACGTGACTCATAAAGGAAGACCATCAGAGGGTTAATGTATATAGTGATCATAATAATAAAGATGTTCACTTGTGTTGAGTCACACACTACCGGGTATAAGTTTGGAATAAGTTGTTTTTGAAAGAAGCCCTGAAGTGTTTGACCTCAGTTTTGTGTGTGTGTGTGTGCAGAACGCTGATGACAACAGCTATCCTGAAGGTGGAGAGACACCGGCTCTGATGTTTGTGGTGGAGAGAGACTGCATCACCATCATGAACAACGAGAGCGGCTTCGAGGAGAGCAACGTGCGGGCCGTGTGTGACGTCGGCAGGAGCACCAAAGGAAAACACAAATATGGATACATCGGTACTGGAAACTATCCATCCATCCATCCATCTATCTGTAAAAAACACTCAAAATAACATACGTTTTAGTCTAAGAATGACTCTTTACCAGTGCAATAACAGACTGGGATAATGAAGGATGCATGTATTACCAAAATAAGAGTCCCTCCTTTAGAAATCACATTCTCAGCTGGATCTTAACAAAACCGCCTGTATTTACCCACAATCCTTCCTCTGTTTTTTGTCATACAGGACAAAAGGGCATTGGCTTTAAATCAGTTTTTAAAGTCACCGACTGTCCTGAGATCCACTCCAATGGCTTCCACATTAAATTCGACAAGACCAGCGGCCCCATGGGATACATCTTACCACACTGGGTCGAGCAGGAGAGGCCCGTGAGCCAAGCTGCCAAGGACATCGCAGAACAGAGGTCAAACATACACTCATATGTGAAATATGTTCATGATGATGCATAATTTAATAATACATACCTGTTGCAGTGGCCTTTTGGTCTTTCAAGGTGCTTAAAGTTGACTTTCTGATTTTTAAGTCCTCTTGAAAACAGTCATTTTTATGAAGAAGTACTTGCAAAGTGCTTGAATTATTGAAATACAATATATGAGAAATTTATTTGTAATTTTATTAAGAAAGCAATGTTATCACACGCAGTCCGTCTGATATAGATATAGAGGTGTTTGGCATGGCTATGAGTGTGATATTGCTCATATAAATATCCAAGTGTATGATACAGCATTTATTCTTCAGCCAGTCGTATATTAGTGGGAGAAAAAATCCGTGTGAAAGAGGAAAGCGATATCTTTGTCATAGTATAGTTAAAGTTACCGCATTCATCACATGCGCAGCACTGTATATGTACCATTTTGTTTTATTAGTTTATTTTTATATATTTACCTTTTTTTGAGAATTTAAAAGATAATAACGAAAGATATTATTTGATAAAAGAGATCTCTGATTGTAGTCCTTGGGAAAAAAAACAACAAAAGTAGTGCTTTTTTTATTTTCTGTCTTGTTTCCAGTCCAAATATCTAAAAATTCTTAAATCAAGATGCATTTACTAGATGAGTAAAATATTATATTTTATTTATATTTTACTTTTCATAAGATATTATGTCCTGTTTTCCAGGGGAATTCATCAAAATTAAGCGAGTTGATGCTTAAAATAAACAAAATTATCTGCTAATGGGGTCATAAAAATGATCTTCAAACATAAATAAGATTATTTTTTCTGACCCCACTGGCAGATAATTTAGCTTTTTATAAACATCAACTCACTTCATTTTTTTTATTTCCCCAGAAAACAAGACTTAATATATTGTGTAATTTAACTACTTTAGTAAATGCATCTCGATTTAAGAAATGTTTGATATTTGGACTGGAAACCTGACACAAATACTAAGTAAGAAAAGCATTTTTCTGCACGAACGCTGTTGTGCTGAAACGGCTCTCGGTGTGTGTGTGTGTGTGTTATCATAGATGGACGACAAAGATCCACCTTCCCCTGCGGTCGGAGAACTACCAGACTAAAAACCTCTTCCATGATGTCCATCCCTCTCTCCTTCTCTTCCTCCATCGTCTGCGCTCCATCACTATCTTCAATGAGGTGACGACCCTATAAAACCTGCTCTATCATAACTGAAGTAAAAGTCTTTTAGTCTAACTGTACAAACGTCCTCCAGCTCGTGATTCGTCAAATCTCTGATCTTTATCAAGTAAACACAAGAATAACTTTCATAATGTTAGTAATATTTCAGCTGGACTGGATTTTTTATCGAGTATCAAATATCAGGCTTTTGAGGAAGGTTCATTATCATCATTGTATTGCATTGCATTATATGTTTTAAAACTACTGAGCTTTGATCATAAAACTTAAGCATTTAAAGACATTATTGGCAGATATTGATATTTATATGCATTTTATGTAAGTATATGCTGTACTGTTATAAAGATCTCATTGATTTACATTACAAACGATGATATACATGCAAAGTGAGATATTTCAAGCCTTTATTTGTTATAATTGTGATGATTATGGATTACAGATATGAAAACCTTTTCACAATATTCTAATTTTGAATTTGGGGTTTTCATATCTGTAATCCATAATCATGACAATTATAACAAATAAAGGCTTGAAATATCTCACTTTGCATGTAATGAGTCTATATAATATATTACTTTCACCTTTTAAGTTGAAATACTAAAATAAATTAACTTTTGCACCATATTCTGCACCAAATTGCGTATTTTTACTCCGTTTGAGTCTTGGATTAAAACTGAGCTGAGATGTTTTTCCTCCATATTCCCGCTATATCAGATTATATGAGCCGTAAAAAAGCCTGATGCTCAGCAAATTATTATTTTTTTGTTTATATATTGACTATATTTCATATGTCAGGGTTTACAGGTTTAAAGGAGTAGTTCACTTTTGAAAAAACTTTTGCTGATAATTTACTCGCCCCCATGTCATCCAAGATGTCCATGTCTTTCTTTCTTCAGTAGAAAAGAAATTAAGGTTTTTGATGAAAACATTCCAGGATTTTTCTCCATATAATGGACTTCAATGGGGACCAAACGGTTCAAGGTCCAAATGAGAGTTTCAGTGCAAACTACAAACTGTTCAAAGGGCTTTAAACGACACCAGACGATGAATAAGGGTCTTATCAAGTGAACTCGTTCATCAAAATTAACAAAATAAGAATCAAATGACAAAAAAAAAGATTAGTTCATTTTGATGAACGAGTTCGAACAGGAGAGTCACACAGAACAGAGCAAGGCGAGCATTTGAGCTTATAAAACTTAAACTTTGTTATTTATTTATTAAATTAATGATCGTTTCGCTTGATAAGACCCTTATTCATCGTCTGGAATCGTTTAAAGCCCTTTGAACAGTTTGTAGTTTGCACTGAAACTGTCTTTTGGACCTTGAACCGTTTGGACCCCATTGAAGTCCATTAAATGGTGTTTCTTTTCGACTGAAGAAATAAAGACGTGGACATCTTGGATGACATTTATCAGCAAAAGTTTTTTTAAAGTGAACTACTCCTTTAAGTGCATTTACTTTTGTTTCATCTTCAGGCCGAGAAGCGTTTGGTGTCGATGACACGCCGAGATTTGAGCCATAACATCCTGGAAGTGTCTCACAGCGGTGGAGAAGAGCGTTGGCTGGTGGTCAAGAGAATGCTTTACCCCAAAAAGGCAAGTCCCACACACACACTTACATGTTCACGGTCAGTCAAACCAAACATTATTCACACACCGGATATCATTTTTGATATTGTTTTGCTAGTGTGGTCAGGACACTATAGTTCATTTCTGTAAGTGAGGAGAGCAAAATAAAGTAAACTGTGACATATTACACTCAAATATTCTTTAAATTGATACAAATTTGGGAGCAAAAGTGACTCCTCCAGTTTGAGCTGATGATGTTTGTTTTGCTGAAGTGTGTTTTCTGCTCTTTTTACACACACACTGAACAACATTCGCATTGCTTGCTCACTGGTTGAGCTAAACTGGTATTATCTAATTGTGTAATTTAACAGATATTCAACATAACTCATGTGTGAGAGTCCAACAGAAGGACGGACAAAACCAGTCACATATCAAACACTGATCTGAGAACTGAGTTCTGCTCATTTTTGAGCCAATAAACTGATAATGTTGAATAAATTCTGGTTTGACTGTATGTCTAAAATGTTCTCAGAAACCAAGGGAAGTCGTCCTTGTCCCAGTTTTGTCTTCTTTTAATTGGCCTGTGTTCAGTTTCGGGGATCGTTCCTGTGGTTTATTCCTCTGGAGAGCGACATGTTTTACTCTCCCGTCTCATTCAAACTTCATGCGCAGAATCTTATTAGCAACATCCGTTTGTACCCTTTGTTCTCAGAGAGAGATCACAGCACTGTCTGTCCGTCTCTGGGATTTCTCTTACTCGTAGACACGTAATCACACGCAGAAATGTGTTTCAGAGGCTCGTACACATCAAACTGCAAAGATACGCTAATGTTGGGTGGTGTTCATTTTAAAGAAATTGATTGTTTTATTTAAGACGTTTATGATGTGGCAAAGGACTTCTGTTTAATATAGAAGGATTTCTGAAGGATCATGTGACATGTGAAATTACACTTTATTATATATTCACATAGAAAATGGCTGTTTTATATTGAAATAATATTTTTTCATTTCATTGATTTTTTTGCATTTATAAATAAAAATCTCCCCGATTTATATATGTAGATAATGCTCAATATTTTGATAATAATAATAAGAATAAAAACACTCAAAACTAATGCATTTTACAGAATAAGTTTTTCAATTATCATTTGAATGCTTTGATGCTTAAATGTAAAGATGCTCTTGCAAGAATTATTTTTACATTTTTACTATTTGTTTAATGTACATTTTAGAAATACTGTGCGTCCCTATATTATATATAATTCAATAACTTCAGCTTTTCCTCAGTATTGCTGCGTGTTTTTAAATCATGATGTCTGACGTTCACCGAGTGTCTTCATCGTTGTCTTCATGTTTTCCTCTGCAGATTAAAGAGGACGTGGAGTCGACAGAATTGGCCCTTGCGTTTCAGCTCAGCGGATCGACTTCCTGTGACGTGAAGCCGGAGAAACAGCCCGTCTTTGCCTTTCTTCCTCTGCGCAGCTTTGGTTTCCGGTTCATCATTCAAGGTTTAGTGACGTCAAGGCTTGAAATATCTCACTTTGCATGTAATGAGTCTATATAATATATATATATATACACACACACCAGTTTCACCTGTGTGTGTGTATATACATATTTGTGTTTTAGTTATGTGCATGTGTGCATGTTACGTGCATCTCAGAGTGGTTTCGTTCACAGTTAACTGCTCCACATGAACACTTACTCATTAAAGATGTGGAAGAAAGCAGAATAGGAGCTCTTTAAAACACTGCATCATTGATGCTGATATAACCCTGTCACGTTGTGTTCTGCACTGCAGGGGATTTCGACATCCCGTCCTCCAGAGAAGACGTGGACCGGGACAGTTCCTGGAACCAGTGGCTCCGCTCCGAGATCCCACTACTGTTCGTTCACGCCATGGATGTCTTCAGTGTAAGAGACGAGTGGGATTGATACATTTATTCCCATATATTTGCATTTTAACTCCAGCTTCAGATGGAGCTTCAAGGGATAGAAAATTAGCCCATGATTTACTCACGAATACAATCAGAGTTATATTAAAGGAAGAGGTGGAGCACTTTAATGATGGACGGATGCACTTTTATAATGGATAGATACACTTTTATGATGATAGATGCACTTTTATGATGGATAGATGCACTTTTATGATGGACAGATGCACTTTTATGATGATAGATGCACTTTTATGATGATAGATGCACTTTTATGATGGATAGATGCACTTTTATGATGGACAGATGCACTTTTATGATGGATAGATGCACTTTTATAATGGATAGATGCACTTTTATGATAGATGCACTTTTATAATGGATAGATGCACTTTTATAATGGATAGATGCACTTTTATGATGGATAGATGCACTTTTATGATGGACAGATGCACTTTTATGATGATAGATGCACTTTTATGATAGATGCACTTTTATAATGGATAGATGCACTTTTATAATGGATGGATGCACTTTTATGATGGACAGATGCACTTTTATGATGGACAGATGCACTTTTATGATGATAGATGCACTTTTATGATGGACAGATGCACTTTTATGATGGATAGATCCACTTTTATGATAGACAGATGCACTTTTATGATGGATAGATGCACTTTTATGATGGATAGATGCACTTTTATGATGGTCAGATGCACTTTTATGATGGACAGATGCACTTTTATGATGGATAGATGCACTTTTATGATGGATAGATGCACTTTTATGATGGACAGATGCACTTTTATGATGGATAGATCCACTTTTATGATGGACAGATGCACTTTTATGATGGATAGATGCACTTTTATAATGGATAGATGCACTTTTATGATGATAGATGCACTTTTATGATGGACAGATGCACTTTTATGATGGATAGATGCACTTTTTTGATGGACAGATGCACTTTTATGATGGATAGATGCACTTTTATGATGGATAGATGCACTTTTATGGTGGACAGATGCACTTTTATGATGATAGATGCACTTTTATGATGGATAGATGCACTTTTATGATGGATAGATGCACTTTTATGATGGACAGATGCACTTTTATGATGGATAGATGCACTTTTATAATGGATAGATGCACTTTTATAATGGATAGATGCACTTTTATAATGGATAGATGCACTTTTATGATGGATAGATGCACTTTTATGATGGACAGATGCACTTTTATGATGGACAGATGCACTTTTATGATGGACAGATGCACTTTTATGATGGACAGATGCACTTTTATAGACTTCAAAACAGAAACGGCCATTCACTGCCATTATAAAGCTTGGAAAGAGCTAGGACATTTTTTAAATAACTCAATTGCTAAATAACAATTGTATTCGTATAAAAGAAGAATGTCATATAGATGAGCTTGAGTAAATCATGGGCTAATTTTCATTTTTGGCTGAACTATCCCTTCAAGGCTCATAAATCTCCCTTTAGCTTGTTGCAAGAAAAGAAAAACATGCTTTCTTTATGTTTCTTTGGTCATTGAACCAAACACAGTGCTAACGAGTGCATGCGATGTGAATCCCACAGCAACACCCAGAGTTCAGAGGGCTCGAAGGACTCTGTTACTTTCTGCAGTTTATCCCTCAACCGAGCGAGATCCTGGACTTCTTCAACCCCGTGGCCAATCAGATCCTTCAGTTGCTGAAGGGCAGACCGTGCCTCCCTGCGAAAGAGGACCGCGGTGAGGACCAGGGCAGAAATTCACTTTTACATTAAGAGCCATAATATAGATATTCCTCAGTTGGACATTGGGGTCAGTGAGAAGGTTTTTGGGGTGTGGGGAAGAAATAAATTAAATCAAGCAAGAATGCATTAAATTGATTTCAAGTTAAGTTACATTTATTTCTACAGTATAGCGCTTTAACTAGTGTTTTAACACAGCTTTACAGTGATAACAGGGAAATAATGCCATATATATGAAATAAAATAAATACATATGTGGCAAATTAATGAGGTATACATATTCTTAGCGGATCAAGAAAAGTTATTTTTCCATTTAGAGCCAATATTTAATGCAATATTTAGTATTTGAGTGTTTTGAGCTAAAGCTTCACACACACACACACACACTCTAGGGACTTATTTATCTTGTGAAATGGCATTATATGAATATGCTAAGCTGATGTTTTGCATTTATGCTTATTTTCCAAAGCGATTTACATTGCATTTCAAGGTTTACATTTCCATTCTTATCAGTCCGTTTACGTTCAGTGCGTTGAAGATTAAAGGTGTCTCTTTGTTTAGATGGCGGCGTGGAGTTCAAGCAGCCGTCGCAGCTCGCCGTGTGTCCGGACCGCCTGATCCAGGAGGTGATTGGAGGAGAGGATCTGTGCCGGAGCCTGAGCCTGTCGTACCTCCATCCGGCGCTGCAATCTCGCCTCTCCAGCTCCCTGCTCACAGCGCTGGGCGTGCATCGGCTCCGCGCCGCCGAGATCATCACCGTCACCTGCTCCATGGCCAGAGAACTCGTGCAGCACGGCCGGCTCAACTCAGGTGGGGCACTATTCATCAGAACCTGTGTTTTGCAGCCCTCTTAAAGGAGTAGTTCACTTTAAAAAAAAAAAAACATTCCAGGATTTTCTCCATATAATGGACTTCAATGGGGACCAAACGGTTCAAGGTCCAAAAGACAGTTTCAGTGCAAACTACAAACTGTTCAAAGGGCTTTAAACGATTCCAGACGATGAATAAGGGTCTTATCAAGCGAAACGATCGCTCATTTAACCCTTGTGCATTGTTCAAATTCACTACCCTTTCGTTATGTTCGTGGCTGAAAAAAGCCACTACTTTAAACTGCTGTAAAAATGTATCAGATAAATATTTTTTTCAATTTTTTTTGCATAAATCTATTAACCGACCTCAGTCCTGATCAAAACTACTAATTTTTTTTTAAAAATTCAGGATTTTAACTCTTTAATTGCCAAATTCATAAATGATGTCACTGAGAAAAAAAACACAAAATGACTTATTTTCAATATAAAATATGATTGTGGACTGGATTTTTTTTTACCTTTTATCACAGTCTTGGACATGTCAAAGATTAGAAACAACATTGGTTTTGATGCATTGTTAGTTTTTGTGTAGCATCAGATTTTAACCTTTTCTCCCTCATTTACTGTTCGTGGCTGTTTTTGCCCCATTGACTTCCATTATAACCACATTTTTTGATTGCAAAGCCATGACACCATAAAATCATGCATTTTTGATTGTTGATGGTTTTCCCTGTTGGGAAGAGGTAAAATTTGTAATTTTTACTGTTGATAACCAGGTGGAACCATTTAACCTTTTAGACAGGCCTGTGCAAAAAAAAGCTTAGTTTCTGGCTTTTACATGCAGTTATATGGAGTATAATAGCATATTACAGTGTGTATATGTGTGTGTGGGTGTGCGTGAGTGTGTGAGAGAGTGTGAGAACTCACCTTGATGCGTCTGAGAAAATAAAAATATACACTTCAGCTCTCAAAACTACATGGAGTAAACAAAAACAAAGTAAGTGTATTTATGCATCTGCTGCCTTTTGATGGTGAGAAATGCAGACTAAACAAAAACAAAGCAAGTGGATATAAACGCTTGTCATTTGATGGTGAGAAGAGCAGCAAGCAACATGAGAGAGGGCTTGACTTGTAGTAAAGTTTTAGAGATGATTATGCAGTCTGACCCCTCCAGCGAGCTGCAGGAGGTATTGTCTTCTCACTCTGACCGCAGACTCAGGACAGTCAGATCCTGGTTTGGATGTGGCACCCTCATCATCATCTCAAGCTTCCACTGAAGGCGAGGAGGATTCAGAGGAACCTGGATCTGGATGGACTGGGAGAATCTTGAGAGGGACATGGTGGTTCTGAAAATCGCACGACCACTGCGATCATCCCACAGGCAACGTGTGGACTCCCCTCTGGATCTGTAGACGCTGGCCAAAATCAGTAGCCCCATGCACAGAGATCTGTGGAGTCCACAGATCCAGGATCCTCTGAATCCTCCTCGCCTTCAGTGGAGCTCTAGCTTCCACTGAAAGCAGGAGGATTCTGTGGATCCTGGATCTGGGTGGATTGGGAGAAATGGTGAAGTATGGTTTTCCACCAATGCGGAGACAATTCCCTTTCTTCAGCCTGCAAGAGGCGTGAGTCGAGGGCCGACACGCAATGCTATCGCAATGGTTCAGAACATGGATTCTGTGTTCAATCTGTTTTTTACGGAGGAGATGACTGACCTCGTTGTCAGCATGACCAACCTCCATGGGCACCGCACAATGAGAAACTGGACTGGGGTGGACTCCACAGATCTCTGTGCCAACATGGGGCTACTGATTTTGGCCAGCGTCTACAGATCCAGAGGGGAGTCCACACGTTGCCTGTGGGATGATCGCAGTGCGATTTTCAGAGCCACCATGTCCCTCTCAAGATTCTCCCAGTCCATCCAGATCCAGGTTCCTCTGAATCCTCCTCGCCTTCAGTGGAAGCTTGAGATGATGATGAGGGTGCCACATCCACACCAGGATCTGACTGTCCTGAGTCTGCGGTCAGAGTGAGAAGACAATACCTCCTGCAGCTCGCTGGAGGGGTCAGACTGCATAATCATCTCTAAAACTTCACTACAAGTCAAGCCCTCTCTCATGTTGCTTGCTGCTCTTCTCACCATCAAATGACAAGCGTTTATATCCACTTGCTTTGTTTTTGTTTAGTCTGCATTTCTCACCATCAAAAGGCAGCAGATGCATAAATACACTTACTTTGTTTTTGTTTACTCCATGTAGTTTTGAGAGCTGAAGTGTATATTTTTATTTTCTCAGACGCATCAAGGTGAGTTCTCACACTCTCTCACACACTCACGCACACCCACACACACACATACACACTGTAATATGCTATTATACTCCATATAACTGCATGTAAAAGCCAGAAACTAAGCTTTTTTTTGCACAGGCCTGTCTAAAGGGTTAAATGGTTCCACCTGGTTATCAACAGTAAAAATTACAAATTTTACCTCTTCCCAACAGGGAAAACCATCAACAATCAAAAATGCATGATTTTATGGTGTCAAGGCTTTGCAATCAAAAAATGTGGTTATAATGGAAGTCAATGGGGCAAAAACAGCCACGAACAGTAAATGAGGGAGAAAAAGTTAAAATCTGATGCTACACAAAAACTAACAATGCATCAAAACCAATGTTGTTTCTAATCTTTGACATGTCCAAGACTGTGATAAAAGGTGAAAAAAAATCCAGTCCACAATCATATTTTATATTGAAAATAAGTCATTTTCTGTGTTTTTTTTCCCAAATCAGTGACATCATTTATGAATTTGGCAATTAAAGAGTTAAAATCCTGAATTTTTAAAAAAAAATTAGTAGTTTTGATCAGGACTGAGGTCGGTTAATAGATTTATGCAAAAAAAATTGAAAAAAATATTTATCTGATACATTTTTACAGCAGTTTAAAGTAGTGGCTTTTTTCAGCCACGAACATAACGAAAGGGTAGTGAATTTGCCCAGAGTGTACTGTTGAGTTTTTGAAAAATTTCAAAGCATTTTCCCAAAATATGTGTCAAAATAAGATTTGTCACCAAAAATCATTCCATTTGCTGAAACAAAGAAAAAGTTACGGCCAAATTAAGACTAAAAAATACCCCTTAGTGGCTGAAAAAAGCCACAACAGCACATAAGGGTTAATAAATAAATAACAAAGTTTAAGTTTTATAAGCTCAAATGCTCGCCTTGCTCTGTTCTGCGAGACTCAAGATCAAAATGAACAAATCTTTTTTCGAGTCATTTCGTTCATTGAATGAACCAAATGACCTGAAAAAAGAGTTGTTCATTTTGATGAACGAGTTCGAACAGGAGAGTCTCGCAGAACAGAGCAAGGCGAGCATTTGAGCTTATAAAACTTAAGATTTGTTATTTATTTATTAAATTAATGATCGTTTCGCTTGATAAGACCCTTATTCATCGTCTGGAATCGTTTAAAGCCCTTTGAACAGTTTGTAGTTTGCACTGAAACTGTCTTTTGGACCTTGAACCGTTTGGACCCCATTGAAGTCCATTATATGGAGAAAATCCTGGAATGTTTTCATCAAAAACCTTCATTTCTTTTCGACTGAAGAAAGAAAGACATGGACATCTTGGATGACACGGGGGCGAGTAAATTATCAGCAAAAGTTTTTCAAATGTGAACTTTAAGGCGAAATGTGAACTTCCATTTAAGGCGAGAGGGAATAGGGAAAAAAAAAACTAACCAATATCAGCTTGAAACTTCCCCTGTTGATTACTGACATTAAGACAAATACATGTTGTATTACAAGTTTTTAGAATATGTATGTTTAAATATGCAAATTAGGTGTTATCTCATTAAATATGTGCTAATTTGCATATATTTGAACATTGGATAAGGCCAGATCCAAATTTCTTGTTTCATTTTGTTGACATATTAGAGTCAAAGGGATATCTCTTTTTATCACTCCATTACTCAGAGAAACATATCAATAGCCATAAAATATCAATCCCCATTTTTAGGTATCAAATGTCCCAGAATCTGAATGATATATGAACAAACCCTTCTGTGAAAACCTTTAGAATATAGATAGGAATACAACTGCAAGCTTTGATGTGTGTAAGTGCCGCTGAAGAGGAGATTTTCCACTTTTTTTCAGATTTGCCATTTTGAGAAAAAAAGCCTTTAAAGATTTCGCTTTTAGACTTACCGGGATAGTTCACTTTGAAATTAATTTTTGGTATGTTTTATCTTACCTCAAGGGCATCCAAGATGTAGGTGTCTTTGTTTCCGCAGTATTTTCAATTTTGATATTTTTAGGTCAAACCGTTCGTGTCTATCAGTCATATAATGGAGGTCAATGGTCACCACCTCAAAGAGCATGCACAGAGAAGTCCAAATTAAACATGATTTAATGACTCGTAAATGTAAGTACACATTGATGGCCTAAGATACAAAACGAGCGGTTTGTGTGAGAAAACAAACAGTGTTTATATCGTTTTTGCCTCTTGTAACCACAGCCACGTCCAACTGATCTGAGGGCGCGGGCGCTTTGTGGCTATAAAAATAGAACCTAAAAATAATCTACAGGGAACGTTCCTAGAACCAGATGGGAACCGTACTGGCACGTTCTGTGTTTGCTGGGTTATTAGTTCATGTTCACTAATGTTATCTAATGACGTAATGAATTAGCTGATGTGTGTCCTCCGCTCAGAGCCCGATCTGGCGCGGCTGGCCCGGCTGCTGGTGTGTGGCCTCCGCGCGCTGGAGCCGGAGTATGAAGTGGACGCGCTGCTCCAGACGCTCAGAGAGGTTCCCATGATCCCGCTGGCCGACGGCAGTGTGGTTTCCCTGAGTTCAGAGGGAGTCTTCTTCCCTCTCAGTGATGTGACGCAAGCCGGCACAGGTACCTTTTTTTGTTTTTAAAATACATGATTTCGACATATTACCGTTTTTTTTTTTTTTTTAAACGGAGAAAAACTGAAGAAATGTATGCTTTTGTTCCGCAACGACACATTAAATGATGAGGATAAAGACATTTATGTTACAAATAGATGAATTTTCTATTCATGAAAAATTCTACACTGATGATCACGGGCGTAATTTACTATGGGGACAGGAGGGACATGACCCCACCACTTTTCATAATCCACACACACACATGAATCATTTTCATTGAGACATCAGTAGCGATATTAATATCAGTGATACTGGCCTTCATTCATAAACAGATGCCATTAAACAATTATTTTAAATATTCTGTCTTTATGTGGTTTCTATATTACTGTGGAAATTGAGGTGCATATTATTTACACACAAAACATTAATGGCTAACATTTTGACTTTATAAAATGATTCTCTAAAGTCTTGGCGATCGGTTATTTTTATCAATATTTTTCTTATACATATAGCCTACTATTCTTTTTGCCAGAATTTATCATTATAATCAAATTATTTCCTGGTCTTTGTAAAAATCCAGGAAATGGGATTCAAATCGAAAACATTTTCCCCCATTGTGTGTCCCCCCACACTTCCCAAACAAAAGTTACGCTCTTGCTGATAATAATCATAAATGTTTGTTTATCATCAGATCCTCATATTAGAGTGATTTGTGAAGGGTCATGTGACACTGGAGACTGGAGTAATGATGATAAATTCAGCTTTGATCACAGGAATAAATTACACTTTACTATATATTCAGATAGAAAACAGATGATTCGAATTCTAATAATATTTCACAATATTAATATTTTTTCTGTATTTTTTATTACATAAATGCAGTTTTGGTGAGCATAAAAAAATAAAAATGTTGAACAGTGATATATTATAAAATGTATATATATATATATATATTTGTATTTCAACTACACTTTATTATTTATATATAATTAGGGCTGTGCAAAAATTAATTGTGATTAATCGCATCCAAAATAAAAGTCTGTGTTTACATAATATATTTGTGTGTGCTGTATATAATTATTTTGTATATATAAATACACACACATGCATGTATGTATTTAAGAAAATGTGTTATTCATATATAAAATATTTATATTTATATAATATAGATTATGTATTTATATATACAGAATTTAAGCGCAAATAATTCTTAAATATATACATGCATGCATAGGTATTTATATATACAAAATAATTATATACAGCACACACAAATATATCATGTAAACACAGACTTTTATTTTGGATGCGATTAATCGCAATTAATTTTTGCACAGCCCTATATATAATATATTAGAGCTGTCAACATTAATGTGTTAATTATTTTCTGTTTGTGTGTATGCAATTAACACAGGATCTTTTTTTTGGCATTGTTGGTGTTCAATTAAATTAAAGCGGTTGTTCAGAAATGTATCAGACATGAAAAGAAAAGCAGTTTAATCCAAATCTCCTCAATGATGAACATATTTAATTTAGCCTTTTATTCACATTGATGAATGCACATACAGGGAACTCAAAATATGGTGACATCATGGAAGATCAAAAGTGGGCGAACCAATGATGTTTGAGCTTGCGTCGATTCATCTTGTAGTGCGTCTGGAGTCGTTGTTTCCCCGTCTCTCTAGACCGGTCTGCGATGAATGATCGTCCTCATCTCCTGCTATTTCATGAATCAATAAAGTGAGTCACAGGAGAGAAAGACGCACTACTTGCGTCATTGGAGTAAAAAAAGGGTATTTTTGTGAATGAAACTCAAACTGCAGATGCATTTCTCCACCTCTAATCTCCTTCATAACTCGCTTCTCTTTGATTTATGACCCATTTTTGTTGTCAGATTAGTCAGATGCGTCCTCACTGCTCCGGCCGAATGGAAACGAGTCATGCTAACGCTGTGTGTCAGGTAGAGTCGGGCATAGCTGCTAAAATCAGTGATGAATTAAACATCAGGCTCAGCGGGACAGGAAGTGGGTCATCAGCCGCTCTCATGCTTCCTGTACAGGGCTTCAAATTAACTTGTTCACTCACAGGCCCAGTGTGGCTACTAAATCTTTTACGTTACCAGCCATTCAGAACGTCTACTAGCCAAAAACGTAAAAGAAATAGTCAAGTCACAGCGCTTTTAACAATACAGAGTGTTTCAAAGCAGCTTTACGGAGATAACAGGAAAATAACGCAACATTATTTAAACATCGTATACAATTTTGAATATTGCTGATTATTACTCACAAAGCACTTAATGCTCTTTAATTTAATATTCAACAAAATATCCAGATTAACTACGGCCCTGTATATATATGAAACTGGAAATGAGAATATCGTGCAGAAGTTCACTTAAGCTGAAACTAATATATTATAGACTCAGGGAGATATTTCAAGCCTTTATTTGTTATAATTGTGATGATTATGACTTACAGATATGAAAACCACAAATTCAAAATTAGAATATTGTGAAAAGGTTTTCATATCTGTAATCCATAATCATCACAATTATAACAAATAAAGGCTTGAAATATCTCACTTTGCATGTAATGAGTCTATATAATATATTAGTTTCACCTTTTAAGTTGAATTACTGACATAAATGAACTTTTGCACGATACTCTAATTTTTCAGGTTTAACCTGTATATATAATTAAAAATATATAAATATATAAATATATATATATATATATATATATATATATATATATATATATTCAAATTCAAATCTGCAAGTCTGTGCAAATCTGTCATTCACTTAAATGTGAAGTCCTAAAAAAAAAAAGTTGCTTGTCCGGAAAAATAAAATACAATTGTGTTGTAATTATAAATTATTCTGAAGCAATATTCTCATCAGTGTTCAATCAGCTTTGATATATTTATATGGTCATATCTGCATATCTGTCTTATTCTCATCCTTCGCGGGTCAAATCGAAAAATTATCCCTAATGATACTTTTTTGCTCATTAGTATGGTTGAATTAGATCATTGAAGATCAGCAGCAAAGACATCAGTTAATAAAGTGAGAATAAATTCATAAAGTATATTTGTGTAATTTTAATATTAATTATAAAAATTTTGCATAAAATTCTGAGATTGCGTTTCACTGTTTTTATTAATTTTGAGGAATACTGAATGTTTTAGTGCTCATGAGACGAGTAAACGCATGATCACATTTAGTCTAGAACGAAAATAACCATCATGTTTTCACACACATACATTTCTCTCAACATGAGGACAGGACCGCTGTCAGTCAACAAATTTGAAAAAGTAACAAGCGTTACTTATTTGATCTTAGATATTTTTTTTGTAAATTGTAACAGTAATATGTTACTTCAGTAGTTACTTGAAAGAGTAATCTGCTTACTGTACGTAACTCCCGTTTACCTGTAATGAGCTCCACACAACCCCTGTCCTGCTCCGGCTGCAGATCTGAAGGCTCTGTACCAGGACCTGAACACCGTGGAGCCGCGGCTGCTGGCGTGTCTGGACGAGCTGGGGAACTCGCAGGTTCGGGAGGTCCTCCGCAGACTCGGCGTTCACGAGCTGGAGCCTCAGCAGGTCCTGCAGCAGCACATCTACCCCGTGCTGAGGAGCAACGCCTGGCAGGTCAGAGAGAAACACACACGCTCGCACACTGAGGCGCTAATAGAATTAGAATAGTAATGGTATGATACACTTTATGAAAATTAAAACTAATATAAAATTTTAAATGTTGTTAAATTTAATTAAAATTGTATTTAAGTTAATTTAAAATGCATGTTATTTTGTCTCCGTACAAGTGAACTTATGCATCAAAACATTGCTTTGTAAAATATTACTTTGTACCATAAAATTCCCTCAAAATACAAAAAGATATTATACTAGGGGGAAAAAATTGAGTCGTGTTCGTCATTTAAGGCTGTGAATTGGAGCTCTCAAAACGCTACGGATGCGAAAAACACAGATTTGAGTAACGCCACATTGTTCGCTTGAGCCTCCAAATTAAAATTAATATAACATTTTAAATGTTATAAATTTAATTAAAATTGTATTTAAGTTAATTTAAAATGCATGTTATTTTGTCTCCGTACAAGTGAACTTATGCATCAAAACATTGCTTTGTAAAATATTACTTTGTACCATAAAATTCCCTCAAACATACAAAAATATATTATACTAGGGGAAAAAAATTGAGTCGTGTTCGTCATTTAAGGCTGTGAATTGGAGCTCTCAAAACGCTACGGATGCGAAAAACACAGATTTGAGTAACGCCACATTGTTCGCTTGAGCCTCCAAATTAAAATTAATATAAAATTTTAAATGTTGTTAAATTTAGTGTTTACGTTAATTTAAAATGCATGTTATTTTGTCTCCGTACAAGTGAACTTATGCATCAAAACATTGCTTTGTAAAATATTACTTTGTACCATAAAATTCCCTCAAAATACAAAAATATATTATACTAGGGGAAAAAAATTGAGTCGTGTTCGTCATTTAAGGCTCTGAATTGGAGCTCTCAAAACGCTACGGATGCGTAAAACGCAGAAATTCGAACCCGATCCGATTTTTTTATGACGGACGAAAGTTCCGTGAAAAAAAAACGTGATTGACAAAATGTCAGGTCGTATTTTTTTTTTTAACACGAATTTCGTACTCGGTGTGCGTGGGCCTTTCTGCCAAGTTCACACTGCACGATGTTCTGGGGTACTGTTCAGTCACTGGTGTGTGTGTGTGTGTGTTCACACTTTACAAAAGAAAGAATCGCAGACAACTTCTGTCTGTTTATTCCTCGCAATTCCAAGTTTAAATCTTACAATTATGACTTTTTCTCGCAATTCTTCATGATCACGAGTTTATAACTTGCCATTCTGATTTCAAAATATGAACTCGCAATTGTGTAATTAATATGCATAAACACAGCATAAAAAATAACAATGGTAATTGCGACTTCGCAATTCTGACGGTTGTCTTGCAATTCCAAGTTTATATCTCACAATTATGACCTTTTCTCGCAATTCTTCGCAATTCCAAGTTTATATCTCACAATTATGACCTTTTCTCGCAATTCTTCATGATTACGAGTTTTTAACTTGCCATTCTGATTTCAAAATATGAACTCGCAATTGTATAATTAATATGGAAGGTTGTTTCCTCCACAGCATAAAAAATTACAATGGTAATTGCAACTTTATTTCTCGCAATTCCCGAGTTTATCTCTCAATTCTGACGGTTGTCTTGCAATTCCAAGTTTATATCTCACAATTATGAGCTTTTCTTGCAATTCTTTGCAATTCCAAGTTTATATCTCACAAATATGACCCTTTCTCGCAATTACGAGTTTATAACTTGCCTTTCTGATTTCAAAATATGAACTCGCAATTGTGTAATGGGCTCTATGCACGGCGGTATTTCCGGTGAAGGATTAAGGATGCTCGATAACTTCCGCCGATCGTAGAGTCCAAAGCAATACCGAGAATTTATATTGAATTTTATACTCCATGGTTATACTAATGAAACGTTAGTCACAAAAACAGATAAAACAGACACCCCTCGTTGTGTTTATGCTTCTTTTTCAAATTATATTAAATGAACATAACTATATATAAAATTACATCTAAACGTATGTACGTTTCGTTTCAAAGTCGGGAGGACAGTAAATATTGAAGACTCTGCCATAATCCCGTTTTCCTCGGTTTTCCTCCGCTTTAATCTACACAACCGGAAATGGACGAGCATCCTTACGTCAAATGCGGAACTTATGCGTGCATATAGCCCATTAACATGGAAGCTTGTTTCCTCCACAGTATTAAAAATAACAATGGTAATTGCGACTTTATTCGCAATTCCCAAGTTTATCTCGCAATTCTGACGGTTGTCTTGCAATTCCAAGTTTATATCTCACAATTATGACCTTTTCTCGCAATTCTTCGCAATTCCAAGTTTATATCTCACAAATATGACCTTTTCTTGCAATTCTTCGCGATTACGAGTTTAAAACTTGCCATTCTGATTTAAAAATATGAACTCGCAATTGTATAATTAATATGGAAGCTTGCTTCCTCCACAGCATAAAAAATAACAATGGTAATTGCGACTTTATTTCTCGCAATTCTTTTCAATCACGAGTTTATTACTTGCCATTTTGATTTTGAGATATAAACTCGAAATAATGAGAAAAAAAACCTGTCGGCGAGCAAAAATCGTGAAACTCTGACTCGATAAACTGCTGATAATGACGAAACTTGCGACTATAGTTGGCTAGCGATGCTTTCGGGAAACACAACTGGATGTTTGAAACTGGATCAAGTGTGTGAAAATGCTGTCATCTATATGAATGTGCCTCATATTCTCATTTAATTTATTTTCTCTTAGAAAAAGCCCAAGGATGTTGTGGTCAGCTACCTGGTGTTCATCAAAGCGCACTCTCAGGATCAGGACTACAGGAGCCTCGCCGCACACATACCTGTGCTGACCAGCGAGGGCTTCCTCTTCCCTTCACAGAGCAAAATACAGTTCTCCAGCCAGTACGGCAACATCGACCTTCCCAGCGTGCTCCCTGGTAAACGAAGTTCAGCTTGGTGTGGGATTTACTTTGAAATTGCTAGTAAAATTTACAAAATATTGCAAAGAAATGGCAAGTAACACATTAAATTAAAAATGAACACACTTTTAACATTCTTTTAACACACTTTAATGAACTGTTATAAACTTCATAGTTTTGTTTGCAACTTTGAAAAATAATTTTGAAAATTAAAAGTGTAGCCTTTTGGTGAATTAAGATTCGAAGGTGACGCTTTACAATGAGGATTTGTTAGTTAAATCATAGAAGCTTTTGTCCACAATGGGAAAAAAAAAGGTAAAAGATCCTAATTCTGACTTTATTTCCTGCAATTCCAAGTTTATCTCGTAATTCTGACTTTATTTCTCGCAATTCTAAATTTCTCGCAATTCTAACTTTTTTCTTGCAATTGCGACTTTATTTCAATTCAGCTTTTTACTTCTTGCAGTACTGACTTTATTCCTCACAATTCCAAGTTCCAAGTCAATCTCGCAATTCTAAATTTATGACTTGCAATATGTGATCGTATCTCACAATTCTGACCTTATCTCAATTCCAAGTTTATCTCGAAATTCTGACTATTTTTCTCTCAATTCCAAGTTTGTCACAATTCTGACTTTATTTCTCTCAGTTTCAAGTTTATCTGGCAATTCTGACTTTTTTCTTGCAATTCAATTCAACTTTTTACTTCTTGCAATTCAGACTTTATTCCTCGCAATTCCAAATTTGTATCTCAGAATTCTGAATTTCTTTCGCAATTGCGATTTTTTTTTTTTAGAATTTCAAGTTTATATCTCGCAATTATGACTTTTTCTCGCAATTCTTTGCGATTACTAACTAACTCACAATTGTGTAATTAATATGGAAGCTTGTTTCCTACACAGATTTAAAATAAAAAAGGTAATTGCGACTTTTTATCTCACAATTATGACTTTATTTCTCGCAATTTCAAGTTTATATATCACAAATTATGCAATAATCTCGCAATTCTTCGTAATTATGAGTTTATTACTTGCCATTCTGATTTTGAGATATAAACTCGAAATTTTGAGGGAAAAAAAGTCATAATTATGAGATTAAAAAGTCATAATTACCTTTTTTTATTTTTTAGTCTGTGGCGAAACAAGCTTCCATATTATCTACATTAGTTAACATGAACTAACGATGTTAATTTCAGCATTTAGTAATACATTATTCAAATCAAATAATTATTATTATATAATGAAGTGGACCTGAGCTAACATGAACTAACAATAATCAGCTGGATTTGTACTAACTAGTGTTAACAAGGATTATTAGAAACTTTTACAAATAAATTGCTCATTATTAATGTAACGTTTACTAATGGAACCTTATTGTAAAGTTTTACCATTTTAAATCCTACAGAAATATTCAGTTATGATCAAATTACTTCATTTTTTGAGTAAGCTTCACAGTTAACTGCAAAAAAAAAAAAGATTTTCTTACTTAGTATTTTTGTCTTGTTTCCAGTCCAGATATCATTTCATAACATTAATAAGATGCATTTACTAAAGTAGTAAAATTACATAAGACATTAAGTCTTCTTTTCTGGGGAAATAAATACAAATTAAGTGAGTTTTTACATAAAACATGGAAAATTATCTGCCAATGAGTAAAAAAAAAATAATATTGTTTTTGTTTGAAATTGATTATGAACTGATTAATTCCTCCAGAAAACAGGACATGATATCATATGTCATTTCACTCATCTAGTAAATGCATCTCGATTTAAGAATGATTAGATATTTGCACTGGAAACAAGTCAAAAATACTAAGCAAGAACAGCATTTTTTGCAGTGTAATTGACTCACCGAACTAAAAGTCTTTCGTAGGGACTTACAAAAGCATGAATTATGCATGAACACGGATCCACCCAGTCCTTCAGAGCCAACCGGTGACTTTCCTTTCCCAGGTGTGGCGTGGGTCCTGCTGGACGCCTGCTACCTGGCGGCCGATCGAGACGTGAGCGGATGGAGAGAGCTCTTCAGTTCACTGGGCGTGCGAGACCTTCTGATCTTCAGGAAGGAGAAGCGCACATTCACTACATCTGAACTGGTGAGGCCGGGTGGCACTGCAAAAAATACTGTTCTTACTTAGTGTTTGTGTCTGGTTTCCAGTCCAGTTATCTAAAAATTCTTAAATCGAGATGCATTTACTAGATGAGTAAAATGACATAAGATATTATGTCCTGTTTTCCGGGGAATTAATCAAAATTAAGTGAGTTGATGCTTAAAATTATCTGGCAAAAAAATAATGTTAATTCAAACAGAAACAAGATTTTATTTTATTTTTTTACTCCATTGGCAGATAATTTTCCTTGTTTTAACAAAAACTCACTTAATTTTTATTTATTTCCCCATAAAACAAGACTTAATATCTTATATAATTTTACTACTTTAGTAAATGCATCTTGAATGCATGCAGAAATGTTTAATATTTGTACTGGAAACAAGACACAAATACTCAGTAAGAAAAGCATGTTTCGCAGTGTAATGAAGCATGTCAGCGCTTGCTTTTGTTTTGTGCGCAACCTCGATTTCAGCCAATCACGGCGCTCCCCACGGCCTTTAATGGAGTGGAAGTGTGAAATTGGCAGTAATTGGATGTGATAAAAGGAGGACGTCAAGCTGAACTCCTCAACTTCCTATGCCATTTGTGGTCTCAAATAACATGTTGTACTCATGCTGTTCTGTGATCGTAGGTTTTTTTTATCCTAAATGTAATGAGAACAGCTGGAAATACCAGGAATGGGTGATTATGAAACACACTAAACTAATTTTCCTTAGTTAAAATATGTCATTAAGTGTGCCTGACCTCATCACATAAACGTGTGCATTCAGTGATGTTCGTTCAGTAATTCATTCAGATAAATAACTTTTTTTAACAAGAAATTATATCGTGTTTTCTTAAAAAAATAATAATAAATAAATTTGCAAATTATTTATTTGCCAATGGGGTGAGAAAAATAATCTTAATTCAAATGGAATAGATGATTCTTTTTCTTACCCTGTTGGTAGATCATTTTGCTTGTTTTAAATAAAAAGTCTAGAATTTTATTAATTTAAATTAATTAAAAAATTTATTAATTTAAACTTAATTTAGAATTTTATTACTATCAGAAAATATGATAGAATTTCGTTCAGCCACAGAATAAAACATTTTAAAAGATAATTGCTACTTTTTTTCTCAGAATTTCGAGTAGCAATTCTTACAATTCTGACTTTATATCTCGCAATTCTAACTTTATAACTCACAATTGTGATTATATCGCAATTCTGAATTTATAACTCGCAATATATATTGCGACTATATATCTTGCAATTCTGACTTTATAACTCGCAATTGCAACTATATATCTCGCAATTCTGACTTTATAACTCACAATTGCGACTATATATCTTGCAATTCTGTCTTTATAACTCACAATTGCGACTATATATCTTGCAATTCTGTCTTTATAACTTGATATTGCGACTATATATCTCACAATTTTGACTTTATATCTCGCAATTGCGACTATATATCTCGCATTTCTGACTTTATAACTTGATATTGCGACTATATATCTCACAATTCTGACTTTATATCTCGCAATTGCGACTATATATCTCGCATTTCTGACTTTATAACTCGCAATTGCAACTATATGTCTCACAATTCTGACTTTATAACTTGCAATTGCGGCTATATATCTTGCAATTCTGACTTTATAACTCGCAATTGCAACTATATATCTCACAATTCTGACTTTATAACTTGATATTGCGGCTATATATCTCACAATTTTGACTTTATATCTCGCAATTGCGACTATATATCTCGCATTTCTGACTTTATAACTTGATATTGCGACTATATATCTCACAATTCTGACTTTATATCTCGCAATTGCGACTATATATCTCGCATTTCTGACTTTATAACTCGCAATTGCAACTATATGTCTCACAATTCTGACTTTATAACTCGCAATTGCGGCTATATATCTTGCAATTCTGACTTTATAACTCGCAATTGCAACTATATATCTCACAATTCTGACTTTATAACTTGATATTGCGGCTATATATCTCACAATTTTGACTTTATATCTCGCAATTGCGACTATATATCTCGCATTTCTGACTTTATACCTTGATATTGCGACTATATATCTCACAATTCTGACTTTATATCTCGCAATTGCGACTATATATCTTGCAATTCTGTCTTTATAACTCGCAATTGCAACTATATGTCTCACAATTCTGACTTTATAACTCGCAATTGCAGCTATATATCTCGCAATTCTGACTTTATAACTCGCAATTGCAACTATATATCTCGCAATTCTGACTTTATAACTCACAATTGTGACTATATATCTTGCAATTCTGACTTATAACTCACAATTGTGATTATATCGCAATTCTGACTTTATAACTCGCAATATATATTGCGACTATATATCTTGCAATTCTGACTTTATAACTCACAATTGCAACTATATATCTCGCAATTCTGACTTTATAACTCATAATTGCGACTATATATCTTGCAATTCTGTCTTTATAACTTGATATTGAGACTATATATCACAATTTTGACTTTATATCTCGCAATTGCGACTATATATCTCGCATTTCTGACTTTATAACTCGCAATTGCAACTATATATCTCACAATTCTGACTTTATAACTCGCAATTGCGGCTATATATCTTGCAATTCTGACTTTATAACTCGCAATTGCAACTATATATCTCACAATTCTGACTTTATAACTCGCAATTGCGACTATATATCTTGCAATTCTGACTTTATAACTCGTAATTGCGACAATATATCTCGCAATTCTAACTTTATAACTCACAATTGCGACTATATATCTCGCAATTCTGACTTTATAACTCGCAATTGCGAATACAAATCTTGCAATTCTGACTTTATAACACGCAATTGTGACTATATATCTCGCAATTCTGACTTTGTAACTCGCAATTGCGCCTATATATCTTGCAATTCTGACTTTATAACTCACAATTGCGACTATATATCTCGCAATTCTGACTTTATAACTCACAATTGAGACTTTATGTTGATAAACTCGGAATTGCGAGAAATAAAGTTAGAATTGTGAGATAAAAAGTCACAATTACCATTTTTATTTTTCGTTCCGTGGCAGAAACAAGCTTCCATAAATGTCTTATGTCATTTTGCTTATCTAGTAAAGACTTCTTGATTGAAGAATTTTCAGATACTTGGACTGGAAACTAGACCATAAGGCAATAAGGAAAGCATTGCAGTGTAGTTCATTCATATTGCATTCTGACCTCATCTTCATAAGCTTCATTAGAGTACAGTAGACTCTCCCGGTATGGGCCTGAGTAACCTGACGTCTCCTCCAGGCGTCGAGCCCGTGGGCGGTGGAGAGCGAGCTGTGGCCGAAGCCTTCGGATGGGCGTTACGTCATCGAGGATCATCACTGCGCTGAGTTTCATACGCTGGCCACCGCCGATCTGCCGGCGAACACTAAACTACAGCAGAGACAAGCTCTCATCAACCTGATGGACAAGCACTGGAATGCTGGGTAATAAACACTGCAGAAGATGTGCAGCATGCACCCCACTTTCATGCACATTATATATTTACATTTATGCATTTGGCGGATGCTTTTATCGAAAGTGACTAGCATTGCATTTCAAGGCACACATTTACGTTCTTATTATTGCTTTCCCTGGGAATCGAACCCATGAGCTTGGCGTTGCAAGCGGCATCGCTCTACTGTGTGAGCTACAGGAAAACGCTATGCATTGAAGTCACTTTCCCTGAGACTGGATTTAACAGAGGAAACTGCGAAAACACGAGTAAAACAAACAAATATCATGTTTAAACTAAAGCTTGGACTCGATATAGTGTTCCAGAGATCGTGGATATCATCATGCAGCCAGAAATCATGTTTCCTCACATTTATATGAGACTGATTTCAACACCGGGGAAATACATACAGCAAATTTGCCTGTGAACACTTTATATAAACACAATATAGGTCTAAATCCATGTGATCCCTCATATCACTGTTATATATATCACCATATCGTTGTCCAGCCCTAAAAGAATAGATTCTGCTTTGCACTATGGCTGGAAAGACTAAGCGGTTGAACTCTTCAACTCATCCAAAACCCAGCAAGTAATGCCGTGATCCCTCATGATTTGTCCACTTAAGCTCAATGTGCTCTCTGAACAGCTCTTTAGTCCAGATTATTCAACACTACGGTCGCACTATTAGTCTGGCATGCAATTCATCATCTGCATTTGATCATTTTTGTCAGGCATGTGTGTGTGTGCTTGAAGGATTGGGCTGTTTATTTAATGGACTGTGTCTGATGACCATTAACCCCGTCAGATCCTAATCGGGAACATGCATCCGTCTATTCTTGGTCGCTCGCTTTTATAAAGCTCTCAAAGGAATGTACAGTCAAACACGGTTCAGACACCAGATATACACTTTTATAATTGTTTGCTAGTGTGTGCAGAATAAAGTAAACTGTGACATGAGAACTTGGTTTTAGCGAGTCTTCTGGCACTTGAATGGTTTAGAAACACATTAAAACGCCAACATAGGAATCATTAAACACTTTAATCATTAAAGGGAAATGCAGGTGTCTCATCGAATCCCTGATTATTGGAAATTTGGAACCAGTTCTGAAACGGTAATGATGTGATTGCTTGCACACTGCTTGTATAGTTTTGTACTGTACATTAAAAAAATGAGTAAACCACCTGACAGATTAATGTAATGTTAACCCATAAAGCGAAGTGCTTTCTTAACCCTCAGACGGTCTTCAGTCATTTATGACTGGAAAATTTTCCGTTTTGAATTTCTAAAAATCACAGCTTCATCGGAATGTTATGAAACTTGGTGACTTTTATGGCATTATGAATGTGAACACAAAAAAAAATTGAGGTCATGATCCGAGCATGCTAAGTGGTCGTAAAAAAAATAGTCACACTCGTGGTCTTTGGTCAAAAATGACCCCCATAGGAAATGACACGAAAATTCACAAATTTGTATTTATTTTTTTTACATTTTTTTTAATAAGAAATCGTTTTTGAGATTGTTTCAAATATATATTCAAATCCACCAAAAAAAAAAAAAAATGTGTTCATAAACAGCTGGGGAATTCACATGCTTCTCCATAGAGAGCTGTACATGCCATCTAGTGGTCACACCATGACTCTACGCTTTTTCTCTATACTGTAACCAGATGGTGGTAATTTTCTTCAAAAAATGTTTTTTTTCTGAAGGCCTAGACTCTATATTAAACTAAAATACTGCATGAATAATTTTTTGAAAAATTAATATATATATAGAAATATATATATATATATATATATATATATATATATATATATTTTTTTATTATTTTTTTTTTTTTCCATGGCAAAAATAGACCATAAATATTGCATAAATATTAATAAATTCAATCAAATTGTCTCAAAATACTAAATTACAAAGAATAAATATTATAGAACAAAAATAAATTGCATTGGTTTTATTGCAACGAAGACCGTCAGAGGGTTAAGTTCGATCATTGTAAAATATTACCATTATTTTTGTATTATGTGAGCCTCGGTGTGCCGACTTTCTTCAGTTTTTTATTGTTTCTTCTGTCGAGTGCATATGTTTGCCAGTGATGCTCTTTCTTTGCTCAGCCCATGAACCCTGTGCTGTGTGTGTTTCAGAGAGAGGTTCTCGCAGTATCTGCGGGCGCAGGTGTTGGACAGCGCGGGCCGCCCCGTGCGAGAGGCCCGGTCCTCCTTCCATCACTTCCTCAGGCAGCTGCCCTGGGTCCCAGCGTACAGGCCGTCGACCCCCGAGAGCCGGCCCGTGACCTTCCTGCAGCCCACGTCTGTCTACGTCTACTCCGCGCACGTGCACCAGCTCCTCGGCTCACACGTCGATTATGCACACGCCGTACAGACGCCCAGCGACTTCACCAGCGCCATAGGTAACGCTACGCTTAAACATAAATACTCTACATCATGATTTATATTATATATAAAGAACACATTTTTCTTAAATAAATACAACATGCAATGCGTGTGTTTTAATATATAGAAAATAATTACACAGCACACACACATATATTATATAAACAACTTTTATTTTGGATGCGATCATCGCGATGCGTTTCACAGCGCTATTTTCAACATTGATAATAATCAGAAATGTTTCAATGCCAGCCGGTGCATATTATTACAGCTGAGGTATACGTGTGTGTGTGTGTGCAGGAATGAGACACAGTGTGCACGTGGAGGACATGATTGGCTATCTGAAGCGCTGGTGCACGAAGGTGTCCGAGGATCCGTGTGACGAGCCCGAAGGAGCCGACTTCAGCTCTACTGTGGGTCACATCCATGCAGTGTACCAGTACCTGTACGCCGAGTGCACTAGCGCCCAGATCCGAGACCTGTTCCAGCACTCGCCCGCCGTCTTCATCGAGTACGACAGGTCAGATACTAACTATATATATTCTTCATCTTCTGAACACTAATTAAGATATTAAGATAAATCTGAGCGCTGGATCACTCCTCCATAGGCTTCTGTTGTAATTGAAACTTGCCGGCCCAGAAAGTTATTAAAGACATCGTTAAAATAGTCCGAGTGATGACAACGGCTCAACCGCAAGACTTCAACCAGTAGTTTCACATCATCGCACCATAGGCTCCGCCCACTGCCGTAATAGGCTCCGCCCTCTGGCGTTCAAACGCTTGATGGCTGACTTTTGCCTACACTGGATGTGAGCGTTGTGTCAAAAGCCATTATAATGACTGACGCTGTCTACACTCGTACAGTATACAGATGCGTGTTCAGTTTTCAGTCGTATGGTTTATTTTAAGGCGTCCCGGATCGCGTCAGTATGTTTGTTCGGAGCGTTTGATTGCCTTGTAAACGAGGCTCAGTGTAATGAAGAAACTTTTGCCACTGTAAAGTGAAGGATTTCATCGCGCTTTGTCTGCGAATGACGGTTTTATAAAACACTTACTCAAAACGGTTTCCTATGCAATGACGTTAGCCAATCATAACAGTGGGCGTTTACTGACAAGCCTTAACGGAGCCGCACATTAAAAGAGGCTCAGAATTAAGCTTGAAAATAATATTTTACAGTCAAACCAACATTTATTCAGACACTTTCACCATTATCAGTTTATTGGCTCTAGTTTATAAACATGAGCAGAACTCAGTTCTCAGATCAGTGTTTGATATGTGACTGGTTTTGTCCGTCCTTCTGTTGGACTCTCACACATGAGTTATGTTGAATATCTGTTAAATTACACAATTAGATAATACCAGTTTAGCTCAACCAGTGACCAAGCAATGCGAATGTTGTTGCATTAGCAATTACAGAAAACACACTTCAGCACAACATGGCCGGGTCTGAATCATTTTGGTTTGACTGTATTTGTTTTTTGTGTGCAAAGAAGTTTATTAACATTATAAGAGAATGTGTCCTCATGTGGTGCAGGACGGACGAGTGGTGCTCGGGGCGCTTCTATCATCTTAAAGAGGTTTGCTGGTGGGATCCGACGGGGATGTTCCAGAGATACAAGGAGTTGATCCGGCGGCCCGACAGCGGCGTCCAGGAGCCCAGAGTCTTGGCTCCGCTCTATAATGGGTTGCAGGACATGAAGAGCATGTTCAAGGTTTGTTTAGGGTGTAATAAACATCTATAAGCCCGACATTATTGTCATGTTCTGGCTAATAAATAGCCTATATTAAAATGTTGCACTATTTTGTCTAAATAAATTTAAAATGAAATGCCTAAAAACCTAAAATTGTGAATGTAGACGTCACTGTAGACATCACAACATTGAAGTGTAAATATTGATGATTATGTCTTACAGTTAATGAAAACCTTTTCACAATATTCTAATTTTGAATTTGGGGTTTTTATAATCTGTAAACCATAATCATCAACATAAAGGCTTGAAATATATCACTTTGCATGTAATGAGTCTATATAATATATAAGTTTCACATTTTACTGAATTACTAAAATAAATGAACTTTTGCACGATATTCTATTTTTTTGAGTTTTACCTGTAAATGCATTGTGGAAAATATTTACATGGTTGTAAAAATTGAATTTACTGTATGATTTTTTGGCAATTTTGGCTGAATCAATCAAAACCACTTTAATGTGATACACACAGAAACTCAAAAGTCTTGTCAAAATATAAGTTTAGTTTAACTTGAAGAAATTATGACAGATGTATATTACTATTATACGGCATAATGTAATAATGACAAGTTCATTAAAGCATTATTTTTAAGTAATATGACTGTATTAATTATACAGTGAACTTTTGTTTTGTTTTGCCAAAAATGAAAGAAATTAATGTATGTCTTATTTGTTGCTTCAAAAATAGAATTTGGGGAAAAATAATGGGACTATTATTGTTAAAGTCAATTCACTAGACTTTGTTTATTAAAATTTAATTAAATCATTAAAATTTAATCAAAATTTAAACAAGAAATTTGGGGGAAATACAACATTTCATAGAGCCCTATTATTTTTAAAATTAGTTAAATAAATGATTAAATTGTAAACTTTTTAAATTATTTAAAATAAATGCATTTTTTTTTAAATAATAAATGTATTAAAAAATGCATCAAATTATTACATTAAATAAATTTTGGAAAAAAGAAAACATAGGGCTCTATTATGATTTCAAATTTGAATCAATTATTACATATTAAAAATTCAGTTGATTAAGACATCCATAATTTGTTTATATTAAAATAAAAAAAGAAAAAAGAAACCAGAAAAAATTTAAACAAAACGAGGAATTTGGAACACAATAAACAGGTTTATTCTATATCTGTGTGTGTGTGTGTATATATATATATATATATATATAGTGTATATAAAGTGTATATTGTCATTGCAGTCGCTGAGAGTGGAGCAGAACCCCTCGATGAAGCAGTACGTGTCCCTGCTGGAGGCCGTGTGCGAGTCCTCTCCGCTCGCCACAGGAGACGTCGTCCAGGACGTGTCCGTCATCTTCGCCAAACTGGGTACCAGTCGAACTCGCCATAATCGGCCAATAAACTGGCATTTCTAATCTCTTTCTCTCTCTCTCTCTCTCTCTCTCTCTCTCTCTGTCTCTCAATTCAATTCAAATGTGTTTTAATGGCATGACAATTATTTCAATGTATTCCAATCATCATACATATATATATACCGTATATAAAATAGATAAATAAATAAATAAAATAAAATAAAAAGGTAAGTTTAGAATTCTGAAATGTTGATTAAGGCAATTTATAAAACCAGGAAACATCAAATTGAACAAGAAACAAGTTATAATTTAAAAGGCAGTGTTTTCAAATCAGTGAAATCTAGAATTTGAATGAATTTTCGATATTTTAAAGCCATGAATGATCTTGATCTTTGATTTGATTCAATAAGTGGTTATTGATGACAGCCTGTGTTTTGCATGATGTTGCCTTTTCTGTTCTGATTTTTGTTTGACAGTGTGTTAAATGATTGGGAAATGTTTTAAAATTTGTAATAAAATGATTTTGAAAGTCTCTCTCTCTCTCTAAAAGCTGATAAATGTAAAGTCGGTGGCCACGGAGAGCAGGACCAGGACACGCCGCTGAACTCCACGTACTGCATCTCTCTGAAGGGTGAGCGTGTGTTTATCGAGCTGCTGAAACCCTGCTCTGCTCTCGTCTTCATCTGTCTTAATGTCTCAACAGAAATGGTGTCCCATAAACGAGTTTTCCCCACCAAGACTAGCGGATGGGTCACGCTAGCTCGCAAGCCCATGATCGCGGACAGCGCACACTTGGAGAAGATCTTCAAATCGCACGGTTCGGTTTGTTTGCTGAACCTGCCGTCCGCCGCCAGGAGAGCCGCCAGCAGATCCAGGCCGGAGACAGGTACAGGCCTCAACTGTGCAGGACTCTTGCTTTTTACACAGAGAGCCAATGCTAAATCAGCCGTTGAGCTACTCGGTGTTTAGAGGCTTCCCAGAGTCAGTGATGATGGAAACCAGCGCTTTAAATCAGACGTTTCATCATGAACTTAAAAAATGAGTATATCGTCCAAAAGTTCATTTATTTCAGTAATTCAACTTAAAAGATGAATCTAATATATTATATAGACTCATTACATGCAAAGTGAGATATTTCAAGCCTTTATTTGTTATAATTGTTGATCATTATGGATTACAGATATGAAAACCCCAAATTCAAAATTAGAATATTGTGAAAAGGCTTTAATATCTGTAAGCAATTATAACAAATAAAGGCTTGAAATATCTCACTTTGCATGTAATGAGTCTATATAATATATTAGATTCACCTTTTAAGTTGAATTACTGAAATAAATGAACTTTTGCACCATACTCTCATTTTTCGAGTTTCACTTGTACAGTATTTATGAATGAATGAATAATTTTTATTTCTTTTCATTTCCTTTTCCTCTTCAGAACATGGTCATTGATAACAGAGCATATTTGAACAAAAAATAATAAAAACAAAATCTCAGCATGTTCAAAAGAGAAGAAAAAGAATATAGAAAAAAAAGGAGAAGGAAGAAGCTAACTTATGTTTACCTTCCCCTTTTACAAATCTAGATTTGAAACGGCTACTGTTTTCTCTTTACAAAATATCATAATTTATCCTTTTTGAGAAACAAAAAAAAAACTTAATCATTTGCAGTACATTTTATCTAAAAATAAGACACACAACACAATTATAATGTAAAAAAACAAAAATAATAAATAAACAAAAAACACAAAATGTAATACTGACAATGAATATTAAAGGAATGGCAAGAAATAGACTGTATAATAATTAAAATCATCCTCTTGAAGAGGAAATGAGACATATGTCCCAGTCTACCTTAAATCATACTTTTCTAATATAAACATTTTAAACCTTCTTTTAAATTGCACAAAATGATTGCTTTCTTTAATTATTACAGGTAAATTATTCCACAGCCTTACCCCATTGACAGATATGCACATGCTTTTGAGTGTGGTACGTGCAATTGATTGGTAGAGATTCCCTCTCCTACTTAAATTATATCTACTATCTCTTTCCTTAAACCATTTTTGAATATTACTAGGAAGTACTTTGTTTTTAGCTTTGTACATAATTTGTGTAGTCTTAAGATCCACTGTCTTCAAATTTTAGAGTTTGCAAAGTTAAAAATAAATCATTTGTATGTTCATAATAACCAACATTACAGACTATTCTAATTGCCTTTTTCTGCATTGTGCATATTGTCTTAAGGGTTTTACAGATTTACTGATCCCTCAAATTGTGTTTAAATTCAGGGGCGTGTGATCGATATTTCAATATTACGATGTCATATATGCCTTTTTTACACAACCACTGGACTTTAAAGCCGAGAGCCTGCAGGCAGAGCCAGTGTTGTTTGATGCACTGCTCCATTTTGAGCTGTTCTGCTCTTTTATTGCACTTTATCTATTAGCGTGTGTAGATTTAGGCTTTAGAGGCGATCTAGAAACCTCCAATCCAGCAGCTTTACACACTGCAGACTTTAACACGGCCGTTCAGAAGATTGAGATCGGTCAGATTTCTGTTGTTTTTAACCTTCTGGGCTTCGGGGTCTATACGACCCCAACAATTGATTAATTATACGAAAAATAGACATTTTTGATCATACAAATAATATATCATTTTTTTGTTTATTTCTCATTTATTCATTAATGCTGTGTTTTTTGAGATATAAAGTACTTTTGTATCCGTATACCACACAATTCCTCAACTACACCATTAGCTTTAGCATTAGCATATGAAATGTTATTTTTTTATGATACGTTGCATTTATGCTCTAGTACTAGGCCTTCATTTCTGTGTAAAAATTTTCAGATTTATGCTGGATTTTTTGACACATGAAGAAAATATATTTAGTTTTTTTCACATTTTCCATTCATTTCAATGTGGGGTCATATTGACCCCGAAGACCAGAAGTGTAAACTTTTTTTTTTTAACATACCTTCAGAATAACCCAATCAAGCCCAGTTTTGTGTGTGTGTATAGATAGATAATGTATGAAAAGTCACAAAATCTTATTCCACTCAGATGAAGGGAACCTTTTTTTTTTTATTACAGGGTTCCCGCGGGTCCTTAAAAAGTCTTAAAATGTCTTAAATTAGATATTTAAAATTTAAGGCCATTAAAAGTCTTATAAAGTCTTATTTTTAGGTATGAAAGGTCTTAAATTTTAGATGACACTTCGACTCAGTCATATCTTAATGTTTTCCAAATTAAAACCATCTAATTTGCGTACGTATTAATTTTTATCTTTGTGGATTTGCTTGTTCACGTGACAATTCGCGTCACATTCGCGGCAGAATAACGTCCGTCTCCTGCACGCGAGACAGGAGAGGAGGAGAGAAGAAAGTTGGCAAATGTCAGTTCAGTCGTAAGTTAATTCTTTATGTGCGTAGAGGTGTGCGATGTGTATTGTCTATTATGATATTCTATTGTTTTAACGATGGACGAGGCACTGCGAGTGTGAGCTGACATCGCATTTGTCTCTCGTGTTTTTACGGCGTGATGTGTGCAGTTATAGGCATAGACATGTATTTATTATGGTTATAGGTATGTCCCCAAATTAGTTTTTGCCTTATATTTATATCATGTTGTTATATTAGAATATCACATCAGTAAGAGTGCCGTTTTCCCGTGCACAAGTGTGATATTTATGTTATACAATAGTTAAATTAAAAATAAAGTGACATTGTGAGTTAGTTTTTAGCCATAACATTACCGATATTGTTTGTTTTTCCTTTACTTCGCCGACTAGAATTTCAAAATGAAACCATAGCAGAGTCTCAATGCAACAGAAAGCGATGATTTCATGAAGGAAATCCGCGTCTTGAACGAGTCATTTTAACGATTCAATCACTTGCTTCTTTCCCGTTTGAACAAATCGGTTGAATGAATGACTCCCTCAACTCGCTTATTAAGACAGCGATTTGCCGCCGCCTACTGGCTGTTTTAGTTTCATATTAAAAGTAAAAAAATAGAAATCATTTCACATTTAAATATTGAATATTGATTTTTTTAAAAAACCTTATAGCTTGATTTATGCAATTGTAAATGGAGTGTAATAATGCCACTTCTAAGGCTGCTTCTGCGTCTACTCTGCACTGCAAAGATGGATTTTTGATTGAATGATTTAATTTGACTGCTAACAGTGGTACTGTATAATTATTGTGTAATTAAATATTATATAAATAAGTGTATAATTACTGTATATACGTGATGCACGTGATGCATAACTCTAAATAAGTTTAGAAAAAAAAATCTCCATAAATAGGTGAAAATGCCCTGGAAATCAATTTAAGGTGGCAAATATTGCACATTAATTAATAATTTCTGTCACTGCTGTGAACTGACCACTGCATAGAATATGAAAAATATAAATATCTCCGTGAGTCTGCTCTCAACAACAGGCCTAAACCAGCCATGGCACCAGCACAAAAACACAATCAGTAAAATATCAACTAATTATTGTTGATAATAATTAGTTGATATTTTACTGATTTTGTTTTTGTTTTGTGTTTATCAACAAAACGTGAAAATATCGAGATATATTTTTGTCAATATCGCACACCCCTAATGTATGGTATTAATTTTGATTTCTTCAGGTCTTAAAAAGGTCTTAAAAAGCCTTAAATTTTACTTTAAAAAGTGTGCAGGAACCCTGTATTAAGTAAGAGTCGATTGGGGTCGCTAAGAGAAGTCTCTTATTTTCACCAAGTCTGCATTTATTTGGTTAAAAATACAAAAAACGGTACAATTTTAAAATATTAGTACAATTTAAATCAGCTGTTTTCTATTTTAACATATTTTAAAGTATAATTTATTCCTGTGATGAAAGCATCATTACTCCAGTCTTCAGTGTCACATGATCCTTCAGAAATCACTCTAATATGAGGATCTGATGCTCGAGAAATGTTAATATTTAAATGTTTTATCCCTTAAAACTCATCTCTGATCACCAAAATTACATATATAAATGTTTTTTCTCGATTCAGTTCTCGATGCCTTGAATGTAACTCGACACCCTTGCCTCATTTAGTATGCACAGTTCTATGAATATGCAAATGAGTCACTCGCTCACTCCGAGATCCACTGGTTGACGATCACACGTTGATCTGATTGGTTACAAGGTGGTTTGTGACGTTAGAAACACCAGCGATTTCAAAGCGTGTTTTTGAGACTGTCTTTGGTTCACTGCAGTTTTAAGGAGGAAATACTCAGCAATGCTGTCCACTTATCAACGCACACATGTGTGTGTTAAAGCAGATTAAAATGGACTTATAAACAAGCTGTATTTCCGCCACAGGGGGGCGTTACGTTCGGCTGTGTGCTGTAAAACAGGTTTTAGCTGTGTGGTGAATGTCCTGGGTGGTGACGTTAGCGCTCTGGTCCTCTCGTCCGCAGGAAAGCCGGAGAAGGAGTTGTTCAGCGAGCGCGATCGGGATCTGTTCCTGCAGATCTGCGGCGTACAGAAACTCTCCCGCTGCGTGACCACCGAAGCGCAGACCGAGCTGTACCGGCCGTGTCCCGCACTGCAGGCGCTGGTCCGACAGCTCGTCCCGTACATCCAGAGGTTCATCTTCCACCATCCGGACTTTGAAGACATGTACAGTGAGCTGAAGGATTCTGGGATTGCCAAACGCATCAGCTCGCTGAGTTTCGGACAGGTGTGGTTACTCTAGTAGTTGTTCATTTAAGCCATTAGTCGACTAATCGCACGTTTACATTAATAACCCATATGTCATAATAATGCGCCTTTAATTGCCTATACTTAGTCAAACCAACATTTATTCAGCACATTATCAGTTTATTGGCTCTAGTTTATAAACATGAGCAGAACTCAGTTCTCAGATCAGTGGATATGTGACTGGTTTTGTCCGTCCTTCTGTTGGACGCTCACACATGAGTTATGTTGAATATCTGTTAAATTACACAATTAGATAATACCAGTTTAGCTCAACCAGTGACCAAGCAATGCTTCATGTTGTTCAGTGTGTGTGTGTGTAAAAAGAGCAGAAAACACACTTCAGCAAAACATCATCAGCTCAAACTGGAGGAGTCACTTTTGCTCCCAAATTTGAAGAATATTTGGGTGTAATATGTCACAGTTTACTTTATTTTGCTCTCCTCACTATATAAATGTCAATATACAATATCAAAAATTATATCCGGTGTGTGAATTATGTTTGGTTTGACTCTGTGTTCTGGTTAGTACATTAAAGGGGTTCACTTTTTAAAAACTTTTGCTGATAATTTACTCGCCCCCGTGTCATCCAAGATGTCCATGTCTTTCTTTCTTCAGTCGAAAAGAAATTAAGGTTTTTGATGAAAACATTCCAGGATTTTCTCCATATAATGGACTTCAATGGGGTCCAAACGGTTCAAGGTCCAAAAGACAGTTTCAGTGCAAACTACAAACTGTTCAAAGGGCTTTAAACGACTCCAGACGATGAATAAGAGTCTTATCAAGGAGGACCCTTCAAGTCACAACTCGAAATTTGTTCATTTTGATGACAGAGTTCGAACAGGAGAGTCACACAGAACAGAGCAAGGCGAGCATTTGTGCTTATAAAACTTAAACTTTGTTATTTTATTTTTAAATGAGCGATCGTTTCGCTTGATAAGACCCTTATTCATTGTCTGGAGTCGTTTAAAGCCCTTTGAACAGTTTGTAGTTTGCACTTAAACTGTCTTTTGGACCTTGAACCGTTTGGACCCCATTGAAGTCCATTATATGGAGAAAATCCTGGAATGTTTTCATCAAAAACCTTAATTTCAAAAAAAAGAAAGAAAGACATGGACATCTTGGATGACACGGGGGTGAGTAAATTATCAGCAAAAGTTTTTTAAAAGTGAACTACTCCTTTAAGTTAAACTCAAGTGATTTTGTTTGTAATAATGCAGTGAACACACTCTCCACACACACACACACTAAGATATGCGCTTAATAAAACCACACATTTGCCTAGATTAACATTAGAGCGAACGGCTCTGCTATTTACATGTTTCAGGGGATATTAGCCATATTTTGAGGTCGATAAATGAATGGCGACTGAATTTCCGTCACAGCCGGCGTGATTTCGCCACTTTTTTTAGTTTTATTTTTCCAATTAAACGACTACTGTAGTTTTGGTCGTCTCAGCCTCTTCTAGTCGACTCTTAGGGGGCGGCAGGAACTGAAGCGTGTGTGTTTGTGCAGGTCGGGAAGCTGTATAATCATTATCGGCTCGAGGTGCCGGACGAAGACCCGATCTTCGAGAGCGAGGATATTATATGTCTCCTGAAAGACAAAAAAGAGCTGTACATCCACAAAGATCATCTCTCAGCGCGACTGGACATCTGCAGGTACAGCGCCTCCCTGTGGTTTCAGCACGTCATGCTCTCAATCCTCATGAGGGACCGATGCCGATAACTCTTTATATCTGAAAGCCAATAACCGATAAATCTAAATCCAAATCTTTATATAATTTCTGAGAGCCTGATTACATAAACAAAAGTCTCATCATGTCCCAATCACACAACTATAATGATGTTCTCATGATAATGTTACGTAGCCGCTATGACTATATGTCAAGTGTATTTTCCTTTTTTGAACTGATTCCAATTATATTTCAAGCAATTCAAAACCATCATGTACTGATGGAAATAATGCATTATTTATCGGCTTTAACCCTTATGCTGCATTAGGGACATTTTTGGTCTTTTGCAGTTTAATTTCTTTGACCATTTTGGCTGTTTTAATGCAAATGGTATGAAATTTGGCAAAATTGTGACTTTTTGGATACATGTAAAAAATGTGATCCCATTTTGCTAAATATGTATAACACACACTGTGTAGATCAAATAGTAACACTCAGCACCATAAAGACCAAAAATGGCCCATTGAAACCCATTAAAACGTTGTTTAAATCTGAGGCTGTCAGTAATACATGAAACATGATTTTTGCACAAACATCCTTTCATTTTGAAGCAAAAGCATTATATTTGCATTATATAGTGTATTCCACCAGATGACGTCACTACATATTTATTCCCTATGGGTGGAAATGCACCTTATTTTAGGCAATAGGCAATGTTTAATAGGTGGCCATTTTTGGTCTCTAACGCGCTAAGTGGGATTTTTTGCAAAGTGGGACTGTGATAATCCAAATCTAAAGTTTTCTCTTTGCATTTAGTTTATTGAAAATAATTGAATTTTTGTGTTTTTTCCATTTATACAAATCGATGGTTTCGCAAACAAAACTGGTAATTAAAGGGTTAAAATCCTGAAATTAAATACATTTTTGGTAGTTATGATGAGGACTGATGCTGGTTAAAAGATTTAACTTGGTAAAAGTGGAAAATAATAATAATATATAATATTTTAGGCAATGTTTAATATGTGGCCATTTTTGGTCCTTAATGCACTCAACGGTGTTAAAAATCTAATGCAGCACAAGGGTTAATATATCGGCCAAATTTTCTAATCAGACCGATAACGATAACAATAAAAATGAATATACAGGTGAAACTAGAAAAATGAGAATATGGTGCAAAAGTTCATTAACTTAAAAGGTGAAACTAGTATATTATATAGACTCATTACATGCAAAGTGAGATATTTCAAGCCTTTATTTGTTATAATGTTAATGATTATGGATTACAGATATGAACACCTTTATTTGGGGTTTCCATAAACTGTAAGTAAATGTAATTATAACAAATAAAGGCTTGAAATATCTCACTTTACATGTAATGAGTCTATATAATATATTAGTTTCAGCTGTATGTCGTCTGGTACCGATATGGTGGCCGATATATCATGTATCCCTAATCCTCGTGTGTGTGTTTATGTTATTTTGCAGAGAGCTGGTGAAATTGTTCACCACTGAGAAGCCGTTTGCCAAAGAGCTGGAGCGCTTCCTCCAGGGCCTTGTTTCATGCATAAACGTGAGTCATATTTGATATTTATATTGATATTTATGCATTTGCAGACGCTTTTGTCCAACTTACATTGCATTTCAAGGTACATTTTTTACATTCTTATCAGTTCTTGCTTTCCCTGGGAGTATAGAGTTTAAATCCGAGTCGGATCGTGATTAAAACGAGCCTGCAGGCCCCACACACACACACACACACACTGAAGCCAGCTGTATTCCTCCAAGGTCACGCCGCCCTTGTTTTCAAAAGCTGGATTGAGTGGTTGAGAGCTGAAAGCTAAATTTATGGCTTGAAAAACACTAAATGCTGCATCTAAAGTGAAAGGCGAGAGCACTGTGGGATAAAGACGAGGGTTTCCTCTCACCTGGAGTGATATGGACTCGCAGAAACTACAGCATTTATTCAATCCAGAATAGTATGTTAAAATTAATGTAGCCATACATACATTTAATAAAATTACATTTTTGACCTTTTATAAAATATTAAAGTTTCTTCAGCAGAGATCGGCAACATTTATTTCAATTAATGTAACATGGCTCTTGTTTTTATTCACATATGTACCAATTACACTCTTTGTGTTCATTTCATATATTCATATTTGGTCTTTAGGTATGTCATGTGGTGCAGGCTATTATCATGAACTAAAACCGTAAAACATTTATTCCTTGAAAGAAAATAAATATTAAATGGAAATGTATTTAAAAAAAAATGTATTTAAATAATGACATAAATACTAAATATTAAATGTACTAAAATTGTTTTTTTAAAACAACATTTCTAATTTTTGTTTGTTTTATTTTAAGCACTAAAATCTAAAAACTAAAACTTATAATAAGTGTAATAATAGTTTTAATATGATAATAACTATTTAAAAAGACATTTAAAAAAATGACAAAAACTACAAAAATAGAAATCAATATATTAACAAAAACTATAATAGTGTCTCAGTGATGCTAAAATAAAAATAATAACCCACATTCTTTACACCTTAAATACACGAGTGTACGATTTAATTTTCTAAAATATATAAGATAATTTTTTCTATATAATAATGCTTTGTCTGCATGTTTCATCCCGATTTGGTTTACAAATGTTTTAATTAGCATCAATAAGCAGTAAATTAGTTTGCTATTTTTCTAATAGATAATAATCACTAATTCCAAACTACTTAATTTATTTATATATATATATTTTTATGTCTAATTTTGTTATATATACTTTCATGTATTTTTTCAATATTTTTGTTACTGTATATATATCTATATGTGTGTGTGTGTATATATATATATATATATATATATATATATATATGTAAATATGACTGTTATTATTCATATAAATTATATATATTATTGAATTAAATGAATCTCGATTATGATTAACTACGATCAAGTAATTGGCGTATCTTGTAATTATTTTGCTTAAAACGTCTTCTTGATTGACATCCCTCACATGAATCTTGTTAATCATGTGACCCAGGACCGAGCAGATTTAAAGAGGCTTCTGGACCGGGAAAACGCTCAAGAACTGCCCGAGTCCGAGGAGCCGTGGGACGTCCCGGCGCCGCCAGCGGTGGAAGCGCGAACCGAAGCCCTCGGTAATCAGATCCTCCGAGCATCCAGGAACTCACAGCTGTGTCGATCCGCCCTCGTTTCATCACTCCTCGCGCACAGTGCGCGTATGCTAATGTGTGTTTGTCAGAGATGAAAGCGCAGCTGTTGCCGGGCGAGAGGAGAGAGAGAGCGAGAGAGTCGCATTAATAACCAGGCCTGCGCACTGACACACTTCTCACCGCTCGGGTTCACATCACATGTGCAGTTTCATTCAATATTCAATCAATATTACAAAGTCTTTCAGCTAATTAAGCCCTATTCACACGGGATTGGCATTACCTGTTGACCTCTAGTCATTTGTAATAATTGAGGAGGTTAATTTGGCCACACTGCAAAAAATGTTTCCAGTCCAAATATCTAGAAATTCTTAAATCAAGATGCATTTACTAGATGACCTGTTTTAGGTCCTGTTTTCCAGAGGAATTAATCAAAACTAAGTGAGCTGATGCTTAAAAAAGCTCAATTATCTGCTAATGCGGTCAGAAAAATAATCTTAATTCAAACATAAACAAGATTATTTTTGTTTGTTTGTGCGCAGAAGCAACCTCGATTTCAGCCAATCACTGCGGGCCGCTCGAATTCACGATTGCGTTTTGATTCAATATTGATTCGTTTGGATATATCAATCAAAAAAATCTAATTCAGTAAACTATACAGGAACTCTGTCAGCTGGTACATTATTGTAATATTAAAGTTTAAAATTAACAACTGATTTGTACACAGACATTATTATTTTAGCATAATAACGTTTCTACCGCAATTCATCTTTAAACATTTAACATAAACATTCACCGGTATGAACATTTTGGCCGATACCGATAACCCTTTATATTTGAAAGCCGATAACCGATATATTGGCCGATAAATCTAAATCCAAATTTTAATATCATTTTTGAGAGCCTGATTACAAAAACAAACGTCCAAATTGCAAACAAAAAAGGAAATAATTATTTATTTATCGGCTTTAATATATCTGCCAAATATTTTTATCAGGCTACGATAACATAATATACGATACGATATTTCTATCAGGCTACAATAACAAATATTAACATGTGATGATAAAACGATAACATAACAAATTATCATATACGGTCTGATGAACTAAAATACTATTTTCAATTTTATTATGAAATTATTTGGCAACACTTTACAATAAGGTTCATTAGTTAACATTAGTTAATGTATTTACTAACATGCACTAACCATGAGCAATACATTTGTTACTGTATTTGTTCATCTTTGTTAACGTTAGTTAAGAAAAATACAGCTGTTCATTGTTTGTTCATGTTAGTTCACGGTGCGTTAACTAATGTTAACAAGATTTCAATAAAATATTAGTAAATGTTGAAATTAACATTAACAAAGATCAATAAATGCTGTATATGTGCAGTTCATATTAACTAATGTAGTTACGTGTAACTAATGTTAACTAACGGACCTTATTGTAAAGTGTTAGCAATTATTTTTTCAAAAACACATTATATAAAACACCATATCAGGTGGCTGATTTATCGTGCAACGTGTTTTTGAAAATATATATATTTCATTACAAAATTGAGAATAGTTGAATAATTAAGAATAATTAAAATAATTGAAAATAATTTTTTCATTTTGAACTTTAATGTCACTTCAGCAATAATCTTCCGAGTGTCATCCTTGAAAAGAGATCAGCTTCTGTCTGTCGCTCTAAAGCATTAAACCATTAAAGTCGGCAGTGTGATTTTCAGCTCTACGCTCAAAACGTGAATAAATGGATTATAAATACAGCGTAAATATAATCAATTAAAATTTAAAAATTTTATATTTTAGATCCAGCCACAGCTGTACGGACGCATAATTTTGTGCTTTAAAATTGATATTTACAGGGGACACTCGAAAAATCGTTTATTTCAAAAGTTCGTTTATTTCAGTAATTCAACTTAAAAGGTGAAACTAATATCTTATATAGACTCATTACATGCAAAGTGAGATATTTCAAGCCTTTTGCTGATTATGGCTTACAGATATGAAGCTTAGAATATTGTGAAAAGCATAATCATCAACATTATAACAAATAAAGGCTTGAAATATCTCACTTTGCATGTAATGAGTCTATATAATATATTAGTTATGAATTACTATTGAACTTTTGCACCATATTCTCATTTTCCGAGTTTCCCCTGTAATACGGCCGGTTTTGTGAGGCGAGATCAGTGTTGATCTGTGGTGTGTGTTTGCAGTTCGTCCACCAGAGGTCGTGGAGGAGGAACAAACGCCGGCGGATCTGAATAAGGAGGATCGTCTGGTTTGCTGGCCGCCCAAAGCTTCGCTCAGTAAAGCCGGCGTACAGAGTTCAGGTAAAGACCAGGAGAGGAGAGGAGCCATTTTGAGATTTGAGATTTTGAGTTGACAAATTTTAGTGTTTATTGATGTTTCGTAAGTTTATTTTTAGTGCTGTCAAACGATTCAAATATTTAATCGCGATTAATCGCATTAACGTCATAGTTACTCGCAATCGCATAGATTTTATCTCCTCTAAATGTCCCTTGATTATTTTTCTCATTTTAATGCTTTTTTTAATTTTTGTCATTCATTTCGCGCAAATTGAGCGTCTGGCGCGAATTATTTTATTTGGTGCTTTCACGCGAGTTCGCGAATTCATGTTAACTTTTTAAAAGTAATCTTTCCCTTCAGAATCTTATTGGCATCAATTTCGGCGTCTCGCACTCGTCATCCACTCAACACCTAACGTTAGCCTACTACTATTTGGCGGTCTCGCTAGCCCAAACAAGTGTGTGTGGCGCCTGTTGTTTTGTTTCCGGTCTAGCTAGATCCGGAGTGGTGTTGTAGTTTTTCTAACGTTACTAGTTGTTGTAACAGCATGTAAAAAAAACTACAAAGTTTGCTAGCCCAAAAAGAACGTTAATCTCGCGATAAAAAAATTGACGCCGTTAAAATAGGTTTGCGCTAACGCCATTAATAGCGTGTTTAAATGATAGCACTATTTATTTATTTTTTTTTTTTAGATCAGTAAATCATGTGACCTTAGACCCCGCTTGTTCTTGTGTGTTTGCAGTGGTACCAGCGGACGAGCTCGTAACGCATGTGTGTGTGTTTGCAGGTTCAGGCAGCCAGGCTTTGGAGGAGGTGATGAAGATGTGGCCTCCTCCTGCTCCTCCAGCTCAGTCCCGAGACGAGAGGAGCGCGTCCAACACCGGTGTCCATCAGCGGACCGCAGAACCTCCAGCGCATGGAGATCCCAGAGCCCCACACCAACACCATCAGGCCCCCAGAGCGAGCAGCACCGTCCCACAGCCCTCAGGTCTACTGACTCAAACATCATGTTTTATGTCATCGTATTGGTAACTTGGTAAAGATTTTGGGAGTTGCTGTGTAAAAACACACACACAAAAAGGTTAAATGGTCTTAAACAGTAGTGCTCCTCCACTGACCGTGAGACAGGTTTCCTCTAGTGGAGGCGTTCGGTACTGCAGCCGAACAACATCTCACTGAACGCTCGTTTACTGAGATATCAAGCTCAAATTTGGAACTAGGGAAAAAATCCTGTTTGATTTTTGAGTCGAATCGATTGTTAAATTGACTTTCCATGTCTAAAGACGTTTCCATTTTCAACACCAAATATCGGCAAATCCACGAAAATGAACTGTGGCGGGAAATGCGGTCCAATCACGAGCCAATCTGGCGTCAAAATGATTTATCTGTGCACTTCATTATTGTGTTAATAATCCTGAATCAGAATCAGTTCTTCTCCAGCATCTCTTCTCTGATGATGTGGGCGGGGCTTTAACCTGTCACTCACATGAGATCAGCCAATAGCAATCCAATCAACTCCACAGACACAATCAAGCCCCGCCCACTTGTGTTCTCGTTCCACAAGCGTTTCACTCGATATACGACACAATAGAGAGTAAAAGAGCGGGGCAACTTCTGTTTTATGCCGACTAAAAGAAACTATTTTAGCTAAAAGGGTTCAGCTGGCATGAAAAGTTTGTGAATCGCTGTTTTGAACTTGTTTTTGTTCACACAGAGGAAGGAGAAGAGGATGTCAGTCGTCAGAACGGAGGCGATGAAACTCCAGCGGACGAAAGCAGCGCCGCAGCGGATCCGCAGTACGTGTTCCTGTGTTTCATGCATAAAGCTCGACTAAAAGCATCAATCGAAAGCTTGAACAGTCAAAATTCATCCCGTTTTGAAGTTAGACGTTGCGTTACCGTGAAAACGAAACATTAAACGCTTTTAGCGGCTCATTTAAAAGAAACACAACTTGTTTACACATTTGTCTTTGATTTTCAAGCAATTTTGGAGTCCAAATTATTTAGTAAAACACATATTGTGTATAATATTAAAGAATAGTTAATTTACACTTTTGGATTACAGCCATCTGTGCTCAAAAAGAGGAGCAACAGTGCACAGGATATCATGGAGGATCTATTATGCTCTTTTATAAAGTCTTACTGTTGTTTTCAGGTTTTCCTGCTTGAATGTTGATTATTCTCCTCATATTCTCCATTGTTGCGGCTCCTCTCATCCCAGTCTGTCAGTAACGCTCTGTTTACTTCCTGTCTCTATGAAGCCCCGCCTTCTTAAAGCACACTGTGCTCTGATTGGTCGGCTGGAGCAGTGTGTTGTGATTGGTCGAGTGCTGAGTGTGTTTGGGAAATGTCCCGCCCCTAATTACCATACCCGCCAGTTTAACACACTACTAACTAACTCAACCAGGCCCCCGCCCCTTTTATTATGCGCATAAATTATTATAATGTGGAATATTGTGACGTGTTTGTTCCCGGGAGAAACTCTGCGTTTCAGGAGTTCAGAAACACTGACACTGATATAGAGAACAACTGGAGCTTTTTCATGATCAAACACACACTTTAAGTCCCCCTGTGGTGAAAATCCAGCTTTTATGTGTGTTTAATACGCTTTAACACACACCATGTGTAAATTCATAAGTCGTCAGTAAGTCTCAAAACCACGCTTTGAAATCGCTGGTGTTTCTGACGTCACAAACGACCAGATCAACGTGTGATCGTCAACCAGTGGATCTCTGAGTGAGTGAGTGAGTGAGTGGAGGTGGAGCTTATTTGCATATTCATAGAACCGTGCATACTAAATGAGGCAAGGGTGTCGAGTTACATTCAAGATAGTTTAAGGAAAAAATGTTAAAATATGTAATTTCGGTCAAAGATGAGTTTAAAGGGTTAGTTCACCCAAAAATGAAAATTCTGTCAGTATTTCCTCACCCTCATGTTGTTCAACCCCGTAAGACCTTCGTTCATCTTCGCAGCACAAATTAAGATATTTAAGATATTAAGATCGCTCCTGTATACTAGTCCATAGGCTTCTTGAGGGAATGACTCGAAAAGTCATTAAAGACATCGTTAAAATAGTCCAAGTGACTACAGGGGCTCAATCGCAACTTTATCAAACGACGAGAACACTTTTGTGCGCAAAAAAACAACAAAAATAACGACTTTATTTCAACTATTCACTTCCTTCTCCATGAGCCTGTAGTCAGTTAACGTAGTGTGATTGCGTAAAGCTACGTCACACGTAGGCTCACTATTGGCCGACGCTGGTCATGTGTGTGTGATGCGTGTGACGTACAATAACAGAAGCTTACGCTATTAAACTAGTAACCTGACTCGCGCAGAGGGAGAAATAAACCAATAGTTGAAATAAAGTCCTTATTTTTGTTGTTTTTTTGCGCACAAAAAGTGTTCTCGTCGTTTGATAAAGTTGAGATTGAGCCCCTGTAGTCACTTGGACTATTTTAACGATGTCTTTAATGACTTTTCGAGTCATTCCATCAAGAAGCCTATGGACTAGTATACAGGAGCGATCTTAATATCTTAAATATCTTAATTTGTGTTCCGAAGATGAACGAAGGTCTTACGGGGTTGAACAACATGAGGGTGAGTAAATACTGACAGAATTTTCAGTTTTGGGTGAACTAACCCTTTAAGGGATCAATCTTTCTTCTCACCGCATTTGAACACGTTCCTCCTCCAGAAGCCGGACGGCTCCTCAGGCTCCAGAGATGGTGTTGAGCCGGTTTCAAGGCGCTGAGAGTCGGCCTCGTCCGCCGATCACGCTGGATAACGCGGTGTGGAGCAAGTCCATGAGTCCCGAGGACGTCCTGGAGGATCTGGCGCTGGACTGCTCGATCCCTCAGACGCTGGTGCTCCCCGCGGACCAGGAGGACTCGGCCAGCATCGGGCAGTGGGGAGAGCAGCTCGTCTTCTCCTTCCTCACGCACTGGAGAGAGACGGGCGGCCGCTCGGGTCCCAGCGAGATCACATGGTTCAACGAGAGGGGCGAGAGCGGGCGCGCCTGCGACTTCAAGCTGAGCTTCCCTGGTAATACACTTGATGTTAACTAACACAACCTTTGGTTTTAATTACGTATCAGTAAACGTTAAAATTTAAATAAAAAGCTGTAGAAGTATTGTTCATTATTAGCTCACTAATGAACCTCAAAGTGTCACCTGAATGCTTGCAGCCACACCAATTACCAGTAAACTTAAAGAGTGTTATGATTAGTTAACTTATTTATACTTTGTACAAAATAGCATTATATACTATATTGGATTTTGAAGGTATACTTTCAATGCGTTGTTACAATGATCATTTTCGGCACAGTTAAAAATATACCTGAAATATATTTTTAATAAAGCGTAAAAAAAAAAAATCAATATATTTAAAAATTATTATTTTTTTTTTTTATAAAATATAATAAAGTGCAATTATTTTAAAGTGTGTTAAAAGTTGTGTTGTGAAAATAGGTAACGCATGATGCTGGATCACAAAACCACGCGTATATATGTGTATTTGTACAAAATTCAAAATTATTGAGTGTATAAAGTAAAGTAATGATCATGTTCCATGAAGATATTTGCTAAATTTCCTACCGTAAATATATAAAAAATATATTTTTGTGAGAGAATGCTGCATAATCTTTACATCGTTTGACTCATGTTTCGATTGTTTTGCACTCTCAGATCTCAGACGTTCATCATATCTCGTCTAAATATTGTCCTATCCTAACAAACCACACATCAATGGAAAGCTTATTTGTTCAGCTTATTGTTCAGTACACGTCTCAATTTCAGAAAATGTACCCTTATGACTGGTTTTGTGGTGCAGGGTCTCATATACTTTTAATATATTTAAAGATAGTATTTTTTGTAACTATATTTGCATTTTACTATTAAAAAAGGGAATGAACATTTTCTTGAGAATTTCTGTTGAATGCTTTAAATTTCTTCACTTGTTTTTGTGTTGTGTTTTATTTTTATTTATTTATTTTTTGCAACTACCCTTCACTCGATCCTTTATTACCAGTTGATGGATGATTGTATGTGCTGCCTGTACCACGGTTCTGATGTTGTAAAATTATAAAAACAATTCTTCAATAAAAAAAAGGGGGAATGAAACTGGAAAAATTAGAATATGGTGCAAAAGTTCAGTAATTCAACTTAAAAGGTGAAACTATATAGACTCATTACATGCAAAGTGAGATATTTCAAGCCTTTATTTGTTATAATTGTGATGATTATGGCTTATATGAAAACCCCAAATACAAAATTAGAATATTGAGAAAAGGTTTTCATATCTAATCAAAATTATAACAAATAAAGGCTTGAAATATCTCACTCTGCATGTAATGAGTCTATATAATATATTAGTTTTAGTATAGTTATATTAGTTTGGAGTCAAACTCAGTGAATGTGGGTGTTCCTCACTAGGGTCGGCAGGCGAAGCTGAGCGCGAGATCTTCGTGGAGGTGAAGACGACGGTCCGGCGAGATCGGCACTTCATACACATGTCTGCGAACGAGCTGGACCTGGCGCTGAAGGAGAGAGAGCGCTACCACATATATCGAGTGTACGGCGCTGGAGATGTTCGGCACGTGCGCCTCTGTCGCATCAAGAACCTCGCTCAGCATCTGCACTCCAAGTCTCTGGAGCTCTTCTTATTCGTGTAGCCGCTTTTACCCTCAGGTTTTAGAGTCTGTGTTTGTATTCTTGTGTTTGACTACTAATGTTTGTACTATGAGATTACACATTTTGCTCCGTTCAATTGCATTTGATCACGTCTTGAAGAACATGTTTATAAAAGTGTAACTTCCCTGTTTGATTAATTCAGTAAATGAGTTAAATGTTCTGAAAAAGAGAGGTCTGAATGGATTCACTGGATGAAAGTCTTTATGGATGGAAAGGAAACCGTTTGGTGTTTAATTAAGGACAAATGTGGCATTGCATACAAACCATAGATAAAAAGTGATGTGTTAATTATAACAACATGGAGGATAACTATAAAGCACAAAAACATGTAAAAAATAAAATAATGCTACATATATACATATGTTTATAACTATAGTCATGTTATATGAAGTTATACAGGGAAGTTCTGGTTGTTTACATCATCGGATGTCATCGTTATAAAACGCTGATGTAATGTTGGAAATAAAGTGAATTCGGTCACAAAACGTTCCCCTAACGTTAGCATATGGTTCACATTTGAGAGTCAAATAATATAATTCTTAATGGTTATATTTTGGTTTTATTTTGTCACCATAAAAATAATCCAATGATATATGGAAGCTTGTTTACACCACAGAATGAAAAATAAAAAAAGGTAAAAGTGACTTTTTATCTCAAAATTCTGACTTTTTTTCTCACAATTGCAAGTTTACATCTCGCAATTCTGATTTTATTTCTCAGAATTGTGAGATATAAAGTCAGAATTGCGAAATATAAAGTCAGAATTGCGTGATATATAATCACAATTATGTGTTAAAAAGTCAGAATTGCAAAATATAAAGTCAGAATTGCGTGATATATAGTCGCAATTGTGTGTTATAAAGTCAGAATTGCGAGATATAAAGTCACAATTGTGAGAAAAAAAGAATTTTGAGATAAAAAGTCGCAATTACCTTTTTCATTCTGTGGCGGTAGCAAGCTGTCTTTTATTTTGCAATTCTGACTATATCTCACAATTGCAACTTTATATCACGCAATTCTGACTTTGTCTCACAATTCTTACTTTATAACACACAGTTGTGAGATAAAAAGTTGCAATTATTATTATTATTATTTTTTTATTCAGTGGCAGAAGCAAGCTTCCATAAATGAGTGATTTGAGAACTCGCTGGGAATTTTTAGATTAGCCCTAAAAAGCAAAAAAAAAAAAAAAAAAAAAACATTTACATTTTCTGTCATCAATTCATTTCACAATTATTTGTATTGCACTTTTCACTATACACATCATACAGAAAATACACGAGTCCACATTACAGTGTACAGTGATCTGTTATCAGAGGAGACTGACTGAGTTATGTGTTTCAAAAATCACAGTTAGCGAAAAACGTATTAATTTAAACTATGTAATAATTTAATACAGGAACAATGAGCTCAATCTTATTACAACGAATAAACATTAAAATGCAACTAAAATATGCTCTTATGCTATTAATAACGGTAAATAAACCTAATACCTAAAAAAAAAAACTATTATAAAATGCATCTCTGAAACCGCCTCAGCGACTAACGCTGCTGTTTGCTGTGATTGGCTGATGCGCACAGTAGGCGGAGTGTACAGGTGACGCAGGAAGCGTCCTGTGCTGCTATTGGCTGGCTCTCGCGGTGGGCGTGGTTTCATCAGCCCCGCTCGGAAGCTGTGATTTTCCCCCTCAGTGTCAGTTGATCCTCGCCGGGTGAATGTCGTCCGATTCTCCGAAACAAATGCGGATAAAAGAGACGCGACACTGTACCATGAGAACAGACTCGCATTATTATAATATTTGTGGATAGAAGCAGAAGCGCTGGTGTTCTGGACGGATTTCATGTTTGGTGAGTGCATCCCGCTCGATGTCAACAGTATTATGGCATTGCAGCAGTCGATACTCCGATGCTCGATTAGAATGACTGTCCTGCTCTGGAATGATGGGGATATGAATATGAATAATTATAATCGCTGCCAGACGACCTTAAACATCACTGCAGAATAATAATTGCTGCTAGGAAATTAACGAAAATAAAGAATAATAATAATGGTGGTATTACTATAATTATATATTTCTATTAATTCATAAGCACTGATGAATAATAGTAATACCGCTATTATGTTTATTCACTTTGTTGAGCCAATTGGATTGAAAATAATAATAAGGGATTAAGGAGTAATAGTAATATATAATAAATTATTATAACATAAAAATGTTTTTGCAGTATAATTCATAAAAATAAATAATAATAATAATAAGCATAATATAAAAAACAATTAAAAAAAAACAATAAAAACTATTATCCTGCTAATACATATATATATATATATAGAGAGAGAGAGCGAGAGATGTGTATTTGTTCTGGATATGCATGTATGATATTCCTTTTGTCCTGTTCACCATGTAAACGTATTCCCCCTTTAAGAAGAGCAAGTGTGTGTGTGTGAAGCTGCAGACTGCAGGCAGCACTGTGTGTGTGTGTGTGTGTGTTCTCAGTGCGGATAGGATGAGTGTGCAGGTATCCGCAGGTCACCCAGAACTCAACACCGTTAAATGGAGGCTGTCAGAGAGCGGATGAGAAATGAGCGGATCGACTCGGGGAAAAGAGTTCGGATGCTGATGCTGAACATCAGTGCAATTTACACTCGCTGCTGCTGAACGCCTCACACACACATGCACACACATGCAATCAGCTCTTCACATGCGTTTGCAATCAGATAGATACACACACCGATTTGCACGATCACACTGGACAACAGCGCTAACACTTTTGGGAGAAATGTGGCGTTAACACACACACCGAGAGACCCACACTTTATAACAACACCGTTTCTCCACATTCAGTCTTATAAACTGTATTGTCCCGGCCGTGTGTTCATTCTTCATCAGTGTTTTATTATAAACAAACACCAATATTGGGGTAATACTGTAGATTATATTTCCAATTATATTCTTTAAAGCGTCTTGGAGTAACACACAGTCCAACCAAACATTATTCAGACACCGGATGTCATTTTTGATATGTTTTGTTTGGCATTAAATTACAGAAAACTAGTTTAAGGGATAGTTCACCCAACATTTCGGTCATTATTAAAATTATATCAAAAACTGCATTTTTCCATCTTAGAAATATGGCCGTCTCTATCACTCTCAGATGCAGAAAGGCTCATTCACGCCTTTATTACGTCGAGGCTTGATTATTGCACTGCACTCTATGTTGGTCTCCCAAGCCGATCCATCAAAAAATCACAATATATATTCAAAATTCTGCCGCCAGGCTTTTGACGCACACAACTGCCCGACAGCATATGATATCACCCCAGTACTCCATGATTTACATATACAAGCACGCATCGAATTCAAAACACTGATCTTAATGTACAAAAGCGATTCATGGGACGGCCCCTGCAGCTTAGTTAGCTCTCACACTCCAGCTCAATCCTTCATCAGCCTCGATATAAATTAAAATCAATGCATTTTCGGTCGTAGCACCGCATTGGACGTTTTCAAGAAGTCTTTAAAGACGCACCTTTTTAGAGTTGCTTATCGTGTGTCTGTTTTTATTGTTTCTCATTGTTATCCCTCTTTTTTTGTATACTGTAGCGCCTTGAGTTTAAGAAAGGCGCGTTATAAATAAAATGCATTATTATTATTATTATTATTATTAATTACAAACCCTCGTGTTTTTCGACACCCGTAAGACTTCGGTTCGTCTTGGGAACACAAATGAAGATCTTTGTAATGAAATCTGCGAGTATTTTGTCCCTCCATTGACAGTCTACGCAACGGAAACTTTAACTCATCAAAAAGTTCCCACAGCGATCGTCCGAAGAGACTCGGATTGCTTTATATGATGGACGTTAAATTGAGATTTTATTCACTTTTGACGCACACATCAGTTGTGGAAAGCTCAAGCATGTCCGCTTCCCGTGTTTCTCATCACACACTTGAACTGTTTGTGTTCGCTGATCAATGTTAATCGGTGAATAGAAGACAAATTAAATCTGTTTATACATGTCGTAGTTTCCGTTTTCCTCAAATTACGCAACTCTAACGACCTTCGGGGAACTTGTGGAAATGTGAGAACGTCACAAAATGTTACAATTTGTTCATATACAGAATGTTCATGTTAGTCTCTCAAAGGTCGAATATAACGTGACTCTTCTGATCAGCAACAGGTCATCGCATCGTCGCTTTTCACCAATCCATCAAATCCATCCCCCTTCATTTGTAACACAGGACAGAAAGTCTTGCAGGGTTAGTTATGACTATTCCAGTGTGGAAGAACTGAGAGATTAAAGCCCCGTGTTTGTTTCTCCTTTCCTTTCCTCTCGTCTGAGGTTTCCCAGCTTCGATAAAGAAATGACAAAATATCTAGTGCTCAGGAATAAATGAGCCATGAGTGTTTGATGACTTTAAATGGTTGTGCTGACGAGACGCAGTGGGATTGTGTACCATAATGTGTGCTGAATGTCTTTGGATGTCAAGGCTTGACTTTACAGAGATTTGCTAGATTTGCATTTCTTTGCCTTGAGCAGTTTTGACCCAGTGAGTCATTTATACCCCACCAGCCCGGCTTTATTCTGGAGTATTCCGCATCAGCCCAGATTTATTCCCGGCTTTATTCCCGGAGTATTCCGCAACAGCCCAGCTTTATTCCCGGCTTTATTCCCGGCTTTATTCCTGGCATATTCTGCAACAGCCCAGCTTTATTCCCGGCTTTTTTCCCGGATTTATTCCCACGGTATTCTGCAACAGCCCGGCTTTATTCCTGCCGTATTCTGCAACAGTGGCTTTATTCCCGGATTTATTCCCGGCTTTATTCCTGGCGTATTCTGCAACAATCTGGCTTTATTCCCGGATTTATTCCCGGCTTTATTCCTGGCGTATTCTGCAACAGTCTGGCTTTATTCCCGGCGTATTCCGCTCCAACCCAGCTTTATTCCCCGATTTATTCCCGGCGTATTCCGCAACAGCCCAGCTTTATTCCCGGATTTATTCCCGGCTTTATTCACGGGGTATTCTGCAACAGCCCGGCTTTATTCCTGGCGTATTGCAACAGCCCGCCTTTATTCCCCGATTTATTCCCGGCTTTTTTCCCGGGGTATTCTGCAACAGCCCGGCTTTATTCCCGGCTTTTTTCCCGGAGTATTCTGCAACAGCCCGGCTTTATTCCCGGCTTTATTCCCGGCTTTATTCCTGGAGTATTCTGCAACAGCCCGGCTTTATTCCCGGAGTATTCTGCAACAGCCCGGCTTTATTCCCGGCTTTATTCCCGGCCTACTCTGCAACAGCCCGGCTTTATTCCCGGCTTTATTCCTGGAGTATTCTGCAACAGCCCGGCTTTATTCCCGGCTTTATTCCTGGCTTTATTCCTGGAGTATTCTGCAACAGCCCGGCTTTTATTCCCGGCTTTATTCCCGGCTTTATTCCCGGCCTACTCTGCAACAGCCCGGCTTTATTCCCGGCTTTATTCCTGGAGTATTCTGCAACAGCCCGGCTTTATTCCCGGCTTTATTCCTGGCTTTATTCCTGGAGTATTCTGCAACAGCCCGGCTTTATTCCCGGCTTTATTCCCGGCTTTATTCCCGGCCTACTCTGCAACAGCCCGGCTTTATTCCCGGCTTTATTCCTGGCTTTATTCCTGGAGTATTCTGCAACAGCCCGGCTTTATTCCCGGCTTTATTCCCGGCTTTATTCCTGGAGTATTCTGCAACAGCCCGGCTTTATCCCGGAGTATTCTGCAACAGCCCGGCTTTATTCCCGGCTTTATTCCCGGCCTACTCTGCAACAGCCCTGCTTTATTCCTGGCATATTCTGCACTCTTTATAAAGTCCTGCTGTGAATAAGTCAGACTTTCAGACCGCAAGAGCACTGAGTTCTGCTATATAACTCATCCTGCACTGTTGAATGACCTGAACTCCTCCAGTTTGTTGAGGAGAGATGAGATATCTCATAAACACAGCCCACATTCCAGTGCCCTGGCAAACACCCAGAACACCTTAGCATTGCGTTGGTGAGTTTAACACACATTATTCACACAATGTGAAAATCTCATGATGTTTTTTGTGCGTGCTGAAGTTGGGTGTCGTGACATGCAAGGTATAATGTGATCATAAGATCATAAGAAAGCTGTTCCACTTAGCTGGATAATGAATGGATTTTGCATCATTAATTCAGTTATTATCCTGTTTATTGCGTTGAAGATGTTTGAAACATTGCATTGTGTAAAGTGTTATAAAAATAAATGTAACTTGACTTCCATCATTACTGTTTAACCTGCGCTTCTGATGCACTGGCACTTTTACATTTATACAACTTGTGATCGACCCGACTGATATACACTTACCTAAAGGATTATTAGGAACACCTGTTCAATTCCTCATTAATGCAATTATCCAATCAACCAATCACATGGCAGTTGCTTCAATGCATTTAGGGGTGTGTTCCTGGTCAAGACAATCTCCTGAACTCCAAACTGAATGTCAGAATGGGAAAGAAAGGGGATTTAAGCGATTTTGAGCGTGGCCGGTCTGAGTATTTCACAATCTGCTCAGTTACTGGGATTTTCACACACAACCATTTCTAGGGTTTACAAAGAATGGAGTGAAAAGAGAAAAACATCCAGTATGCGGCAGTCCTGTGGGCCAAAATGCCTTGTTGATGCGAGAGGTCAGAGGTCGACTGATTCAAGCTGATAGAAGATCAACTTTGACTGAAATAACCACTCGTTACAACCGAGGTATGCAGTGAAGACACAACACACAACCTTGAGGCGGATGGGCTACAACAGCAGAAGACCCCACCGGGTACCACTCATCTCCACTACAAATAGGAGAAAGAGGC